CAAATACATTCTTACTTCAGTATCCCAGGCAGGAGAAGGACAACAGCAACAGAGTGCTTTCCATACTTGATTAATTCACGGATTGGAACTGGGTCACACCTAGCTACAAAAAAGTCTGGAAAGGCAAGAATTAGGCAAAAAAGAACAGAGAGCAGTGATTGGCTTATACCAGGGGCTTCATCTTCTGGGGATGGGCATGCTGCTGTCCAAAGCTAAATCAGGGCTCTGTCAGCAAGGAAGAAGTGGGCCATCATTCTTAAGATTCACCTTCCCAGCAAAGAGAGCCAACGGGCCTGGCTTAGGTCATTGTGTTGGAGTCACCACACATAACTGAAAGGTAATCTTCCAAAAGGGGAAGCAGAATTCTGGGGCTAGAAGAAGAGAGTTGGAAGCTGAGTGCAGAAAAGACATCTTTACCTCCTTCAACCACTGATCATTTCAGATACTTCGTAGTATCGCGACCTAGCCGGGACAGGCTATATCACCTGTGGGAACCAGTGCAAATAAAATGCAGGACCCATGGTTCAAAACTTATTAAGAATTTCAAGCACAGAGCGCTTCTGGACACAGAGTCCTGTGTGACTGCACGGGTCACAAGCCCACGAAGCCAGCCCTGGGCCTAGCCCACAATTGGAGTGATTGCCCCAAGGGGAGTAAGCCTTGCTGGGGTGTTTTAGAGTCTGTTTTATTATAAAATTGGGTTAAATCATGAATTGATGGTAGGGAAATCTGGAATTTATATTGTTATAATTAACATGTGTCCAGCCCTTTGTACAAACACTGTTAAAGAGTCAAGAAAAGAGGTGATCAAAGCCCTCTGTGTGTATAACCCTAGGCAGAGTCAGAGTTCCGAGAAGACAGAGCTATCCAGAGGCTTCCAGTCTACACCAGCTATCAGAGTGAGAGGGATGGTGAGTTGCTTTTATTCCTCATGCCCACTCAAACTTGGCAATTTCAGTCTATTACTTAATCATCACGGTGGCCCTGTGTGACTCAAAGTATTATATCCATCTTATAGATGAGGTCATTGGGGCTCAGAGAGGTCCATGGTGTATGATCAAACTGGCATTGGAAGCCAGGCAGTCTGAATCCTTGTGTCCATGTTTATCAGCACTGTGCGTCATTGAACAAATCTAATGGGCTGGGGAAACTGTAAGTTGTCTTATAATAGATGAGATGGCACAGACATAAAGGGGCTTTTAACTTGAAGGGCTTAGAGTCCTAGAGGCCATGAAGTCTTCTGGGTTTTTTGTTGGTGGTGGTGGTTTTTTTTGAGACTGAGTCTCACTCTGTTGCCCAGGCTGGAGTGCAATGGCACGATCTCAGCTCACTACAACCTCTGCCTCCTGGGTTCAAGTAATTCTCATGCCTCAGTCTCCAGAGTAGCTGGGACTACAGGCATGAGCCATCATACCTGGCTAATTTTTGTATTTTTAGTAGTGATGGGGTTTCATCATGTTGACCAGGCTGGTCTCAAATTCCTCACCTCAGGTGATCCACCCACCTCAGCTTCCCAAAGTGCTGGGATTACAGGTGTGAGTCACCACACCTGGCCCTATTTTTTCTTTTCTTTTTTTTGAAACGGAGTCTTGCTCTGTCACCCAGGTTGGAGTGCAATGACATGATCTCGGCTCACTGCAGCCTCCGCCTCCCGGTTTCCAGTGATTTTCCTGCCTCAGCCTCACAAGTAGCTGGGATTACAGACACCCGCCACCACACCTGGCTAATTTTTTTGTATTTTTTTAGTAGAGACGGGGTTTCACCATGTTGGCCAGGCTGGTCTCGAACTCCTGACCTCAGGTGATCCGCCTGCCTCAGCCTCCCAAAATGCTGGGATTACAGGCGTGAGCCACCACACCTAGCCTGTTTTTTCTTTTAATAGAGATGGAGTCTTACTATGTTGCCCAGGCTGGTCTTGAACTCCTGGGCTCAAGCAATCCTCCCACCTCAGCTTCTCAAAGTGGCCATAGAGGTTTGGTAAGAATATCATTCCAGCAATAGGAATGCAGGATGGATTAGAACCAGAAGGATGTCCATAGGACATTTGCTGGAGTGCCTGGGCCAGGAAATTTACATAGTTTTTCTCACAAAGGTGTCTGTCATCCATGGCTGACTTCTGAAATGAATCCACAAGCCAGGAACATTTGTCTAAATACTTTAATTAAATGCATTGTAATATGAAAAGCAGAGTGTAAATAAAGTGTTCATGTTTACTAAGAAAACAGACTAAAATATTCCAGGTAGCTGAACACACTTTGATAATAAAATTTGAAACAGCTTCTTGGTTTTCATTCTATTTAAAATATTTATGTAGTTAAAAAAATATTGGCCATTTGTTTTCCATCTAAATGCAGGAACTGCTGAGACATTTTAAATGAGTAGAGATTGAACATACATAAATAAGGGTCCTGTTTCAGCTACAGAATTATAATGCTTCTGAGCTGTTCCATTCATACCTCAGCAAACAACCAGTCCAATTCAATTTGGTGAAGAATGCCAGCCTCAAATTCAATTTATGTAATAACTAAGTTTTGTGAAAGTACTGCGTTAAAGGAGTTATCTCAGCGAAATTAAAACACTGCGAATCTCATTTCAAAATCAATTTTCTTTCCAGGACAATTCCTGGGAACCTCAAGAATCTCTTGCTTTATATCATAAGGAGTACACATTCAAGAACTGATATCTAAAAGAATAAGTATATTCGTATAAAAAAGATTCCTTATAAAATAGGATCTCACAGGGAAGGTGCTGTTGAAGCATTTTGCCATTTACTGAAAAGCAATGTGTTTGTTAGCACATCTGAAACACTTGCTAATGGTGGAAGCATTCTCTGTGCTTCGATCTTAGACTATGTGGTACAAATATACAAATAGTAAATGGAGATGAAGGAAAAATAACTGCCTAAACTCGCAGAGTTCCCCCATTTAAAAGATGTTTACCAGTGAAATTATGTCTGCACAAGATTGTTTTATTGCAGCATTATTTTTAACAGTGTAAGATTGGAAACAACGCAAATGCCCATCAATGGGGGAGTGGTTTAAATGTTATCATACATCCATACAACAAACTAGATTGCTGTCACCAAAATAACAAGCATGCTCTTTAAGGATAGGGAACCATCTCCAAAGTAAATTAAGTGAAAAATAACAGTGGCTCTAATATGTGTTACCACTTGTGTTAAAATTAAAAAGGAAGGGAAGAAGCAGTTACATATTTCCTTGTATAAGCATAAAATAACTCTGAAATGATACAGGAGAAACTGTTAACAGTGGTTGCTTCCAGAGAGGGAACCAAGGAAGCTGGGTACCAGGGCAGGATGAAGAATTTTTATTGGATATCCTTTTGTACCAGTGTAAATACGTTATTGTTTATTAAAATACATTTTAAAAGCTTTTTTTTTTAAAAAAAAAAAAAAAAGTAAAATAATAAGGTCAATCACTATATTCAATGTGATGATTACCCGGATCATGTAACAGGCCATCAACTAGACAAATCTGTTTGTGACTCTGGGATTTGGAAATGCTTAGACCAGCCTGGGGACTCCCACATTCTTTCAATTTTCTGCAATGGAAATGAATGTTGTTTTTAGTGGATGGACAAATACATATAGACATTTGCAAACCTTAAAGGCCTTAAGCAGCTCACGTTTTCCTATAATTTTATATAAAATGGGCAGGACCTATTGGAATTCCAGGTCCTTTATGTTCACTGTTGCAGGTGGAAACAAATGGCCTAATACTAGAATGCTAGATTTTGTTTTTAATCACTCACTCCCCCAAGAGCCATTCAGTATGCAAATAAAATCCTCTCGATAAATATTCATTCCCTGAATGATCCTTTTTTCTTTTTTTCTTTTTTTTTTTTTTTTTTTTTTTTTTTTTTTAATCACTCACTCCCCCAAGAGCTATTCAGTATGCAAATGTGCCTCGATAAACACATTCCATTCGAATGACCCTGATCCATCTTCATTTCTTTTTTTCTTTTTTTTTTTTTTTTTTTTTTTTTTTTTTTTTGTCTGAATCATAAAAGCAACATGACATAATCTGGAAAGCTTTAGGGAATGTAAGTGCTGTCATCAGCTGGGAGATTTCATTTTCTAGGATTAATTGAAGTTGCTGCCACCATCTCTACAGCGAGAGTGTCAAAAGTGAGTAACGGACTGATCCCTGCTGGCGAATGGGGTTTCTCAGGATGATAGGCAGAGGATGCTCCTACCCGGCTGTCCCTCCTGGCAGAGGCAGAAACGCTAGCAGTCCCTGACCAGTAAGTCCATTTCCCTTCTATCTGTTCTGAGATAATGGCATTGCACTGGAATTGAATAGAGTCTGAGGAAGATAAGCACTAACTACCCTAATGGGCATCCAGCCCCCTAGTGTGATTGCCCGCAAAGGAAAACAGTGTCCCAAGCTCAGCTCAGAACCAGGTAATTCTCAGCTGAACAGCTTGGCTGCCCTCCTTTCTTTGTTTCTTTATTTGTGTACGTTGTTGTTTGCTTGTGTTTCTGCTGCTGTTTTGTAGAGATGGGGTCTCAACATGTTGCCCAGGCTGATCTTGAACTCCTGGTCTCAAACAATCCTCCCATCTCAGCTTCCCAAAGTGCTGGGATTGCAGATGTGAACCACTGTGCCTGGCTATCTTTTAGTTCTTTGAGACAGGGCCTCACTGTGTCCAGCTCACCGCAGTCAGAAACTCCTGGGCTCAAGCCATCCTCCTGCCTCAACCTCTCCAGTAGCTGGGACTACAGGTGCACACCACCACACCTGGCTATTGTTTTTTTTTTGTTTCGTTTTTGTTTGAGATGGGGTCTCGCTATGTTGCCCAGTCTGCTCTCCAACTCTTGGCTTCCAGTGATCCTCCTCCTTCGACTTCCCAAAGCACTGGGATTATAGGCATGAGCCACCATGCCCGGCCGTGAAGTATTTTCTATCCTTGAAATGTGTTAGACAAATTCCTGAGGGGAAACCCCACACATTCAATAACCCTTTACTTTTTCAACAAAGCTTCCCATATATTGGAGCCTCATTTTATCCCCCACCCATGAACTTTAAAAGTGGAACATCATTTTGTTCTTAAAAAACGGAACAGTCAGGAAAAGGCAGGGCTCTCAACTGATACTGAGAGCTCAGGGACTGGAACACTTGATGAAATGTGTCGCGCTCAGGCCCAGCCCGCGAGGAGCTGAGTCGGGGCTGGCGTGCTGGCAGGGCGGTCAGAGCTGCAGCCACTGAGGCCACGACTGCGGAAAAGCATCTCCTCTTGGGCCATGGGGGAAGCTGGGGCGCAGGGGCGCAGCGGGCACTGGGGGCACACCTGCCGGAACTGCGCGTGGGAGCTGCCTCACCACACCTTACTCCACCTTCTCCTCCTTTTCCTCCGGTATCTCCACCGACAGGATCTGCTCGCCGGGCTCCGGGCCTGGGCTCATGCGGATCCTCACCGAGTGCTCCTCAGGCTGGGCCGACCCCTCCTCTTCTCCCTCGGGCCTCCCAAGGGAGGCAGGCGGTGGAGAGCGCGGTGGAGACCCCAGGGGTTCGGGGGGCGTCTGGGGCGCGGGTGGGTCGGGGGTGGCCTCCTTTGGGGGCGTGGGCTGGTCTGGGGCGGCCGAGCCTTCCTCTCCCTTGGCGTCTTGCGAGCTCTTGGCCTGGAATCCAGAAAGGGTGGCTCGTGAGGCACAGACTCTGGGAGGGGTCTTGGAAGGGTCTTGGACACCTCCCTGTTCCAGCCTTTTTGGGCCCCCAAAGAGGACAGCGGAACACATAGCGGGTGAAATCTAGTGGGTGGGGTGGAGCTGCATGGGCGTTATTTAGGAAAAACAAACTACATTAGGGGGAAGTGTACAGATTAAAAGTCCTGGTTGGATTTTTTTTTTTTTTTGAGACAGAGTCTTGCTCTGTAGCCCGGGCTGGACTGCAGTGGCCAGATCTCAGCTCACTGCAAGCTCCGCCTCCCGGGTTTACGCCATTCTCCTGCCTCAGCCTCCGGAGTAGCTGGGACTACAGGCGCCCGCCACCTCGCCCGGCTAGTTTTTTGTATTTTTAGTAGAGACGGGGTTTCACCGTGTTAGCCAGGATGGTCTCGATCTCCTGACCTCGTGATCCGCCGGTCTCGGCCTCCCAAAGTGCTGGGATTACAGGCTTGAGCCACCGCGCCCGGCCGTCCCGGTTGGATTTCATGGAAAGTCTTGGCATGTTTTAGATCTAGGCTGTGGGGCTGGAAGCTGGGATGAGGCTGTTGTTTCAAGCTCAGGGCCCCTCCCCCGAGCTGCTGAAGCAAGCCAGGCAGTGTGACTCTGAGGGAGTACCCACAAGGCCTCTGCAAAGGCTGAGCCATCTGTTATCAGGGATGGGCACTCCTGGAGTGGATGAAAAAAACTCCAAGCAAACAGGGTAAAAAGTGATGAGGGGAGAGGCTGCTGGGACTGGGCCCCCTTTCTGGAAGGTCTCAAAGGTTGAGATCTTCAGGGATAGCCTAGGACTGGGTACCCCTGGTATTGGGCTGCGCTGACCCTGTATGTGGAGACTTGATGGATACCTCCAGCCTCCAGCCTGTGCTGCCTCCCACAAGCGATGGCCATGGGCTTCGCATCAGTAGGGGACTGGGTAATTAAACCAAGCCTTTGTGGATACCTGTGGCCCCTCCCACTCTGCCTGATCCCATCTCTGCAAGGAAGGAAACTGGAGAGGGAGCAGCCCCCAGAGGAGGCCGGAATGATCCTCAGCTGCCCAAGACCCGTGTGAAGTGGTGCTTGTGAGTTTCAAGTGAGAACAGTCAACGTGCTTGTGTGGAGAGACCTGCACCATTTGCTCAAGTCGTAGGATATTGAAAAAAAAATGGAGAGAGTGCAGCCAAAATGCTCCGAGAACCCAAGGCCTCTCTTGGGATATGCTTCCCCTTCTGTCTCAGTATTTCTGTATGTTTTGGTGCCCCTGTCCCACCCTTGCCTGTTACCCTAAACTCTATTCCTTTCCTTTCCTTTCCTTTCCTTTCCTTTCCTTTCCTTTCCTTTCCTTTCCTTTCCTTTCCTTTCCTCCTTCCTTCCTTCCTCTCTCCCTCCCTCCCCCTCTCTCTTTTTTCCTTCCTTCCTTCTTTCTTTTCTTTTCTTTCTTTTTTTCTTTCTTCTAAGACCGAGTCTTGCTCTGCCACCCAGGATGGAGCGCAATGGTGTGATCTCAGTTCAGTGCAACTTCTGCCTTTGATCAAGCAATTCTCCTGCCTCAGCCTCCCGAGTAGCTGGGATTACAGGTGCATGACACCATGCCTGGCTAAGTTTTTGTATCTTTAGTACAGACCGGATTTTACCATGTTGGCCAGGCTGGTCTTGAACTCCTGACCTCAAGTGATCTGCCCTCCTTGGCCTCCCAAAGTGCTAGGATTACAGGGGTGAGCCACCTGCGCCCAGCCCACCCTAAACTCTTGACAACACATTTCCAGGGCAGGATGCTCAGATGGTGAGCACTGTGGGACTTCCTGAAGCATGGCGCTCTGGCTGGAACCAGCAGCATCATGGGAAGTCAGAAAAGTGCTTTGCTGTGTTCAACATGCTTTTCTAAAAGGCCTCCAAGGTATCCTGCTTGATCTTTACGACCTCCTGAGGCAACCCTCAGTAATTCAAGTCTCAAAAAGCTTGAGGGGCTTCCTGGGTCATGGAGCTAGTGGTGACAGAGCTTGGATTTGGACTTGTGTCTCTGGATGTCTAGTTAAGAGCTCCCTGCACTCTGCCATTCTGCCCTGGTTGTTCTGATTTGGAAAGGAAGTGCCTTTTAATGGAACCCTCATGCAAGTTTAATTCCCATCTTAAAGCTGCCTTGTTGAAGAGCTACCACTTAGGAGCCACAAGCCCGCCCCAGCTGAAGCTCTCAGTGTGCTGAGGGCACCCTTGGAGTTCCTGTCTAGTCAGCCCTCACAGCAGCCAGCGCTGAAGACCCCCATTTGCCAGCTCCACCTTGACCTTGACAGTTTGTGAGCCAGGCGATCACATCTTTCCTCAGTCTGGAGCCATTGGTGGCTATATCTGGAGAATGTCTTGGTACCCCAGATGGCTTTGATGTCACTCACCAGACTTCTACTGTCCAACAACCTCTGGATGGGTCTCCTGGACTCTGACACCGGGCTGGATTGAGACTGAGTTCACTGGGCTCCTTTGAACTCTGCTGTGTAGACTGTTAACCCCAGTCTGCCTAACCCCAGTCCCTCTCCAGTTCCCCAGCAGCCTTCCTAAGGGACAGCCATGAACGAACATAATTAGTGTAATTGTTCTACTTGGTATTCTTGGCTTTGGTCACAGAAAAAAGCCCCAGAACTAATTTTAATGTCCCCCATAGATTTATGGGGGTGGGAACATTAGGCACTGTGCCTGTGTGAGAGGATTTTACTTTCAAAGTTTTATTTTTCATTTTTTGAAACAGGGTCTCACTCTGTCACCCAGGCTGGAGTGCAATAGTGCAATCATAGCTCACTGCAGTCTTGACTCCCTGGGCTCAAGTGATGCTCCCAACTCAGCCTCCCAAGTAGCTAGGACCACAGGCATGTGCCACTAAGCCCGGCTAATTAAAAACAAAAAAGAAAAAATTTGTAGAGACAAGTTCTCGCTATGTTGTTCAGGCTGGTCTTGAACTCCAGGCCTAAAGAGATCCTCTGCCTTGGCCTCTCAAAGTTCTGAGATTACAAGTGTGAGCTACCATGCCTGACCCAAATATCTTAAATTGCCACAGATACAGTATTAAATATGAGAACACACTGTCTTCTGGGGAGGGACATTTGCTTCTCACACCTTCTCCTCTAACCTCTGCAACAGTATCAAGACTGTCTTTTAGAGATCCTGCTCCCAGCCTACTCTCAGTCCAGGGGTGGGTATGTGACCTAGGCCTCTTTAGAACACCACAGTGCCTTGGTCACACCGAATGGCTCAAGAATTGGCATGTGACCCAATTCTGTCCAATGACAGTGAGTCCCGGAACTTTTGCTAGAATCCCTGGGAAAGAGGTGCTTTCTTTCTGTTGGAGTTGCTATGCCAGGAGGATGTCATCCTAGAACTCTTGAGAACCTGCCTGGAGATAAAACCATCGCTGAATAAAGCAGAGATGATACAGTGGGAAAACTCGTCCTGTTGGCATCATTCAGGCTTTTGGATCCAGGCTTTCCTGAACTTTTTGATTACTTGACCCCTGATTCCCCTTTTTCTCAAGCTGATTTGAGCTTGCACTCTGCCACTGGTAACCAAATGAGTCCTGACTGATAGAAAAAGGACGGGGAAGACCCTAAAACTAAACGTGTGGCCCACTCTTGGAGACCCCTCGGCCTTTTCCCTGGCACATATCCAAAATGGGTGTGGTGGCTGGGTCCCCAACCACATTACCTGTTCCAGCAACTCTTGCTGCTTTGCAGCCGCCTCCAGCGCAGCCAGTTCTTTGAGCCGGGCCCGGAGGTGAGCAAGTTTGCCGCCTTTTGCCCCCTTGTCGCCCATCTTTCCTGTCACAGCGAGGGCAGCACTGAAGAGCTTCGGGGTGCCCGCCCGGGGCGGAAGGATCAGCACGCTCTTCTCCTCCTTGGGCTTGTTGTTGTTTCTCAGCATACGCCTGGAAGAAAGCAGCATCCACTTACATCACAGACGCACGCTGGGGGAAAAGAAAGGCTCGCTTGTGTAGCCTCCTTTAAGCTGGGGCGGTGTGGTGGTGGTGATTTTGGCTGGTGATTGTAGAGAGCCAAGTGTCGTGTTTAGTACTTTATGCACTGCATCTCATTGAAGAATCAGAACCACTGTAATGAGGTGGGTCTTACTGTCTGTTGTACCTTAGAGATGAGGAAAGTGATGCTCAGAGAGGTTCAAGAATAACTTGTCTGAGGTCACACAACTAGGAAATTCTCTCTCTTTCCTTTCTGTCTCTCTCTCTTGCCTCTCTCCTCTCTCTTCTGAATCCTCTCCTCTCCTCTCCTCTTCCTCTCTCTCTCTCTTTCTCTCTCTCTCTCTCTCAGGGTCTGGCTCTGTCACCCAGGCAGGAGTGCAGTGGCGTGATCATGGCTTACTGCAGCCTTGACCTCCATGGCTCAAGCAATCCTCCCACCCGAGCAGCTGGAACTACAGATATGCACCACCACAACCACAATTTTTTATTTTTTTTGTAGAGACAGGGTTTTGCCATGTTGCTCAGGCTGGTCTCAAACTCCTGGGCTCAAGCGATCCGCCTGCCTTGGCCTCCCAAAGTGTTGCAATTACAGGTGTGAGCCGCCATGCCTGGCCTCTCTTTTTTTTAACCAGTAGAAGAGTTAGGAAATCCTGAAGGACACTTTCACATAGGGAATTGGGAATAAGATGCCCAGGTGGAAAAGGAACCAAAGCTCTTTCCTTCTCCTTCTGCTTCACTGTCACCTCCCCATCATTACCATCACAATTATCAGCATGTATTGAGTGTCTATATGTGCCAGGCCCTCTGCTCCATCCTTTACAGGCACCCTTCAATGGCCCCTATTACCCCCTTCCTGGTGTTCACGCCTCTGTGTGGTCCCCTTCCCTTGAGGATGAGTGGGGTATGTGTCTTGCTTTTAACCAATAGAATACAACAAGGGCTATCACTGGTGGAATATATCACACAGGATTGTGATAGAGCTCTGTCTTGCAAGGGGACTCTCCCTTGCTGACTTTATTTATTTTTTATTTGATTTTTATTTTAAGTAATAGAGACGGGGTCTCCCTGTGTTGCTCACGCTGGTCTTGAACTCCTGGGCTCAAGCGATCCTCCTGCCATGGCCTCGCAAAGTGTTGGGATTACAGACATGAGCCACAGTGCCTGGCCTCCCTTGATGACTTTGATGTAGGGAGCAGCCGGCTGTGTTGGAGAAGGTCCACATGGCAAGCACCTGAGGCCAGCCACTGGCCAATTGCTAGTGGGAACTGGAGCCCCAGTCCTACAACCCCAAGGAACTGAATTACACCAACAGCCCTGTGATCCTGGAAGTGGGTCCTTCCCCTATCCAGACTTGAGATGAGAGCCTGCTTGGAAAACACCTTGATGACAATCTTGCAGAGGACCTAGCTAAGCCATGTCCAGACTTCTGACCCACAGAAACTGAGATCACGAATGTGTGTGATTTTAAATGGTTAAATTTGTGGTAATACTGTTATGCTAATACATACTCTCTCATTTAAGTCTCACAACAATCCCCATAAGTAGGTCTTATTATTCATCCTCATTTCCAAATGAGGGTATAGAAGTTCAGAGGGGGTGAGTAACTTTCCCAAGGCCACACAGCTAAGAAGCAGCAAAGCTAGAATTCAAACCCACACTTCTGACCCCGGTGCCCCAGGTATTAATGATTACAAAGCGACATTACATCATTATCTTCCTGGACACTGACATATCACTCCTGTGATATGGGAAGGGCTGAGATTACTGTGCCTCTGACAGTTGGGGAAATTGAGACTCAGAACAGGGGGAGTGATGTGCCCAAGGTTACCAGGAAGTGGCAGAAGCAGAATTGCCACCCACATCTAATGGTATGTACCCCCCTGTTTCTCTAGATAAGGGTAGATTTTTCCATCAAAGAGAGCCCTACCTTTTTACCGGGAATTTTTCACACTACAAACGTATGGTAAGCAGTTTGTCTCAAGAACAAATGAATTCTGCCTGCAACCAGCGGGCCTAGACAATGAATTGGCAAATTCATTCATCAGGGCTCCAGCAAAACTTGTTTGTTTAAAAATGAGGCCATTACTGGCTGCTTATCTAATCAGAGGCAATGGGTTTAAATGGTGCATATTGATATTAATTGCCCAAGATTTGCATTTCTAGCTGGAGATCCCCCAGGAGAACACAAACATGATAATTCACCAGACGCCTCTGACACGCGCCAGCTCGGCACCGTCCCCCATGTTATTTGAGTCCATAATTCACGATGTGACAGCCCACAGGAAGGCTGAGGGTGCTGTGAAAATGAACTATCTTTTTCTTTCTAACAAAATAACTATTTATAGGACCTTTGCTGATTGCTAATAGCTGTCTCTGTTTGGAAACATTGAGCTGGCTTCTGGGGCATTTCCAGATGAGGGAAATTTGTCCTCATTTTCTGATAATGTATGCTTCCCTATAACTGAGATTGAGCAATCAGCCTGGAGCAAGTGACCCACATAAGACCTCTTCATTCTCTTTCTTGAAGTGGTCAAGCCAGAGATCTGAGCACTTCACTTCTTTGGGGACTCGGGTCCCCCATCTGCAAAGCAGGGAGCTTGGACAGAATCCCACACGTGGCCCTCACCAACTCAGATGTCCCCAGAACTATGGTTCTCAGAGAGTGTATCTCCCCTGATGAGCAGAGCTCACACACAATCCCCTGCCTCTCTGGTCAAGCTGGCCTGGCCAGCAAACAGCCACTCTGATGACTCATGGCTGGGCCCCCCATCCCACGCCCCACCATGTTGCTGTGAGGCCTGTTAGCTCCACTCCTTCGCCTGGCTGCCTCCCACCCACACCTCAGCCTTCTCAGTATGGACACAGGTGCACAGGCACTGTCAGGAATGGGGGCCTCTGCACGGCTCTTGGGAGGGCCTTTGGGGTCCCATCTGATTTGCCAAACTCTTGCCTAACCCACCCAGGAGGATGGGATAACAGCTAAAAGCATGACTTTCCTGAGCTTTGTTCCTCCTCGTGGGGGCGGGGGCAAGAAGAGAGGGTGGAGAGACCTGGCACTAGTTTTCAGCCACAAGCAGAGTTGAATCTCATGATTTGTAGTAATTATATCCTATGAGATCTCTGTGAACACCGAATTAGCAAGTACGGAAACATTGTTGCTAGGGGAAATACAAGGCTAGATTCCTACAAATCTCTCATCACAACATTCGTGAACCATAATACATAAACTTGGCCAGGCGTGGTGGCTCGCACACAGTCCCAGAACACTGGGAGGCCAAGGCGGGAGAGCTCTTGAGCCCAGGAGTTCGAGGCTGCAGTGAGCTATGATCATGTCACTGTACTCCAGCCTGGGTGAAAGAGTGTAACCCTGTCTCTAAAATTAATAATAATAAACTTGTCTTATGTGTGTTTCTTTTTAAAGACATTATTATATTATTATTACTATTATTATTATTATTTTGAGACAGAGTCTCACTCTGTCACCCAGGCTGCAGTACAGTGGCATGATCTCAGCTCACTGCAAACTCTGCCTCCCAGGTTCAAGCCATTCTCCTGCCTCAGCCTCCCGGGTAGCTGGGATTATAGGTGCCCACCACCATGCCTTGCCAATTTTTGTAGTTTTAGTAGAGATGGGGTTTCACCATGTTGGCCAGGCTGGTCTCGAACTCCTGACCTCAGGTGATCCGCCTGCCTCAGCCTCCCAAAGTTCTGGGATTACAGGCATGAGCCACTGTGCCGGCTAAAGACATCTTATTAAATATAGATTGTTGTTTTATTAACATTGAACACACAGCCAACAGCACTGTAATTCATGCCTGAATGAAACTTATCTAACATACATATTTACTGCGTAAGGGACATTGCAGACTTCTTGTGCTTAGGAACACAAGACGGCACTTCAACGCTATGCTTGGGGGCCATTTTAAACAGTGCAATCGCCAACAAAAAGCACAAAAATGAAAAAAAAAAAAAAAGTGGCATTAAATGGACCATAAAAATATACCTGTTTGCAGTACAAGAGCTGAAACCAGAAGGCAGAACTGGGACTTCAGCGGGGAACGTGCACTTGGGGTGACTCAAGTATTTTACTGCTCTGGGCATGTCCTTGAATTACCACAAAAGTCTGTTAGTGTTGATCTTGGCGTTACGAGTCCATTTCAGTGAGGAGGCGAATTTGCAAATATGGAGTCCATGAATCACAAGGGTCCACTCTACCTCCCTGTCCCTCAGGAGAGGAAGCGCTGGCACACACCACTGATGTGGTGGGGAACGTGGGGAGATTTGGTGGGAGAAATTCAGATAGACCTGGGTTTTGGAAGGGCCCAGTGGGTTCCTTGAGAGCAACCAGGTGAGTTTTGGGGCAGCTTCCTTCCCCAGGGGACCTCAGTGTCTTGTGTGTATGATGCTTGGACATCAAAACTACCTCCTTTTACCTTGAAGCTGCTAAAGGGCTCCTGTGAAAACCTAAGGAACTTCAAGTCACTCCTCTGTGTAAAACTCGCCGTAGCTCCCATCTCTCTCTGAGGTCCGACCCAATCTCTTCCCCTACACTCCCCTGATCCCACACCAAGCTATGCTAATTTTCTCGGTGTTGTGCCACCCACACACTAAGCCTGCTCCTCCTCAGAGCCTCTGCACATGCTGTTCCCTCTGCCCAGAATGCTGTTCCCAGCCATCAGTCCGCCAGCTCACTCCTTTGCTTTGTACAGGTCTTGTTGAAATGCCACCTGCTCAGAGCAGCTTCCCCAACCAGCTTATCTCAGGCAACACTCCGTCACTTCCGCTCCTCCTGTGGCTTTGTTTCCTCATAGCCAGACACATCACATCATCACTCATCTTTCCATTGTTGGTTCCCTGACTAGAATGTGAGTTTTGTTTGGTCCTTGCTGTGTTCCCAGAACTCAGCACTGTGTACTCGATACATCACTGTGCTGTAGGAATGGATGCTGGTGAGTTTCTTCCCTTTATTATGGCAACTCTCTGTGCAGTTTATTTCTGGTGTCATTGTATAGAATGAAGGGGAAGATAAGAATATGTGATACAAGACAAGGAGGAAAACCCAGATATGTGGATTAAAAAGGTTTTAGCCAATTGAAAAATTATAAGGTGAATTTGATGGCTACAGAGGAACAATTGCTTATTTATTTTAGAGACAAGGTCTTGCTCTGTCACCCAGGCTGGAGTGCAGTGGCACGATCATAATTCACTTTAACCTTAAATTTCTGGGCTGAAGTGATCCTCCCGCCTCAGCCTCCTAAAGTGCTGCGATTACAATCATGCGCCACTGCACCTGGCCTGAAGGGATCGTTATTAACATGCACTGAGCTCTCTGACATGACAGGCACCCCACCGGAGACATTCCCGCACACTATTTGATTTTCACAGCAGCAGGCCAAGCACAGTGGCTCACACCTGTAATCTCAGCACTTTGGGAGGCCGAGGCAGGCGGATCACCTGAGGTCAGGAGTCCCAGACCAGCCTGGTCAACATGGTGAAACCTCGTTTCTACTTAAAATACAAAAATTAGCCGGGTGTGGTGGCACATGCCTGTAGTCCCAGCTACTGGGGAGGCTGAGGCAGGAGAATCGAATCGCTTAAACCCAGAAGGCGGAGGTTACAGTGAGCCAGGATTGTGCCACTGCACTCCAGCCTGGGCAACAGAGCAAGACTCCATCTCAAAAAAAAAAAATTACAGCAGCAAAGTAGGGGTTATGACCTTTATTTTACATAGGAGACAACTGAGACCAGAAAAGTTAAACAACTTCCTCAAAGTCACACAGCCAGCACCTCACATGGAAGGGACCTGAGCCCCGCCAGCATCCCAGACCTATTGTGGGGTTCCTGCCACCCCACGATGCCTGTCGCTCAATTTGAAACCTGATCTTAAGGGTTTGAAAACAAAAACTGGCTTTTCTAAAAAGAATGACGTGTTCCCCAACAATGCAAAATACAGATGCACACAGTTATTCATTGCACCACTGTCTGTAATTGCAAAATTTTGGAAATACCCTAAATGCCCATTTACAGGAATGTTCTGCCACTGTGGAAAGGAATGAGGAAACTGACTCTGCACTGATAGACGATGATTTCCGGGTTTTGTCGTCATGTGGAAACAAAGTAAAGTACAACAAGAATCTACAGCATGCCACATTTTGTGCAAGAAAGAAGAAATAAGAAAATGTTTGGGCTGGGCGTGATGGCTCACACTTGTAATGCCAGAATTTTGGGAGGCAGAGGCAGGCAGATCACCTGAGGTCAGGAGTTCGAGACAAGCCTGGACAACATGGCAAAACTCCATCTCTACTAAAAATACAAAAATTAGCCAGGCATGGTGGTGGATGCCTGTAATCCCAGCTACTCAGGAGGCTGAGGCAGGAGAATCACTTGAATCTGGGAGGTGGAGGTTGCAGTGAGCCAAGATCAAACCACTGCACTCCAGCCTGGGCTACAGAACGAGACTTGATCTCAAAAAAGAAAAAAGAAAATGTTTGTGGATCTGTCTATTTTTGCAAAAGTAAGCAGAGGAAAGAAAAGGCAGAAATTGATGCAACGAATCACGTAATAATGGGGGTTGCAGTCAGGGGGCAATGGGGACAGGGAGAGTTGGGACGCTTTTCTGAGTGCCCCATTTTGCAGAGTGCTGACCTTCAGGAACATGTTAATGTTCTACATACATAAAACAAGAAAAAGTCAACAAAGATCAGGGTGGCAGGAGCCCTAAATGGAATGTAAACTGAAATAAGTGAACTTACCTGTATTTCAGATGAATAAAGTAACCACATTAAAGGGTGGGGGAGGAAGAGAAGGACTCCAGATAACTTTGAACATAACACTTACATCATATATACTCGGGCTAAAGACAGAAGAGCTGCATCCAGTACTGAACTCTACCTAGAAGCCTTACTCTTTGTTTTTACAGTGACATGGGCTAGAAATTCTGAAATGAACTTCTCTGTACTGCTCAGTGTTGGAGAAGAGATTTACAAGTATGAAAAGGGAGAATATTAGAATGAATTCTAATATGTGGTAGCAGGGCACAGTGGCTCACACCTATAATCCCAGCAACTTTGGGAGGCCGAGGCAGGCAGATCACCTGAGGTCAGGAATTCGAGACCAGTCTAGCCAACATGGTGAAACCCCATCTCTGCTGAAAATACAAAAATTAGGCAGGTGTGGTGGCACATGCCTTTAATCCCAGCAGAGGTTGCAATGAGCTGAGATGGCGCCACTGCCACTGCACTCCAGCCTGGGTGACAAGAGTGAAACTCTGTCTCAAAAAATAAAATTAAATTAAAATTAAAAAATAATTAATTCTGTGGTGCTGGATTGAAATTGTTTTATAGATAGATCAATCAGTAGAAAAACAGAAAAATTGATGTTGGCATATATATGTATATGTGTGTGTATATTTTATATATATTATATATGTATTTTATATAAATATATTTGTATTTACACATCCTGGTGTGTATGTGGGTGTGTTTCTTGGTTCCGTCTGCTGCAGAGGCCTGTAGCACTCCAGTAGCAATGAGTGCTCCTACGACTCAGATCTTGGTTTCTAAAAACCATCCCGCAGTAAAAGGAATCAAGCCTCCTTGGAGAAAACTGCCATTTCCAGGATACCGCAAGGGATGTACAAGATGAACCAGGGCATCTGGTTGTGGCTTACTGTTACTTGAGTAAGCAAGGAAGTGCTCAAATATGACAGGGATATCACAAAGGTCACAAATGAGCCACCTTGAAAAAGTGCCCAGGGCCAAATTGGACCAATTTGAGCATCAAAATAATAATTGTTAACAGAGTGTTCATGGAATCAAGTAAATCCATGCCGATATACGTTGAGAAATGAATAAACAAGTGGGAGAGAAGAAAAAGCTCTTCCATACAGCTGACCACGAGTTAATAATCAAGGAAGGAGTGGAGTTACAAAATTACCATTTTACAACTATCATAGCAATCTCTTTGTAACTATCATAGAGAGGAACCATCAAAGGATGCTAAAAGTGGTGGGTAAAAGTTTGATGGGGAACAGGATATCCTCATAGTCTGAAGGTGACTCCCCACTAATTACTTAGGAATTAGGTTTAAGGGAAAATAGGTTCATAGTACAGAAACCTTAACCAAGTAATCAAAGTGAAAATAATCAATATTGGGAGTAATCGGCATCATGTGCCTCTCAATACATTTGCTGCAGAAGCAACATCACTTCTGAGTTCTTCCTGCCAAAAATGCAGACTCTAATGGTAATCACGAGAAAACCATCAGACAAACCCCAACTGAGGGGCATTCTATAAAATAACTGGCCTGTATGGGCCAGGTGTGGTGGCTCATGCCTGTAATCACAGCACTTTGGGAGGCTGAGGTGGGTGGATCACGAGGTCAGGAGTTTGAGACCAACCTGACCAACATGGTGAAACCCTGTCTCTACTAAAAATACAAAAATCAGCCAGGCGTGGTGGCATGTGCCTGTAATCCCAGCTACTCAGGAGGCTGAGGCAGGAGAATTCCTTGAATCCAGGAGGCAGAGGTTACACTGAGCTGAGATTGTGCCACGGCACTCCAGCCTGGGCAACAGAGCAAGACTCTGTCTCAAAAAAAATAAATACACAAATAAAAAATAACTGGCCTGTATGCTCAAAAGACATCCAAGTCACTAAAGGTTGGAAAAGCCTGAAGAACTATCCCAGATCAAGGAAGACTAAGAATACTCTGCACCTTAATTACAATATGTGATCCTAGACTTGATTCAGGAATGGAAAAGAAGAAAAGGTACAAAGGATATTCTTGAAGAATTAGCAAAATCTGAAGATGGATTATGAATGAGATAATAGTGTTGTTTCAATACGAAATTTCCTTATTTTAAAGGTGCAGTGGCTCACACCTGTAATCCCAGCACTTTGGGAGGTCAGAGCAGATCATGTGAGCCCAGGAGTTTGATACCAGCCTGGGCAATATAGTGAGACCCCAGCTCTAGAAAAAATTTTAAAAATTAGCTGAGCATGGTGGTATGTGCCTATAGTCCCAGCTACATGGGAGGCTGAGGCAGGAGAATCATCTGAACCTAGGAGGTTGAGGCTGTAGTGAGTCATCATCACTCCAATGCACTCCAGCCTGGGTGACAGAGCAAGATGTCATCTCAAAAAACAAATAAAAAATAAAGGTACTGTGGTTATGTAAGAGAAATTCATTGTCCTTAGCAATTTTCTATTAAATGAAAGAAAAGTTACATACCTGGCTTTCTTCCGGAGTAACTTCTGAGACTCAGGATAATGCACCAAAATCTCATTCAGGTCCTTCTTATCCAGGATGAAGAGGTTGGTAAACCCGTGGGCCACCACGTTGGCCGTGCGCCGGTTCCCGCCCCCAACAGCCAGCAAGCTGGGGCAGAGAAGGGAGGAAGGAGACCCTTCAGAGACTGTGGTTTTGGTCACATTCAGATCTTTCTTTCCCATGTGTGGAGCACAGTGGTGGCCCCACACAGATGAGAGCCTTCCCCCACCCCCCTCCCCGCATACATCAGCAGGTGCCAGTGCTGCATCTGCCAAGCCATAGACAGTCTCACTGCCCGCTGGCCGCCTTCTTTCCCAGCGCTTGCCACAGGCCCCTCACTTTACCCCAGCTGCCTCTGACCTTATTTCTCCAAACACAGATCCAGCTTTCAGCGTCACCAGCACAGATTTCCCATCAGGGCCGCCCAAGACCTGCACTTGCCCTGCCTGGATGATGTACATCTCACGGCCGATCTCCCCCTGAAACAGAGAAGGGACAAGTCCCTCTGTTCATCCCCCAACGTCACCAGAGAAACAGCCAGGGTTGGATCCAGAGGCTGGAGGTCCCGCAAGGAGGAACCTAGGCACTGGGGGTCCAGCCCTGCCACCACAACTTGGGGTGTTGTATGGGGGCAGTCACTTCCCTCTCGGGCCTCAGTCTCCCCATCTGTAGACTTGAAGGAGTGACTACCCCATGTCCTGCGTAACTGATAGGGTTGCAGTGGGGGAGTTAGTGATGTCCTGGAATGGGAAGTGCCAGCTAACCTGGGAGGTGCAGGTATAATGGAATTCTGCAAATTTCCAGTTAGACTCACTGATGGAGGCAGGGCAAATCAGATAGCAATTCCCACCATCAAATGATATCTACACCTGGCATATTTCAGGGGCTCAGGAAGCATTTGCTAACTGCAACAGGAATGGGAATAACAATAACGATAGTATTCAAATTGCCTTTTTTTTTTTTTTTTTTTTCTAGATGGAATCACTCTGTCGCCCAGGTTGGAGCGCAGTGGCGTGATCTCAGCTCACTGTAACCTCCGCCTCCTGGGTTCAAGCAATTCTCGTGCTTCTGCCTCCCAAGTAGCTGTGATTACAGGCATCATACTTGAGCCTCCCAAGTAGCTGAGATTACAGGCATGGGCCACTGCTCCCGGCTAAGTTTTGTATTTTTAGTAGAGACAGGGTTTCACCACGGTGGCCAGGCTGGTCTCGAACTCCTGGCCTCAAGTGATCTGCCTGCCTTAGCCTCCCAAAGTGCTGGGATTACAGGCGTGAGCCACCATGGCCAGCCCCAGATTGCTTTATGCAGTGTACTACTTATCCTCAACAACCCTCGGAGGTGAGATCGCTCTTTGCCCAAGAGCTGGGATCTGCACCCAGACAATCTGGTTCCAGAGTTCATGGCTGTTGTGGGTTGAATTCTGTACCCCTCCCAGATTCTATGTTGAAATCCTCATCCCCAGCGTCTCAGCATGTGACCTTATTTGGGAATAGGGTCATTGCAGATGTAATTCCTAAAGATGAGGTCCTTCTAGACCTAATCCAAAAGGACTGGTGTCCTAATGGAAATGTGGACACAAAGACAGGCATAGAGACAAGAGGATGTGAGGAGACACACACACAAAAAAACCGAGATGACCACCTACAAGCCGAGGAGAGAGGCCACCCAGCTTGTGGTGTTGTGCAGTGTCTCGTGGCAGCCTGGCAAATGCATACAATGGCCTTAATCCCAAGTCAAACCAAAGGCATGCATGAATGAATAGCTTGCTTTGGACTGTAATTAGAAACACCTAGTCTGAAGCGGGAGCGGCCAAAATGAAGTTTAATCCCTTTGTGACTTCCGACCGAAGCAAGAATCGCAAAAGGCATTTCAATGCACCTTCCCACATTCGCAGGAAGATGATGTCTTCCCCTCTTTCCGAAGAGCTGAGACAGAAGTACAACGTGCGATCCACGCCCATCCGAAAGGATGATGAAGTTCAGGTTGTGTGAGGACACTATAAAGGTCAGCAAATTGGCAAAGTAGTCCAGGTTTACAGGAAGAAGTATGTTATCTACATTGAACGGGTGCAGCGGGAAAAGGCTAATGGCACAAGGGTCCACGTAGGCATTCACCCCAGCAAGGTGGTTATCACTAGGCTAAAACTGGACAAAGACTGCAAAAAGATCCTTGAACGGAAAGCCAAATCTCACCAAGTAGGAAAGGAAAAGGGCAAATACAAGGAAGAAACAATTGAGAAGATGCAGGAATAAAGTAATCTTATATAAAAGCTTTGATTAAAACTTGAAGCAAAGAAAAAAAAAAAAAAAAAACACCTAGTCTGCCACGCGCCTTCCAATCCTCATGCCTTCACGGGCCTTGTCCTGGCCAGCTACCTGTGACTCACATGTGTTTAAAACGGGAAGAGGAGGTCTATAGAAAATAATAATAATAATAATTAAAAAGGGGGCCGGGTGCGGTGGCTCACGCCTATAATCCCAGTACTTTGGGAGGCCGAGATGGGCACATCACCTGAAGTCAGGAGTTCGAAACCAGCCTGGCCAACATGGTGAAACCCTGTCTCTACTAAAACTAAAAAAATGAGCCGGGGGTGGTGGCACATGCCTGTAATCCCAGCTACTTGGGAGGCTGAGGTAGGAGAATTGCTTGAACCCGGGAGGTGGAAGTTGCAGTGAGCTGAGACAGTGCCACTGCACTCCACCCTGGGCGAAAGAGTGGGACTTGGTCTCAAATAAACAAACAAACAAACAAATAAATAAATAAATAAATAAATAAATAAATAAGGGGTCCAGGAAGTGACCAAGGGCAGTAACTGTCACACTTTTGACTTATTTGACAGAAAATTCCTGCGCATTTCACATATGCATGACCTCCTTAACAAAAAGGAAGAGAGGTTTGCCTCCCTGTTTCTGTTTAGTCTGACAAGAGTGAAAGGGTGAGGGGACCTTCACCTCACTAACCAGCGCCCAGGGTGTCTCAGAGAGATCGCTTCAGAGCAAAACCAGACAGCAGAGGGCGCCCTTCACACGTGCTCACCAAGTGCTCAATTTAATTTGCAATCACAGACTTTAGATTCACTTTTTCTCATTTGAAGCAAACTCCGCATCACCCACGAAGATAACAGCAACAGCACTGGCACCTGCTGTGTGGCAGGCACAGTGTTAAGCTCTGTATGCACATCTTATTCAGCCCTCACAACCACCCCATGAGGGAGGTACTATCAACATCCCCCACTTTATCCATGAGATGAGCAGGACTCAGAGAGGGCAAGCCACTTGCCCAAGGCTGCACAGCCAGAAAGTGACTCCAATGTCAGGCAAGTCACTCTATTGTTCCCAGACCCCTCTTGGCCCCTAATGTTGCAGCTTTAAATCCTCAGCCCTCTGAAGCATCCTTTTCCCCTCTTCACCCTGGCTCTCTGCTTCCAGAAATTTCACTGCTACACAGCATATAACCTGGAGACAGGGACCTTCTTGGGGACAGGGGTGCCCAAGTCTTGCAGAGCCTGCTTGGGTAATGCTTTCCCCCCTGTACGCACACCCAGGCTTATTAACAGCTCTGGGCAAGAGGACTGGAAACCTGGGTTCCTGATCCCTCCCCTCCCTCACCAAGTACCTTGATCTCACCTTGAACCCCAAAGACAGGGAGCAGAAAGGGCTCTAGACATTGTTAGACCCCAGGATTCAACCCCAGATGTTTTCTGGGATCAGAGGGTGAAGCTGAGCAGGGAGGGGGTTCTAGGGTGGGGCAGTGGGGAGCGGTGGGAGCTGTGGCATCAGGAAGGGACACAATGTGCCCCTTTGGGGCAACCTTTCCTCCACCCCAGCTGGCTCTTGCCATTTGGGAAGTGGATCCAGTGCTGGCAGATTGTCTCTTTTCAGCCAGAAATCTGAATTTTTATATGAAATCTTCAAATTTTTAAAGGTTGGGGACCAATTCTACATTTTCTTAAAATTAGAAAGAAAAAAAAAACCCACAGAATACCTGTGTGCTGGATCTTACCCAAAGGCCACCAGTTTGCAACCTCTGACCTAAACCCACCCCTTCTCCTGCCCCATTTTCCTGATGGGAAGACGGAGACCGCAGAAACAGTTTCAGCTACACAGTCAAGGCCCTGCCCCTCTTCAGGCTCCACGGCTTCTCTTTCTGTAAGGTGCGGGGGTCTTTGTCCTGGACCCCATGGTCCTGTGTCAATGGAGCTGAGGAAATGCTTTGCAAAGCCAGAGGCACATGTGTGCTGATTGCATAGAACTGGCAAAGCCTCCTAATCCGATCCTGCTCTTGGATCTGGTCAGGTCACTGCAGCACAAAGCCGCAGACACTCCTCTCCCTCCCCAACAATCTCACTCTGCCCTGGGCTGGCAGGTGCCCCTCCAGCTCAGCTCCTTGAAAGCCAGGGGGATCGTGAACCCCAGATCCAGCAGTGGCTGCCGGGCCAGCTCACCTTCTTGCACACATAGTCATTGGGCAGGTAGACAACAGAGCGAAGCCTCTTCAGCATGTCAAAGATCATCTGCCGGTCACAGCCCTATCCCAGTGAGGAAGGGAAAGGAACGCTGTTTAGAGAAGATTGGGTTTGAGCCTCCCACAGCCCTGAGGGTGAGGGCACCAAAGGGTGTACCTGAAAGAGTGCGACTTTGCTAACGATGTTGTAGTTCACGTCGATGGCAAGGTCCAGCCGCATCTTGTCTGGAAGCTGCACCATCAGCTCTGACTCATCTGTGAACAAGGCCTGGCAAGGGTTAGAGGCAAGGCCAGGCCCCACCCCAGGCACACATACAGGCCAAGTGCCCACCTACCGGCTTATCAGGGCACACCGTTGCCCTGCCGTACAGAACCACTCTAGATTTGTAGAGCGCCCTCTCTCAACTCCAGCCTTTGCCAATACCGTTTCCTCTGCCAGGAGCACCGCTGTGCATTTCCCAAACTCCTACTCATTCTTCAGAACCCAGCACTAATGTCACTTCCTCCTGAAAGCCTTCCCTTGACATCCCCCACTCAGTTACTATGTTAGTAGCCCCTGCACTGTTGCAATTATCGGTCACCTGTGTTCCCAGTGCCCTGTAAGGACAACATCAGCAAGAACTAAAGTCTCTGGAGCACTTCTATGAGCCAGTGAGCCAGGCACCCCCCCTCTTTTTTTTTTTTTTTTTTTTTTTTAAGACAGAGTCTCTGTCACCCAGGCTGGAGTACAGTGGCATGATCTCAGTTCACTACAACCTCCACCTCCCTAGTTCAAGCAATTCTCCTGCCTCATCCTCCCAAGTTGTGGGACTACAGGTGCCCACCACCAGGCTGGCTAATTTTTTGTATTTTTAGTAGAAACGGGGTTTCGCCATGTTGGCCAGGCTGGTCTCCAACTCCTGACCTCAGGTGATCCACCCACCTGAGCCTCCTAAAGTGCTGGGATTATAGGAGTGAGCCACCACACCCAGCCAAGCCAGGCACTTTTTAATAGAGTGTTTTATAAAGACTATCTTAGTTTTTAGTTTTTATTAAAATATAATGTTTTTAATACTTTGAACCCTGAGAAGCTAAAAAAAATTTTTTTCTTTTAGAAACAAGGTCTCACTATGTTCCTCAAGTTGGTCTAAAAACTCCTGGGCTCAAGCAATCCACCCGCCTCAGCCTCCCAAAGTGCTGGGATTACAGGCATGTGCCACCGCACATGGACTTATTTTTATTTTTCTGAGACAGGGTCTTGCTCTGTCACTCAGGCTAGAGTGAGTGCAGTGCAGTGGCACAGTCACAACTCACTGTAGCCTCAACTTCCTCAGACTCAAGCGACCCTCCAGCCTCAGCCTCCTGAGTAGCTGGGACTACAGGGATGCACCAACACGCCCAGCTAAATTTTTTGACTTTTTGTAGAGATGGGGTTTTGCCATGTAGCCCAGGCTGTTCTTGAACTCCTGGGCTCAAGTGATCCTCCCGCCTCAGCCTCCCAAAGTGCTGGGATTAAAGGCAAAATTATTTTACTAAATCCCCTAGGCAACCCAAGAGGTGCCCTACTATAATCTCAACTTTACAGATGAGGAAATGGCAGTGACATGCCCGTAGTCTTGTAGCTCAGGGGATGAACTCAGGACCCCAACCTGGCTATGTAGCTCTAGAGCTGCCCCAGGAGATCCAGGGCTAAGCCTGTTGCGCCCGTCATGGGGCGTGCAATGTCCCTGAGAGAAAGAGAGGACAGAGGAGGAAGAGAGAGGGAGGGAGGGAGAGAGAGGAAGGGAGGGAGGAAGGAAGGGACAGAGAGTCCTCCTCCTCCTCCTCCTCCTCCTCCTCCTCCTTCTTCTTCTTCTTCTTCTTCTTCTTCTAATTTAAACTGCACTTCGCCCTCACACCTGTAATCCCAGCACTTTGGGAGCCTGAGGCTGGTGAATCACCTGAGGTCAGGAGTTCGAGGCCAGCCTGGCCAACATGGTGAAATCCTGTGTCTACTAATAATATAAAAATGAGCTGGGCATGGTGGCACATGCCTGTAATCCCAGCTACTTGGGAGGCTGAGATAGGAGAATCTCTTGAACCTGGGAGATGGAGGTTGACCGAGATTGCTCCACTACACTCCAGCCTGGGTGACAGAATGAGACTCCATGTCGAATAAATAAATAAACACACACACACACACACACACACACACACACACACACACACACTGCATTTCACTCTTGCATGGGGATGCATTTCAAGGTGGGTGAAGCGAGGGGGGCAGGCACACAGAAGACAAGACCCCAAGTCTCCAGGGATCTCATGACAGCCCTGCTAGAGGCATTTCAGGGGACCCACTGGGCCCCTCTCACACCAAGGTTGGGGACACAGCCAAAAGAGGCCCCAGTACTCAGGGCCTCAGAGACACAGAGGACAGGGGAGGTGCCCCGAAGGCAGGGCACCGGGCACCAGGCAACAGGAGTTGGCTGGGAGCTGCTGGTGGCTGTCAGGGTGTGACCATCTTACCCAGCATGCCTTGCGAGTGCCAGGTGTACTCGTACCAGGTCTTGACGCGGTTCTGCACGGACTTGGGGATCTTGTAGAAGTTCATGTACTTCACCGTGCTGTCCATGCAGCTGCGGTAGTAGGTCTGTCCCGCGGTGGCGGCCCCTACCACATCTCTCATCTAGGAGGAAAGGTTAGGGGAAGTCAAGGAAGCCACTGGGTCATGGGAGTGGGGGCTATTACATGGGTTTGGGATGTGTCACTTCACACAGACCAGGGGCATGTGCTCGTGGCGGGGCATTGGGAGCAGGGAAGGCAGATGTCCTCACACAGAGAAAGTTCTACTGACGGGAAGTTCTGCCTCCAGCATGGATGTGGGGAAGAGGAAGGGAGGGAGACTGCCAGCCCCTTGGTGGCCTCAGGTCCCTGGGACCACAGCAGTGGGGAAAGCTCCTTGGGCTGGGCTGATTCTGGTACAACACAGTCCCTCGGTGACGGCGGCCACTTTGACTCCATGCTGGAGGAAATAGGAAGCCAGTGTGCTGTTCCTCGGGGCGGGGCCCTTCAAAGGTAATGTTGAGGACCTCTGACTGTCACCTCGTGTCTCGATCAGAATGTAAGATGCTGCCCTGGCACACACCAACTACACCAGGGGTTTCTCCCTCAGCCTCGGTAGAAAACCATTCAGCCCAGTGCACCCAGAGGAACGGACATTTCAAATGAGAATAACCTCAGAGAGGGAATAGGGCCGAGTTCACCCCACCCCCTCCACCGCACAGAGCACAGTGCACCAGGCCCCTGACTCTCAGTCCAGTGCTCTTTCCCAGGCTTAATCCAAAAGGAATGGGCGCAGAGGGTGACATTTCTGGCAACAGTAGGCGGGGGCCCTGCAGTCAGGTGGGGTGGGAAGCCAGGCTGGTGCCCCGATACCTGTCCAATCATCACAGAGAAAGCAAAGACGCCCGTGAAATAATTCAGCAGCTGGAAGACAATTTCAAAGAGTGTCTTGGGGTCAGGCAGCCCCCCGATGGTGATGAGGGTCTTCACAGCAAAGTAGTAACAGCGAATATAACTGGAGAGAGAGGAGAAAGGGAACACGGGTCATCATAGGCCCCACTCTGCTGCCCCTGAGTGGTCTGGCTCAGACGCCTCTGATAGATGCATGTTGTGCAAAAGACAGAAACCCTTTACAGCTCATCTATGCAAGAAAAACCACCTCCTGCACGCGTAGAGCACGTTGCCATTTGCAGAGCAGGTTCACGAATACTATTAGGTGCGGTTGTGTCTCTAGGGATATGTTGCCATCCCCATTTACAGATGTGGAAACTGAGGCTCTAGGGGATTTCCAGGAAGAGTTAGCAGGAGGCCAGACCAGGGTCTTCCAACTCCTAATGACTGCACTCCCTTAATTTCCTTCAGTGTTCCTTCAATTTCCAGTCTTTTCGTTTGCTGTCACCTGCCATGTTGGCTTATGAAAAGCAAAAGCAACATCAAGTTTGGAAGATATCCTGGGGATGACTTTTTCTGACCCACTCCCCTGCAGCCCATCCATTCTCCAGATAGTGAAACTGAGGCCCCCAAAGGGAAAGGGCACACCCATAGTCACTAGTTGGTAAGTGCAAGAGCTGGGTGCTGCCTGCTTCTCTGAGATGTCATCCACCAGCAGTTAACCCTCTGACGCAGGCTTGTGAACCTTCTGGAAGGGAGGTATGGGGGAGGCGGTCCTACTGTGTGGTAAAAAGCATAGGAAATGCCCTGAGTGCTCTAGTCTGAATGTGTCCCCCGAAATTCAGGCACTGGAAACTTAATTCCCAATGCAATGGTGTCGGGAGGTAGGGCCTTTGGGCGCTGTTTAGGCCTCGAGGGCTTTGCCCTCATGAATAGATTAAAGTTGTTACAAAAGGTTCTGGTGGAAGATGTCCACGTTCTTTGGCCCTTCTGCCTTCTGCCATATGATCACAGTGTTCCTCTCCTCTAGTGGACACTGCGGCATTCAAGACACTGTCTTAGAAGCAGAGAGCAGCCCTCACCAGACGCCAGAACCTTGATCTTGGACTTCCCAGCTTCCAGAACAGTGAAAAGTAAGTTTCTGTTCTTTATAAGTTACCCAGTCTCATGTATTTTACTATAGCGGCTCAAAAGGCATGAAGCCACCAAGCTTGTGCGTGATTATCACAGAGCTGCAAGGGTCCCTCTGACACCTGTCCACCCCTCAGGCTGAGCCCTCCTCTGGGTCAGCGAAGGTTAGGTCAGAAGGGCCTAGAGACCAGGCAGTCCCCGCAGGCTTTCCTGCACCAGCTATTTATGCAGCGTCCTAGATAGAACACGGGCTCCGGACCAGGCTGGCTGGGCTCAGCCACCTTCTAGCTGCATAACTTGGACAAATTTCTCTCTCTCTCTCCAAGCGTCAGTTTCCTTCTCCATAAGATAGGGATGGCAATAGAATGTCCCTCACAGAAGACCATGAGGACAAAATGAGATGCTAGAAGACAGTCTGGCACATGGTGGACTCTCAGCAAGGGAGCTGTCAAAGCCTTCACAGCCCCTGTTGTCTGCCGTAGGCAACTGAACAGACTCGCCCATATCCTCAAGAAGCTTGTGGTCCACTGCGGGGACAGGCAGGTAACGTGCAATGCATGCAGGAAGGAGGAAGCAGAGGTTGCTGGGGAGTGTGGTAGGGGCTCTGCCTCTGATAGCTGCGGGGCCTTGGGCAGGGCTACGGGCCGCCCTGCACCTCCACATCACCTGTTGCCTGCAAGTTTCAGAACCCAAAAGGGGCCGATCAAACCCCCGTCATACTGGTTCTGGCCATCAGAGGGCGCGCGAAGCAGTGTTTAGCGGGACGGAGCAGCACCCCCAACTCTGCAAACCCCTGGGCTGTCCGGGAGCTGGGTGCTTATGCCGCTGGGCCACCAACAGAGAGACGACATAGGCGTGATGTCCACAAAACTCTGGCTTTCCCAAACCGTTCCCGGCTGGAGGAATCTTCCAACGACATGGCACATAGTCTCCTTGTCTTCCACACTGTTGGGTCTGTGGGGACCCTCTGTGCTTCAGGCTGGGCAGAACGGGGCAGGAGAGCACTGGGGCAGGATGCGGGGCCTAGCATTTGTAGGAGCTCGGGACCCTGAGCCCCTGGCACCCAGCAAGCACTCCACAAATGCTCGCTTTGTAAAAGTTGTTATTCTTCATGCTACTGGAATTTCTAAGGAATCCTCCTTCATTACTCGTACTTGGCTCACATGTTGCGGTTCCCTGCAGGATGTCATTTGGGAAGGAGTATTGCTGCCAAGGAAGCGTGCCCTTCCCACTGCTAGGCAGCTCGAGCTCCTCTGGCAGAGGGCCCTGCAGAAGGCGGTCCCAGACAGCTGTCCCCCTGCCCTGCCCCCGCCCTGCTCTGCTTACCCTCCCTTCCCCGAGCTGCTCAGTGACGGATGTGCCAGTCTTAGCTCCAGGGAAGAGAGTTCTTAGTTTATTGGGGCACGAGCCCCTTTGAGAATCTAGAGAAAGCCAGCTCTGTTTCCCTAGAAAAGCCAACATATGCTCAAATTTTAGCTCCGATGTCTGGTGGGTTTGTGACCCCCAAAAAGCTCTATACCCCAGGTTATTAACTCCTTTCCTGCCATGCTGGCTTCCCCCCTAACAATAGCCATAGCTAGGCACAGGGGTCACTGACACCTGCTCAGGCCCAGGCTAGACATGCCACACATATTTATTTATTATTTCTCATAAGAAATCTGGATGTAAGCTACCCGCATTGTGCCTGTGGGAACACTGGGTCTCAGAAAGGATAAGGTCACAGAGCTCAATTCCATGCCGAAATTGTGGTCTCCCCTTTGCAGAGAAAGAGCCTTCAAGTCCCTCTCTGCCTCCTTGTGATGGGTTAAATGAATGAAGAAGTGAATGAATGCATGGCCTAATCAAGGCTCAGGAGCGGGGCTGTGAATGGGAATGGGTAACAGGGCCACTGGTGACGTGGGGAAGCGTTAGATCCTGACCCCATCCCTGATATTCTCCATCCCACAGTGGCTCTCAGGGACTCCCCTCCTGCCTGCCTGGGTAGCCCTGGCCTCTGGTACATCTCTTTCAAGACAAAGTCTCGCTCTGCCACCCAGGCTGGAGTGCAGTGATCTCAGCTCACTGCAACCTCCACCTCCCGGGTTCGAGCAATCTTCCCATCTCAGCCTCTTGAGTAGCTGGAATTACAAGCATATACCACCATGCCCAGTTAACTTTTATATTTTTTTGTAGAGGGGAAGTTTCGCCATATTGCCCAGGCTGGTCTTGAACTTGTGAGCTCAAGCAGTCTGCCTGCCTGAGCCTCCAAAAGTGCTGGGATTAGACATGAGCCACCAAAATCAGCCTGGGACATCTCTGTAAAGGTGTGGCTCCCCCTCAGGGCAGGGCTCACGGCAGAAGGCAACCACCGTAGCCATGGTGGCTGAGGTTAGGGCATCTATACTGGGAGGAGACGTTCAGTACAATTAACCACTCTACGAAGCCGCCACCTTGGGTGCAAGCAACCCACCTGTTCCCAACTGGGAGCAAGGGCCTGGGGGTGGACAGCTGGACCATGGGCATTTTGTGTCACTAGTGGGCACAGCCCAGGGTGAGGTGGGACACCCTTCGGTGAGTAACTCCCCACTGGACCTTTCCTTCTTCCACCTTCTCATCCTCACTGCGGCTGACTGAGCGCCCACTGTGCCCAGGCACTGCAGCAGGGGCTCAGAAGCGTCTACTCCTCTGTCACCTCTTTAGGGTGGGAGTCCCATTTGCAGCCCCATTTTGCAGGTAAGGGAACTGAGGCCCAGAAAAGAGAACTGGCCTGTCTTTGCTGCCAGGGGGCAGCTCTAGGAGTCACGCTTGGGACTCCTCATCCCTCATCCCTCAAGCCTCCCTTCTGATTCTGCAGGCCCAGCCCCCATCCTGTGCGCATCCCTCCTGCCCACATCCCTCCTGCCCACCCTGACCTCCGTCCCCTAGGTCAAGCCACCTGTTGGTCTGGAGGGTTTGCAGCTCTCTCTGACACAGCAGCGCCCCTTGCTGGCTGTCTGCTGCCTGCTCTCACTCCCGGTGCACTCTCCCATCAGCACGAGGGTGGGCTTTCCAAGACCCCTCCCTCTGCTCACTCTCCTGCTTAAGGCTTTTGACAGGGCAGGGGAGAAAGTGTCATCTTTAACACCATCCAGCCTTAAAATGAGGCGCACACCTGTAACCCTAGAACTTCGGGAGGCCAATCGCAGGCAGATAGCTTGAACTCAGGAAGCCGAGACCAGCCTGGGCAACACGGTAGAACTCCATATATCCAAAAAATACAAAATTAGCTAGGTGCAGTGGCATGTGCCTGTGATCCCAGCTACTCGGGAGGCTGAGGTGGGGGGATCACTTGAGCCCAGGAGGCGTAGGTTGCAATGAGCCGAGATCATGCCACTGCACTCCAGTCTGAGCAACAGAGAGCAGACCCTGTCTCAAAAAATAATAATAATAATAATGGAGGTGGCATATATGTGGGAACTCTGTCTACTTTCCAATGGACCTCTCTATAAACTTCAAGCCACTTTTTAAAAAATTAAGTCTGTTCATGAAAATAATTTTTAAACTTTTTTTTTTTTTTTTTTTTTGAGACGGAGTCTTGCTGTCTGTTGCCCAGGCTGGAGTACAGTGACATAATTTTGGCTCACTGCAACCTCCCCGATCCAGGTTCCAGTGATTCTTCTCCTGCCTCAGCCTCCCAAGTAGCTGGGATTACAGGCGTGCACCACCATGCCTGGCTAATTTTTGTATTTTTAGTAGAGATGTGGTTTTGCCATGTCAACTAGGCTACTCTCAAATTCTTGGCCTCAAGTGATCTGCCCACCTTGGCCTCCCAAAGTACTGAGATTACAGGCATGAGTCACTGTTCCTGGCTAAAAAAACTTTTTTAAATGTTTGTAACTTTTGATGACTTTTGGTGAAATCAACAGTGCTTATGCCTGCCTCCCCCACTCCCTCTGGCCACCAGACTGGCACTTTTCCTTTTCATTGAGGCAGTTAGGACTCTGTGGCCATGACACCTGGGTTCAAATCCCAGCTCTGTAACTCATGAACCGTGTGACTGGCATCTGCTACCTCATCTGTAAAATGGGGATGGTGCAGTACCTATCCGATGTGATGGTTGTGAGTTACTGTGTTCAGTGCTTTAAATAGGGCTGGCACGAAATAGGTATCCTACAAGCCTTGCTGCCATTATCATCATCATTGTCACCATCATCACCATTGTAAACCAAAAATAAATTATAAGGCCCCCAACCATCGGAACAGACCCCTCCTCTTGGCCAAGGGCTTTCTGGAGTTATCTGAAAACCTAATTCAGGCCATGAAGGAAGAGGGGGTCGGACATGCCTCATTATACTCCTCCAGCGTTAACATCAACGCAGACCTTAAGTCTGGTAAGAAACATTACAGTCTCTTTTCTCTAAAGCCCACTACTTAGAGGCTTCATCTGCATGAAAATACCTAGCTCACCACAACCCCTTATCATAACCCAGACATTTCTTTCTACTGATAGCTCTTTCAACCAATTGCTAAGCAGGGAATTATTATTATTATTATTATTATTATTATTATTTTGAGACAGAGTCTTGCTCTGTCACCCAGGCTGGAGTGCAATGGCGCAATTTCATCTCACCACAACCTCCACCTCCCAGGTTCAAGCAATTCTTGTGCCTCCGCCTCCTGAGTAACTGAGACTACAGGTGCTGCCACAACGCCTGGCTAATTTTTGAATTTTTAGTAGAGATGGGATTTTGCTGTGTGGGTCAGGCTGGTCTCGAACTCCTGATCTCAGGTGATCTGCCTGCCTCGGCCTCCCAAAGTGTTGGGATTACAGGTGTGAGCCACCAAGTCCGGCCTTTTTTGTTTGTTTGTTTTGTTTTGTTTTGTTTTTTTCCAAGCAGAGACTTTTAAAATCTACGTATGCCCTGGGGCCACTCCTCCCTTTGAGCTGTCCCACCCTTCCAGATCTAACCAATATAAACCTTACATGTATTGATTGATGTATTCTGTCCCCCTAAAATGTATAAAAGCAAGCTGCACCCCGACCACCTTGGGCACATGTCATCAGGAACCGCTGAGGCTGTACCATGGATGTGTCCTTAACTTTGGCAAAATACACTTTCTAAATTGATTGAAACTTGTGCCAGATACTTTTTGGTTCACACGTCATCATCATCACTCTGGCAAGTCTCATAATGGATGGCGGCTCTCTGATTGGCAAGTGGGTCTCCCCTTGTTCGCCAGTGCCTGCATGGTAGCAGTGCCTGGGGAGCTGTGCTGGGGAGTATTCTCTGGCCTCATTCCCTCTTGGCCGTGCCCAGGGAAGCAGGAGTAGACGCACACATACAATGTATTTGCACACCCTTCTAGAGTTTGGATGCAGAAAGGATCTGTCTAGCAAGTCTTGTTCACACCAGTACCTCCGGTCTGACACATATAGTTGCTCAGGAAACCTTAGCTTAGGGAAGACGTGGTGACCTGGCTCTTTTTCCGTTTGTTTATTTGTTTGTTTATGGTTTTTTTTTTTTTTTTTTTTTTTTGAGACGGAGTTTTGCTTTTGTCACTCAGGCTGGAATGCAATGGCATGATCTCGGCTCATTGCAACCTCCACCTCCTGGGTTCAAGAGATTATCCTGCCTCAGCCTTCCCAGTAGCTGGGATTACAGGCATGCATCACCACGCCCAGCTACTTTTTGTATTTTTAGTAGAGATGGGGTTTTACCATGTTGGCCAGGCTGGTCTCGAACTCCTGGTATCAGGTGATCCACCTGCCTCAGCCTCCCAAAGTTTTGTGAGCCACCACAACTGGCCCAAGACGTGGCTCTTGAGCCTTGTCATGCCAGTGATTGCTTAGGAGCAAAGTGGCCTTGGCAATACAGCAGCAATAAGACTCCTTCCCGGAGTCTCTGTGCTGTGAATTATAAAGAACAGGAAGGTCCCCCAGGCGTGGCCCTTGAGGGATGACTGTGGCTCACCTGTTTCCCACGCCATCGTAAACCCAGTGAGTGGAACCGAGGCCCTCATAGGCCGATGCCCAGTAATAAAGACAGGAATTCAAGTGCAGGCTGTAGAGAAGGTAGGCTGTGGTCCTGATGACCCTGCAGAAGGAACGTAGCACATTAACACAGTGGTGGAAGGGGACGATGAGGGATAGACACCCGGCCAGCGGAAGCCAACCCATGGGTGGGCTGGCCTGACTGGATGCTTTGTTGAGATTGTGCCAGTTAGGAAGGGTGGTGCTTGAATGGGGCGTTGTAACGACCTGGGGCTAGAATTGGCACAGAGGTAGCAGAGCTGACTGTGCACTGGGGGAGTGGAGGGGCCAGGGGGGAAATGTGTGTTGGGGGAAGAGCAGGGAGGGACTGATGTGTGCAGAGAAGTTGAGTTGAAGATGGGGCCATGTCGCGCCAGGAGAGATGTAGACAGGAGTCTTGCTCCCTAGCACGGCCTGGCTGGTCTTGCGCCTCATCCTCAGACATCTGTGAAACAGCCACCGCCACCTTACAGCTGTTCCCGTTCTGTTAGAGCTGGCTGCGGGCTCCAGTTCCCTGAAACTGAGGCCAAAAGGAGGCCCAGCTCACTGCAACGCTGGTAAGCCCCTCGTGCCAGCCGATGCGTGCCCTCATCACAATGAGGGGTATGGGATATGCCTGGTTCTCTAAATAACAAACATTTCTCTGGGAAAGAGGAGGCGGGACCAGAAAGACACCTGGCTTCCAGTGGAGATGGGGCCTGGAGGTCAGTGGGGGTAGACAATGCCTTGCTGTCTGTTCTCTAGGTACAAACTTCCTCTGTTGTGTGTGTGTGTGTGCATTGTGTATGTCATTTGTGTCGTGTGTGTGCATTGTGTGCGTTGTGTGTATGTGCACTGTATGTGTTGTGTCATGTATGTTGTTTGTGTTGTGTTATTATTGTGTCATATATCTATTTGTGTGTGTTGTGCGTATTATGTGTTGTGTGTTATGTGTATTGTGTGTGTGCGTTGTGTGTTGTGTTATTGTTTGTGTGTCTGTGTGTGTTGTGTGTGTATGTGTGTCATGTGTTGTGTTGTGTGTGTTGTGCGTGTGCGTGTATGCTGTCGTGTGTGCTGTGGTATTGTGTTGTGTGTGTTTGTGAGTGTTGGTGTGTTTGTGAGTGTTGTGTGTGTGCATGCACGCACACGCAGGGGGAGTCTCACCTGTACACGTAGGCTTTGCTGAGGATGGATTCCAGGCGGTTGTTAAACTCGAAGAAGGCCATGTACTGGAGGGAGAGCAGGGCATGAGAGCAGCCCACCGCCTGCGGGTAGCATGCTGCTCCCACGCCCACGAGCGCCGGGACTCAGGGCTCTTCCTGCAGCCCCCGGGAGGAGGGAATAGGACGGTGAGCATTCAAAATCAGAAATCCTCCGCCCCTTGACGGGTAGGGGCCAGAAACTCCATTTAGGAATCTGAAGAAAGTCATAGCCCGTCTTCCCTTGGAAATGACATGTAATCTTGTTCTCACAATTTGCATATAATTTCAGGGGACTCCCGGACGCTCTGAGCCCTATCATGAGACTTTTAGGGGTATATGCATCCAGGTTAAAGATGCTGTTTTTAATGTTTCTTATAAAGAAAACAATTTAATAAAGAGACAGCATCCCTAACACCCCACTCTTATACCCTTCAAAGGTTTATTTATAATAATAGAAGTATATTAATAACTACTTTTTCTTTATTGAGCACCTACTATATGACTGGCATATGCCTTTTTTATTTTTTTATTTTTAGAGACAGAGTCTCACTCTGTCACTCAGACTGGAGTGCAGTGGTGCGATCATAGATAACTGCAGCCTCGAACTTCTGGGCTCAAGCGATTTTTCGGCCTCAGCCTCCTAAGTAGCTGGGACTACAGGGCACACATCACCACTCTTGGGTAATTTTTAAATTTTTTGTAGAGACAGGGTCTCACTGTGTTACCCAGGTTGGTCTCAAATTTCTAGGCTCAAGTGATCCTCCTGCCTCAGCCTCCTAAAGTGCTGATATTACGAGCATGAGCCACCACACCCAGCCAGCATATACAATTATATACATTACCTTATTCCTTATTTACATATGAAGGATGTATTATCATTCTCCTTTGACAGAAGTTGGTGCTCAGGGAAGTCCAATAACTTGTCCAAAGCACACAGCTGGTATGTGAGAGAGTCAGCATTCAAACCCAGGCCAGACCCAAAGCTGCAAGCTCTCTCCTTATGCTATACCACCTCTAGATCTTTGCATTTATTTTTTGATATTTGAAAACAGTATTTATGAAGATTCCCTAAGGGATATTCCAGTTATCATCCATGTGTTCATTCTAATTCCAGCCACAGTTTAAACTGGAGGCAGAAAGAACAGGGGCTTGGATGGCTCACTCAAAGAGTTTTGTCCACTGAGGGGTGTTCAATGTTAGGACTGTGAGTTATGCCCCCTCACTGGGGCCATCATGTGAACCAAGATATGGATCTCACCTCTACATCTGGGATGAAACTTGGCCTGTGGACCCAACATTCCTCACTCTGATGTTTGACTCTAAAGCAACCTCTGCAGTCCCTGGGAGGCTGGCATGTGTCAAATAAGAATGGTGCCACTTCCACTTTCCCTCTTCCTCTTGGCAGCCAGGAAGCTCAGAGGCAGCTTCCATGCTCGATTCCACATAGGTGTGCTTTCTTTTCATCAGGGCACTTGCATGCCCGCTAGTTTTCTCTGCCCTGTTTCTCTGAGTTGTTCATGGTATTGCATTTGTCTTTTTTGTAAATTCCCTCAGTACTGTTTTCGGAAAAAGGCACCAAGCATCATTTCAGGAGAGAGATGAATGTGATTGGTTGGCTACCAAAATCCATTTGGGGGATCCTGAATGTTCTGAGTGGCTATCCACCCTGGTCACATGACAGGACCATGGCCAGCTGTGGCAGCCAGACCACCCTGGAGACTTTGGCTCTGTCCAGTGAGTGGCAGAAGGAATGGCTGGAATGACACTGAGGCCTGGCCAATGATGAAACGGGTGTCTGGCTGTGCATTCAAATCCATCCCTGGCACTTCCTTGCTCCTGTGACCTAGGGCAAGTGCCCTAGCCTCTCCAAGCACCAATGCCCCCATTTTTTAGGCAGAGACCATCATAAAGCAGAAACCCCCTCTTGAGAGTATCTATAATCACCGAGAGCATAACCAGTGGAGTCAGATGACCTGCATTCGAATTCGGGCTCCACTCCCTCCTGGCTCTGTGACTTTGGGCCAATTACTTAATCTCTCTATGTCCCAGTCCCTTCATTTGCAAAACGCTGGCAATAACACTACCTAACATGCAGCACCACCAAGCACTAGCAATTGTAATGAACTTTCCACTGAGACACACATGGAATAAACACATCTCCCCTCGGGCCATCCCTCAAGGACGCTCCCCTCCCCAGTGCTGCAGGGGGCAGACAGGAAGATGCCAGTGCCAGTGCAGAGCAGGGATGAGCTGAAGGCCTGGGGTGGGGGGCCCAGCAGTCCTACCTTTAAACAGCGGGGCAGGCGAAGGAGGGGGTTCACACCGACTTTCAAATAGAGAAAATCCAAGGGCAGGAGGCTGAGCAGGTCCATCTGAAATCCCCATGGGACACCACGGGGGTAAAAACGGGTGACCCCAGGGTTGAGGGTGAGGGGAGAGGCGGAGTCTCTCCCTTCCATGGAAAGATGAGGTTAGAATGCCCCAGGAGAGCTTCAAACTAGAGGGCAGAAGGTGTCCCACCAACAAGCCCTTGTTTGCTTCAAAGCCCATGTTGCCAGCCCCAAGGGCAGTTTCATTATCCCCGATAGTGGCTGCTGTGCCATACAGTGGGAGCGGGAGTGGTACAGACACAATGAAAGGTGGCTTCTGGCCAGGCGCGGTGGCTTATGCCTGTAATCCCAGCACTTTGGGAGGCCAAGGCGGGCAGATCACTTGACATCAGGAGTTTGAGACCAGACTGCCCAACACAGTGAAACTCTGTCTCTTCTAAAAATATAAAAATTAGCTGAGTGTGGTGGCGCACACCTGTAATCCCAGAAACTAGGGAGGCTGAGGCAGGAGGAGCGCTTGAACCAGGAGACAGAGGTTGCAGTGAGCTGAGATCACACCACTGAACTCTAACCTGGGAGACAGAGTTAGACTCTGTCTCAAAAAAAAAGAAAAAGAAAAAAGAAAGGTAGCTTCTGGGGGCCACCCAGCCCATGCTGGTCTCCTGGGGCTTGTGGCTTGGAGGACACTCCCACAGAGACCAGCATCCCTCCGTGTGGCAGAAACCACATCTCATGAGCCCCCCAGGGCCCTCTGAGGCCCCTCCTTCTGAAACCCCGCAGAGGCTAAAACTTGCATTCCCCACACTCACCTTGAAGCGGCGAGACTTCAGGTAGTTATTTCGCATGTCCTTTTTGTCCGTCTGAAAGAAAGGGAATAATGATGGTGAAATGACCTTACAGCTTAATCCCTCACCCTGTGGGGAGCAATTGTGAAATTTCCCGAAGAATCCCACCCTCAAATGAGCATAACAGCTCGAGGACCCTCTGAGCCTTGGTAAAAGCCTTGAGTTTTACAGGTGGAGAGGCCCGGCCCCCAGGGAGGAGAGATTTGTTCTGGTCACCCAGCTGGATCCTGATTTCTTGGGTGGAAATCGAGCACATTAAGCTTATTCTCTCTGCCTACTGGTCTTACCTGGGCCATTTGCACATCTATTTTCTGAGGAATTGGTAACCACTCTGATCAGGCCAGAAAAGAAGTTCTCCAAGGAAATCTCTTTACTTTTTACTTTACTTCCTTTAAATCTCTCCAAGGAAAATTGTTTAGAGGCAAAACCTCAGCTCGTCTGCACACAGCAAAACAGGCACTGCCGGGGTGGAATTTTGGAAAGTGACCCACACTGGGAGACAGGGACTGTGTCTCCTCTTCCTGAGAAGTCACAGTCAGGGCCTCAGTTTCCTCCCTAGTAAGGCGGGAGTGGTGCGCGGGGCTGGACCAGAGGCCAGGGTCTCAAACTGGCCCAAGTAGGAAAGCATCAGTGTGTTCTTTGCAGGACCCTTGGGAGAAGTCAATTGCCAGCGGTTACCTGTGCTGAGCGCCCTGCATGCATCGTTTCAACCAATCCTCATGGCAACACTGGGAGATGGAAGCTATTACTATCCCCATTCTGCAGATGAGGAAACAGAGGCGATTCAGCTAGCTGTGGTGGAGGTGGGATTCAAACCAGGTACATCTTCACTAAAGACCATTCTCTGGACCACTTCTCTATCTTTGATTCCGTCAAGTGGTCCAGGAACTATTTCACCTATGAGCAATATGTGATGTGCGTAATTTGAACATATCAAAGGCGTGCAAAATAAACAACCATGCTGTTGAACAAGCACTGCAGCCATTCTTGAGATTTCCTTATTCATTTATTTTGTCATCTATGACAGCATCAGGGGTCAGTGCCCTGAAGGCTCTGGCTGAGGGGTCTGCCCCCGGTCACCCCGACACCACCTGCCTGTGACTCACAATAATGTCCCCGCCTCTGACAAACTGCAGGCGTATCTGGAACACGGTGATGTCCAGGAAGTAGATGAGGTCACACAGGTAATCCATCAGCAGCCAGAGGTGGATGTTGTCCGGGGTCTGGTAGGGGAAGGCCCAGCGCACGGGAATCAGCCAACAGTTCCAATTCCAGGCCATCACCACAAAGAACAGCCATAGGATATACATCAGGTCTGTGGGGAAGATGGACAGGGCCGCTGGAGTATCAGCCAGGCAAGGCTCTTCACCAGTTGAATCAGGTGGGGCTTTATTCTTTCTACGTTTCTATACTTTCCTTCAACTACTACATGTGGCACTTTTGTAAGAGTGTGTGTGTGTGTATGTATGTGTGTGTGTATATATATGTATATATGTGTATATATGTATATACATATATATATGTATATATAACTCTCTGCTTTAGGGGCCAGGCACAGTGGCTCATGCCTGTAATCCCAGCACTTTGGGAGGCCCAGGTGGGAAGATTGCTTGAGCCCAGGAGTTTAAGACCAGCCTGGACAACATAGCAAGACCCTATCTCTACTTTAAAAAAAAAAAAATCTGCTTTAAAAACTAATCACTGCTAAGCCCTAATAAATCAAGTACTCTCAGGAGGGAATATGCTGGTATTATAAGATAATAGGCAGCCAACTAGAAAACTTTCATTCTTCTTTAATTGCTTTCATTCTTCTTTAATTTTTTCCCAAAATGTATTTTCTGCCTTAGTAAATACAGAATAATAAATAATGCATGAAGGATGGACAGATAGATGGACAGACAGGTGAATGCATGCATGGATGGATGAGTATTCCAGATCATCTGGTTGGTTATTTGTTTATTTGTTTATTATTTTTTTAGAGATGAGGTCTCACTATGTTGCCCAGGCTGATCCTGAACTCCTGGGCTCAAGCAATTCTTTCACTACAGCCTCTCACAGTGCCAGGATTACAGGTGTGAGCCACTGTACCCAGCCCACCAGGTCATTTGAGAAATCCAGTGGACACCAAGGTTGAAGTCCTGTCCCCCAAATGTGTGACCTTGAGAAAGTCCCTCTCTGGCACCTGCCCTCTTCTGAGAAATCACAGGAAAAGGTCAGATAAGAAAGGCAGGGAGTCCACTGTTAACTCTAAAGTGCTATGAACGTATGAAGTGGTGTTATTTCTGAGAAATATGAAGTGGGCTTAAAGGAAAGCAATAGGAATTCACACTCCTGCCCTTTTTCTGTTCAGAGCAGGAAAAGGCCAGCACGACCAGAGTGAAAAAAGGACTTGGCCAAGAGTCAGGAGTCCTGGGTCTGCACTAACTAGTTGCATCCTTACCCTTGCTGACTTCTCTGTGCCTTAGTTTCCTCATCTATAAGACAGGTGTGATCTTATATTCCTATTCCAGGGACTTTTTTTGTTGTTGTTTTTAAGACAGAGTCTCACTCTTTCATCTAGGTTGGAGTGCAATGGTGCGATCTTGGCTCAGTGCAATCTCCACCTCCTAGGTTCAAATGATTCTCCTGTTTCAGCCTCCTGAGTACCTGGGATTACAGGTGTACACCACCACACCCAGCTAATTTTTGTGTATTTAATAGAGGCAGGGTTTCATCATGTTGGCCAGGCTGGGTTTATTTTGAGAATCAGGCAAGAAACTGTGGAATGGTTTTGGAAAGTATGAAAGGTCATGAACCCAGGTCGTCTGTGTTCCCATCCCACCTCTTGAATCCCCTGACCCTCTTCCCATCCCGCTCTCACTCTCCTGCCCTCTCATGTTACACAGTGGGAACACCCATTCCCCAGGACTCACTGGTCAGCGGGTCAATGCTCTGGGGAAACTGGTACTTCCTCCAGGGGCGGCGTTTGAACTTGCAGCAGAGCATGTCGCAATAGTGCTCCTCTTCCACTGGCTCGGCTTCCGCGGGCTTCGTGTCTGGAGCTGGCTCTGGGGCTTTCTTGGCTGGGGCTGTGGGATGACATTGGTGACTATCTGAACCAACCCTGAGGCCCACATAGAGGATGCAGAGAGAAGGGTCCCAACTGCAGACCCTGGATCCAGAGCTGAGAGGACCCTGGCACCATTACGCAAGCTGCTGCAAGCTCTGTGTGCAGAACCCAAGTCGCTCTCCTGGAGTGAACTCCCCAACTCCCTCCTCAACAGCAACAGCAACCTGGGTTCCCACCCAGAAACTCTTACCAACTACCAAGCTGGAACTGCTTCTCAGAAGCTGACCCAGATGAGTTGTTTCTGGGCCAGTTGGATGTTTCGGTGTCTGCTTGTGTGTCTGTGCATAGACCCCCTTAGTTCCCTCTGATGAGATGGAGGCATTTTGTACCCAGTGTTTCCAGTACCCATGGTTGGAATGCTGAAGGGCCTAACAAAATCAGGGAAGTGTTGCTCCAGGTTTCTGAGATGGAATCTCAGCTCCTTCATCTCTAAAAACAGAGACCAGATGGGATCACAGCCTCCCTGTGTATCTATGATGATACTTTTGGTGACCCAGGGATTGGCTCTTATAGGTTCAATACGGCTATGTTTTCTAGCTTCAAGACTGTGACATCAGGCTCTGCATGGCCTGTTGTGGGCACCATGATTTCCAAGATACAGCCTTCCTCTGGAAAGATCTAAAAAATCTCCCTGACAAGAGATCATGTGTCTTATTTCCTCTCAATACCTTGAAAGAAAAGAAACATTCGGATAGCCTCAATAAGAACTTTCAAGGCACTGACATCTCTGAAAAATAAGACTGCCTAGTCCAGAGCAGGCTGTGCACACAATTTGAGTGTAAGACCATAAGATACATTTTGGGTGGCACCACCCACCTACCAGTAGGAAAGGGATGGAAGGGTCAAGGAAGGCACTTCCCCGTGGGAGAGAGGGCCGAGTGCAAGTGGATTGTTGGCCAGAACTTTGATCTTCCCACTCTTGGGTACCTATCTCAACCTATGGACCCCAAATCCAGAGAGTGGGGATCTGGGCTTCTCTCATGGACCTCAACCATTTTATTGGGGCCACCCTCGCCATGAGTTGACAGGGGATTTTGGAGGCCCCACCCCATCCCCGGCCAAGTAGGCCCCCCCCAGCTCCAGACTCACAGGGCTTGGGGCTCTCCTCATCAGAGGTGACATCAGGGTCGATGAGTTTCTCCTTCACTTTCTCTGTCCGCTCCCTGAAGAGCTTCACCAGCTCCTGGAGCCGGTCGTTGATGATGGCGCTATTTGTGCTGGCCACGGAGGCCGCACGGTCCTGGCCGCTGTGGGAACATCACCCAAAGCTGAGCAGGCTGAGCCGGGAGGGACCCCTGCGCCCCCAGGCCAGAGCTGTGCAGCGTCTGTCTCCCACCTTCTGGTAGAGCCTGAAGGAGGTAAGTCCTGCCCCCGTCTCCTTCTGACATCAGAAACCACAGACCCACTGTAATCTCCTAGGAGGAAATTCAGTCCGGGAATAATGCCCAGGTGTTCTGGCCCAGCTTTTGGAAAATGTACCACGTAGGCTCTGATTCAGATGGGCAGTTCTGGAAAACGCGTGACTCCACTTGTAATTTAGGAGGAGACTCTTGGAACTCAGTTTAGAGTTCAGCAAAATTGGGCTGTTCATCCCAGTGCAGGGTTCACATGAGATACGTGTCCAGGGGCAGAACAGAGAGGGAGCAGGCCTACTTTGTTAGGCTTAGGATATAACTGCTGGAAAAAGCAGTGCAGATACATTCTATATCCCTTTAACTTACAGGAATTAAAGTTTCTGCACTGTCAGCAAGAGAGAGAGAGAAACAGAGAGAGACAGAATGAATGAGTCTGCCTAGCATTCAACTCAGTGTGGGGTGTGTGCCCTGGGTGCATTGAAGCAGGCCTGTGAATGTGCTTTCTTTCCTCTGAGTGGCCTCACTGAGATCATCTTGCTGAGCTGAATATCTTTTTTATCTTTTTTTTTTTTCATACATTAAGACACAGAAACTGCAGTTGACTACTCTTTTTGAGCTTAACTGAGGAAGCAGGACTGGAGAAAACAAGTGTGTGGCTCTTTTTTTTTTTTTTTTTTGAGATGAAGTTTCACTCTTGCCGCCCAGCTGGAGTGCAATGGTACGATCTCGGCTCATTCAACATTCACCTCCTGGGTTCAAGCAATTCTCTTGCCTCAACCTCCCGAGTAGCTGGGATTACAGGCACAAGGCACCACGCCTGGCTAATTTTTGTAGTTTTAGTAGACACAGGGTTTCACCATGTTGGCCAGGCTGGTCTCGAACTCCGGATCTCAGGTGATCCACCTGCCTCGGCCTCCCAAAGTGCTGGGATCACAGGCATGAGCCACTGTGCCCGGCCAAGTGTGGGGCTTCTAATGAGAGCTGGCATACAGGTGTGGCGGGGACATGAGCTGCTCCCCTACACTCATTCTCTCCTGTGGTGCATACTCACTGGGCCAGGGACCACGTGCCAGGCTCTCGCTATTGGAATGTGAGTTCTCAGGCACAATACATGCAACTAGGGGCCTCCTTGCTGAAGACAGGCCTGGAGTTCTCCCTTTCTAGTGGTGACCAGTGGGATATGGGAAGGTACGTGGAGAAAGTGGCAGAGCACTGTCATCTGGGTCCCTAAATGATTGCATGGAGCAGAACCTTCTGCTGACCTGATGCATGCAACTAGTGAGATGATGATGGTATATATGATACATCGTGTTCCTTAAGCCACTGAGCCTTTGAGGTCCATTTGTTACAGCAGGCTAGCCTGCCTAGCTAATACATGGGTCTCCAAGTTGACCTCTTTAAGAGTTTTCAAGAATAGGTTTTCTCATTATACCTCATTCCTGCCTTCGTTTCTGATATTAAACCCTACCCCTACCCCTACCCTACCTCATAAAATGTGAGTCCACTGCATGCTACCGTGGCCAACTGGACTGAGGTTGGGGTTGGGACTTCTTCTTGCTTATCTTTTCTAACTTTCCACAGCTCTGTTAAGCATAAACTGCATAAAATTGTGGATAGAAAAAAAGACTGAAAGGAGGAAGGAATGCCTGCTGTCTCCTGTGGCTCATCCAGGAGTCATGGCCAAGGACTGTGATGGGGATTCCAGGCAGAGCCCAGGGCTGGGGCATTCGCCATCCACCAGAGCTTCTCAGATCCTTCAGGAAGATACCTCCCACTGGCCCAGCCCTGGGGACAGTTCGATCTCCGAGACCCAGGTCCCAGTGCCATCGCAGTGGTTTCTTTCTTTTTTTTTCTTGTTTTTTTTTATGGAGTCTCGCTCTTGTCACCCAGGCTAGAGTGCAGAAGTGAGATTCAACTCACTGCAACCTCTACCTCCTGGGTTCAAGCAATTCTCCTGTCTTAGCCTCCCAAGTAGCTGGGACTACAGGCACGTGCCACCACACTTGGCTAATTTTTGTATTTTTAGTAGAGACAGGGTTTCACCATATTGGTCAGGCTGGTCTCAAACTCCTGACATCAGGTGATCTGCCCACCTCAGCCTCCCAAAGTGCTGGGATTATAGGCGTGAGTTACCGTGCCCGGCCGTCATCACAGTGGTTTCTAAACATTGTTCTGCAGGCCAGCCGCACCACATCCCCTGGGGAGTTCGGAAAATGTGGACTGATCCAGTGCAGCCAGATAGGGCCAGGGAATCTTTTTGTTTGTTTGTTTTTTCACAAACTCCCCAGGGCAGAACCCACTGGAGATCCTGGTGGTCCTCCCTGTCCCCACTGACCTTAAAGAAGTTCAGCAGCAGGAGCCCTGCTGGCAGCTCCCCTCAGCCTCTCCTTCACAAGGGGACCTCTGCCTAGAGATCCCTCCACAAGGGGACCTCAGCCTAGAGATCCCTCCCTCTCTGAGTGCTGCTGGCTGTGGACACAGCTGGGCCCAGAGGTTGAGCCCACTGGATTTTACAGGACTCCTGGGCCAACCAGAAGCAGCCTGGGCAGGAGATCGATCCTGACTTACTGCTGGGAAGCCACTGGCAAAGTCTGCCTTATGGTGGAAGGTTCTAAAAGCATCCACACTAGCCCCCCCCCCACATCCCCCACCCTCCCCCAAGTCTTTCAACTTTCTGAGACCCCAGAGGGGTCTCACTCAGTGTCCTTTGGGGTGGTGGGGTCCGACCAGGCAACCACTGGGGACTCGGCTGGTGACAACGCCTTAAGCTCTTCAGCCTCATCATCCTCAGAGGGCAGCTTCTTCCTGCAAAGACACAGATGTGGAAGGGGCCTTCAGCAAGGGCAGAGGCCCCAGGGAGAAGTGTCATGACTTTGATCCCTAAAGATCACCTAGAGCCAATTCCCAGATAGAGGATGGGGGTGGAGCATGAACTTCTGAGTCCTCATTTCCCTGGAGGGAGGGAAAAAGGCAGAAGAGAGGGGCACAGCCACTCTCTAAACCTCAGTCTTCCCATCTGTTAAATGGCTTGGCCTAAAGGTAACAGCACTGACTTCGTATTGCACCCCAGTCCTGCCTCTTACCAGTATGTGGCCTCAGCAAATTACTAAAATACTCTGAGTTACCTCAGTTTCCCCCTCTGTAAAATGGGATTAAATCTACCCAAGTAAATGAGATTCTTATCACTTAGTTCTCAGCTTAAACTTCCTTCCCCCATCCTGCTCCCAGTCTAAAGTCACCCACCTCATTCCCCTCTACTCTCTATCACACCACCTTTTCAGCTATCCGAGAAGCCGTGGAATCCAGTCTCCAGCTTACGGTGTGACCTTGGGTAAGTCCCATCCCCTCCTGAGCCCCAGGCTCCCTATCTGAAGAATGAGGACTAAATGATCCCAGGGTCCTCCATCAGTCAGGAAGTCCAAGTCTGCCATGGAGTGCTGCATTCTGGAGCCATCAGTGTCTTGGTTAATGGTGTCTAGATCTGTCCTGAATTTCACAGACAAGGTTCTCACACAACCTGCCTCTTACCTGACATCAGCAGGTTTGAGCCTGGGCGTCTGACTAGGTGGAAGAGGTGCCTCTGATACTATTTTACATTGGCATCTTAGGGGCTAACTCTCTGGATTTTCCCACCCTCTACCCCAGCAGTGAGAATGAATTGGTTTACTGAGGAACGCAAAAGCCTGGGAAAGAGGAAAAAAGATCAAGAGAGAGAAATTCCTTAATACCACCAAGAAAGCAAGCTCCAGTGTTAGAGAAAGAATCCTGTTTAAGATAGGGTAGAACTAGCTGATGTAGAAACACAAAGATTGTGTCTGGAGGACGCTGCCCAGGCCAGTATCTACCAATAGGAAGAGCATTTCATACGTCCATGAATGAAGTCCTGGTGGAGAAGAATGGTCATTCTTAATGACTTCCATTAGCATTTAAAACACAGAAGGCTGAGTGTTAGCACACAAAACCAAGAGTCTGGGGACGTAGGTATGGATGTCACACATGAAGGCATATGTGTTGACTCATCAGGATGAGCATCAGTCAGTCAGTAGCATGAAGATGAGAGTTTAGGACTTGATATGGTCTGGCTTTGTGACCCCACCAAATCTCATGTTGAATTGTAACCCCCAGTGTTGTAGGTGGGGCTTGGTAGAGGTGATTAGATCATGGGGGTGGAGTTCTCGTGAATGGTTTAGCACCATCCCCCCTTGGTACTGTATAGTGAGTGAATTCTCACGAGATCTGATTGTTAAAAAGTGTGTGGCACCTCTCCACTCTCTCAGTCCTGCTCCTGCCATGCGAGAGCCTGTTCCTTTTGCCTTCCACCATGAGTGCAAGCTCCCTGAGGTCTCCCCAGAAGTAGATATGGCCATGCTGCCTGTACGCTCTGCGGAACAATGAGCCAATTAAACCTCTTTTATTTATTTATTTATTTATTTACTTACTTACTTACTTATTTATTTATTTGAGACAGAGTCTCGCTCTGTCACCCAGGCTGGAGTGCGGTGGTGCAATCTTGGCTCACTGCAACCTCCGCCTCTGCCTCCCGGGTTCAAGCAATTCTCCTGCCTCAGCCTCTCGAGTAGCTGAGATTACAGGCACGCACCACCATGTCCAGCTAATTTTTGTATTTTTAGTAGAGACGGGGTTTCACCATGTTGGCCAGACTAGTCTCGAACTCCTGACCTCAGGTGATCCGCCTGCCTTGGCCTCCCAAAGTGCTGAGATTACAGGCATGAGCTACTGTGCCCGGCCATGATTACTTTACCAGGGCCTTCACTTCCGTGAGGTTTGATCAGAAATGGAATCCACAGGCAGGGAGCTTCACCTTGGGACCAAGCCTGCCTGACAAGGATCTTCAGTGATTAATCTGCAACTCCCAGCAGAAGCTGAAAACTCCAGCCAGTCCCCAAATTCCACCCTTTCCCCAGCTGGAGAGTCAGAGGAGGAGCCTCCCTCGGGTTCCTTCTCAGGGAACACAGCCTGGGGCCAAGCCCTGAGCTGCCCAAACCTGCTGACATCCGCACATCTTCCCAAGAAGCTCACGTCAGCAGAGGTTCCTACTCCAGCCCCTGAGGGCCAATCACAGAGCTGGGCAGGAGGACGCTGGGGGCAGGGATCACTGAGGCCATCACCGTGCAGATGCAACACTCCACTGGGACCCAAACCTGAGTCTGCCAGGGTTCCAGGCCAGCGCTCTTCCCCAGCCTCACCACCTTGACTCTGGATTCCACTACTAGGGTTTCTAGGGGGATATAGAGGGAGGGATGTGTGGCATCCACCTTGATTCCAGAAGGCTCTGAAATGATCCTGTTGCCTTTTGCCAACTCACCTAGGATGGCAAAACTCATGGATTCACTTTTTCACACTGTAATTAACAAGAACAGCCCCACACAAGAAGACTGGGGCCAAAAATCCCATTGCTGGGACCCAAAGTCAGTCCTCCTGTGCCCAGCACAGGGCACTCTCCTGAGCCTAGAAAGTACATACTGCCACCGGACACTGTGGCTCATGCCTGTAATCCCAACTTTGGGAGGCTGAGGCGGGCAGATCACCTGAGGTCAGGAGTTCAAGACCAGCCTGCCCAACATGGTGAAACCCCGTCTCTACTAAAAATACAAAAATTAGCCAGGCATGGTGGCGGGCACCTACAATCCCAGCTACTTGGGAGGTTGAGGTAGGAGAATCACTTAAATCCGGGAGTCAGAGGTTGTAGTGAGCTGAGAACACGCCATTGCACTCCCACCTGGGCAACAGGCCACAAGAGCGAAACTCCATAAAAAAAACAAAAAAACAAAAAAAACACGAAAGTGCAAGCTGCCCCGGAGAAGCCAGAATGAGGGCCTAAACTGGCAGCTCCTGGTCCCCCAGCACTGCCTGTGTCTGGCACTATGTTCAGTACCTTAGGGTGCAGTAGCTTGTTAAATTCTCACAATTCTAGTAACCAGGTGGTGTTTCTTTCCTCATCTTACATGAGGAAAATGGAGGCCTAGGGAGGTTAAATGACCTGCCTTAAGACCCACATCTTACAAGTGGTGCTCTGGGATTCATTCCAAGCGATGGCCTGAAGCTCGAAGGAGGGCCTTGCCCAAGCTCCTCTGTGGCTTTTTGGCCCTCATCAGTTGCTCCCAGTGTTCATTCTGTCCCTGCTCACAGTCAGCCCCACTGGCCTCGGCCTCCACAGAGAGGCAGGCCTCAGAACTCTCACCTCTCAGTGTTGGGCTCAGGCAGAGGTTTCCCGCCCCGTTTCTCATAGTCACATTCAACCTGGCACTTGCTTGTTTATTTGGTTACTTGTTCATTGTCTATCTTGGCCCCTCTAGAATGTCAGCCCCATGAGGGCAGGCCCCTGCCAGGCTTCTCCCTCATGTATCCCCAGCATCCAGGGCAGAGTTCAGCACATACAGATGCTCAGTACATGCTTGTGAATGCATGAATGACAGGGACAAGAGGAGCCTCACAGACTCAGGTCACAAGGGGAAGTACAGAGGCTTGGATTCCAGCCCCACATGATCTTGGTCCCTTCCCTCCCCTAAATATGTCACCCCCTACCCAGCCCAGCCTGCGTCGTTTCCCTGCCCATATAAAGGGAACAGGGGTAAATAGAGCAGACGTCTACAAGTGGAGCCATTTCTGGATTCCTCAATGGGCTTTGTACATAATTCAGTGAACTAAACATAAGAACTGATGAAGTTGTGAGCTGTACTCCCAGGCCCAGTGAAACTGTGTCTCTTTTCTCTATGTTAAGACCTCACAGCCCTCGGTTTGCTACACCTAGCCATCTCCATTCTGACAGGCTTCTGACCTCAGCTGAGCAATTACTCAGGAGCTCATGGATGAGAGCAAAAGTTAGCTAAGAAGAAAGAACCATCGCTCCATCCAGCCAGTGCAGAAGAGGCACAGACAGCCCCCCTTAGCTTAAAAATCACTGTCCTGCCCTTGGCAGTTTGCCTCCAGCTGCACACAGAGCCTTCTCCCAGGCACCTGGCTTCAGTTGTTCGAAAGCAGCTCTAACCACTCAGCAACAAATTTATCTGAAGAGGTGTCAAAATGTGCACCACCTTGACTAGGAGTGTCACTCTTGAGAAAGGAACCCAAGGGTAGAGAGCAGAAGACCAAACACGTGATCCTGGTACCATTATGGATAGGGCCCAACAAGAGCAGATTTGTTAAGTTCATTCCAGCCCATGGAGCTGGAGGAATACCCAGCAGCCATCATAAGTGAGCATTAAGGAGACAGCCCAGCAATATGGAAAAGGGTTCACAAAATGAGACAGCACCATAAACTGGATCCCTCCTCCAATTAAAACCATTCAAGACCATGGGCCTAACCAAGGCATAGAGGAGAATGCAGAGCAGTAAAAACACCATCTTGGGTGGTGGGATTTAGATGATTATTTTTCTAGTGTTCTGTGGTGTTTCCATTATATTATCTATTATCTTTTTTTTTTTTTTCCTTGAGACAGAGTCTCAATGGCATGATCTTGGCTCACTGCAACTGCCGCCTCCCAGGTTCAAGCAATTATCCTGCCTCAGCCTCCTTAGTAGCTGGGACTACAGGCATGAGCCACCATGCCCAGCTAATTTTTGTATTTTTTAGTAGAGATGGGGTTTTTCCATGTTGACCAGGCTGGTCTCAAACTCCTGACCTCAGGTGATCCATCTGCCTCCGCCTCCCAAAGTGCTGGGATTATAGGCATGAGCCACTGTGCCCAGCCCACATTATATTATCTAATAATACAATGGGTGGATGACACTGAAAGCACAGGTAACAAAAGCAAAATATAGACAAGTGGGATTATCTCCATCTAAAAAGCTTCTGCATAGAAGGAAACAACAGAGTGAAAAGAAAGCCTGCAGAATGGGAGAAAATCTTTGAAAATTATATATTTGATAAATAAAAGAAACTCCTACACCTTAATATGAAAACAAACAAACACATTACCTAACTAAAAAATAGGCAAAGAACTCAAATAGACATTTCTCCAAAGAAGACATACAAATGGCCAGCAGGAATATGAAAAGCTACTCAACATCACTAATCGTTGGGTGTATTAGTCCATTTTCACACTGCTACAAAGGACTACCTGAGCCTGGATAATTTACAAAGGAAAGAAGTTTAAGTGACTTACAGTTCCATGTGGCTGGGGCGGCCTCAGGAAACTTACAATCATGGAGGAAGGCAAAGGAGAAGCAAGGCACATCTTACATGGCAGAGAGAGAGAGAGAGAGGGAGAGAGAGAGACAGACTTTTTCTTTTAAATTTATAAATAAAAGAGGTTTAATTGACTCACAGTACTGTAGGCTTAACAGGAAATGTAACTGGGAGGCCTCAGGAAACAAACAATCATGGCAGAAGGCAAAGGGGAAACAGGTACATCTTCCCACGACAGAGCAGGAGAGAGAGAGAGAGCAAATGGGGAGGAGCCACACATTTTTAAATGCCAGAAGTGCCACAGTTTTAAACCATTGGATCTCGTGAGAACTCACTGTCATGAGAACAGCATGGGGAAAACCATGCTGTTCATGATCCATTCACCTCCCACCAGGTCCCTCCCTCGACACATGGGGATTACATTTCGAGAGGAGATTTGGGGGGGGGGGGACACAGAGCCAAACCATATAATCAGGGAAATACAAATCAAAACCATAATGAGATACCATCTTACATCTGTTAAGATATCCGTGATCCAAAAAAAAAAAAAAAAAAAACAGAAAATAACAAGCATTGATGAGTATGTAGAGAAATAGGAAAAAATGGTATCGTCACTGTGGAAAACAGCATGGTGATTCCTCAAAATATTATAAATAGGACTGCCATATGATCCAGCGATCCCTCTTCTGGGTGTTTATCCAAAATAATCAAAATCAGGATCTCAAAGAGATATTTGCACTCCCATGTTCATTGTAACACTATTCACAATAGCCAAGAGATGGAAACAATATAAATGTCCATCAACAGATAAAGAAAGAAAATGTGGGCTGGGTTGGTGGCTCACACCTGTAATTCCAGCACTTTGGGAGGCTAAGGCAGGTGGATTGCTTGAGCTCAGGAGTTTGAGACCAGCCTTTGTCAACATACTAAGACCCCATCTCTACAAAAAATAAAAAATTAGCTGGGTGGTGGCACGTGCCTGTAGTCCCAGCTACTCGAGAGGCTGAGAAGGGGGAAATGCTTGAGCCTAGGAGGTTGAGACTGCAGTGGGCCAATATCATACCACTGCACTCCAACCTGGGTGACAGAGGGAGATCTTGTCTGAAAGGAAGAAAGCAGGGGACGGGAGGGAAGGGAGGGGAAGGGAGGGGAGGGGAGAGAGACGGGGAGTAGGAGGGGGAGGGGGAGGGGGAAGGAAGGAGAAAAGAAAAGAAGAAAGAAAAGAAAATGTGGTATATCCATACAATGGGATATTACTCAGCCTTAAAAAGGAAGAAAATCCTGTCACATGCTACAATGTGGATGAATCTTAAGGACATTGTGCCAAGAGAAATAAGCTAGTCCCAAAAAGATAAATACTGCATGATTCCACATATATGAGATATCTAAAGTAGTCAAGCTCATAGAAACAGAAAGTAAAATGAAAAAGTAGAATGGTGGCTGCCAGGGGCTGGGGTGGGGGTGAAGGGAAGAATGGGGAGTTGCTGTTCAATGGGTATAGAGTTTCAGTCATGCAAGATGAAAAATTCTAGAGATCTGCTGTAAAATAATGTGCATATAGGTAACAATACTGTACTGTACACTTAAAATTTAAGAGTTTTTTTTTAAAAAAAGACTTGGTGAGTTACAATCATATGCAAGTTTTAATAGCATCCTGTTGAAGATGAAATAAAATAAAATGAGGAGGTAGAAATCAATTATGTAACATTTATTATATATTACTATGTTATTTATTTATTTAAAAAAAATTTTTTAAATTATTTTTTGAGACAGATTCTTGCTCTGTTGCCCAGGCTGCAGTGCAATGGCACCATCCCAGTTCACTGCAACCTCTGCATCCCAGGCTCAAGCAATTCTCTTGCCTCAGCCTCCCAAGTAGCTGGGATTACAAGAGTGCGCCACTATGCCTAGCTACTTTGTTTGCATTTTTAGGAAAGACAGGGTTTCGCTATGTTGGCCAGGCTGGTCTTAAACTCCTGGCCTCAAACAATCCACCTACCTCAGTGTCGCAAAGTGCTGGCACTACAGGCAGGAGCCACCATGTCCCGCTATTACTATATTATTTATTATATTATTCCTTCTGACTTATAGCTGAGGGCATTTGGGACAGGGCCTCCCATGAGAGCTTTTATAAGAGCCCTAAGCCAGGAGTAAGGAAAACCAGGAAGGGGCATGATAGTCCCACTTCTGACACCAACTCGCTGTGTGTGATTTTAGTCCAGCTGCTTCTCCCTCTGGCCTCAGTCTCTTCATCTGCCAGATAAACAGGTGGCATAGTGCCGAGAAAAGCCCAAGAGAAGCATAAAAGGTAACCTGTGTGTCCCCAAGGCTGAGCTTGGGACTGCGAGGGTGTCGGATTTGGCAGGAGACGGTGGCGGCAACACGGGTGAGGGTGGATTCTTTTCTGCCAAGAGGGGGCAGCTATCAGCATCCGTATCTTCCACCTGCACTTCCGGGTGCTCTTTCGTGGCAGGCACTGGGGGAGAGGAAGGAGAGGAGAAAGTCAGAGAGAGACAAAAGCCAGGTCCCAGGAGTCTGGCTGTGTTCTTGAAGAAAACCACAGAAAGCATGTTTGGAGGGGGCTCTGATAGCTTCACTTCCCAATGGGGCACACAGAAAAGCTCCATGCAGGGGGTGCAAGAACGTGGTGCCTGGGGTCCTCTAAGGGTCACAGCCACCAGCCCAGGAGCCATGAAAGAAGCCACAGAAGCCATAGGAGCTCCCCTACACAGCCTGGAGCCCAGCTCTCCTAGCTCTCAAAGCCCAGTTTGGTTTCCCTGCACTTGAGCAAGCTCCGAGAGCTGAGGCAGCGGCAGCCTCCAGAGAGAGCACGGGGAGCCAGAGTCCTGGCACCTGGCCTAGCACAGCCTGAGTCAGCTGCTTCCCCCACTCTGAGCTTCAGTTTCCCCACCCCAAGTTAGGGTGACCATGCCTTCCCAGGCATGTGGGGAGGAGCCAGAAGGCACAAGTTCTCACATTCTTAAAGACTTTTTTTTTTTTTTTTGAGTCGGAGTCTCGCTCTGTCTCCCAGGCTGGAGTGCAGTGGTGCAATCTCAGTTCACTGCAAGCTCCGCCTCCCGAATTCATGTCATTCTCCTGTCTCAGCCTCCCAAGTAGCTGGGCTCGGCTCACTGCAAGCTCCACCTCCCAGGTTCATGCCATTCTCCTGCCTCAGCCTCCCAAGTAGCTGGGAATACAGGCACATGCCACTACACCCGGCTAATTTTTTGTATTTTTAGTAGAGATGGGGTTTCATCATGTTAGCCAGGATGGTCTTGATCTCCTGACCTCTTGATCCGCCTACTTTGGCCTCCCAAAGTTGCTGGGATTACAGGTGTGAGCACCCGGCCAAGTCCTCACATTCTTTTTAAAAATTATTTTATTTATTTGTTTGTTTTTGAGACAGTGGGTCTCACTCTGTCACCCAGGCTGGAGTGCAGTGGCACAATCGCAGCTCACTGCAACCTCTGTCTCCCAAGATCAAGTGATCCTCCCAGCAGCCTCCCGAGTAGCTGGGACCACAGACGCACACCGCCATGCTCAGCTAATTTTTGTATTTTTTGTAGAGATGAGGTCTTACCATGTTGCCCAGGCTGGTCTCGAACTCCTGAGCTCAGGTGATCAGCTCAGGCTGGTCTTGAACTCCTGAGCTCTTCCTAAAGTGCTGGGATTATAGGCGCGAGTCACTGGGCCCGGCTGGCCTCACATTCTTGAAGAGCATCAAATGGAGACATTGGCGGGGTCCCTCCAATAAAGGGTAACAGACTGCGTAGTGAGCGCTACTCCCTATTTGGGTACCTGCTTGGGTATATCCTTGTTCTTGTACATGCCAGGGGCCCCCAAATTCATCAGCTAGCCTGACTCTGGACCTCTGAGAGGCCCTGTACTATGTCCCACATTCTGAGAATCAGGTCCTCTCCAGGGAGCCTGGACATGGCCCTACCTTGGGCTCCATCACCCACCTCAGGGACTGCAGGGACAGGTCTGCCCCACGTCCAAGGTCAGAGGATACTGAGAGGCTGGGCTGGTATTCCTCCTTCTCCCCCACACCTAGGGGGTCTTCCCAGTAGCAGCCGGGCACAGGTGTGGGCACCAGCAAGGCAGGCAGGGATACACCCCCACAAGAGGGAAGCGGGGGGATTTTGAAATAATTATATATGCGCTTTTTCTTTTCTTTCTTTTCTTTTCTTTTTCTTTTTTTTTTTTTTTTTTTTCTTTTTTTTTTTTCTGAGATGGAGTCTCACCCTGTCACCCAGGCTGGAGTACAGTAGTGTGATCTTGTCTCACTGCAACCTCTGCCTCCCAGGTTCAAGCCATTCTCCTTTCTCAGCCTCCTGAGTAGCTGGGATTACAGGCCCCTGCCACCACACCTGGCTAATTTTTGTATTTTTAGTAGAGATGGGGTTTCACCATGTTGGCCAGGCTGGTCTCGAACACCTGATCTCAGGAGATCTGCTGGCCTTGACCTCCCAAAGTGCTGGGATTACAGGCATGAGCCACCACACCCAGCCAATATGTGCTTTTTTTCAAATGGCCTTCATAAGAAAAGCCAGCACTCTGTTAAATTGCTTACACTTACTCTATAGTTTGATGGATCAAACCCTAAATCCTCTGGAGAAGAGGATGAGCAGGACTGGAGAAGTTGTTAAAAATGTAAGGGGAGCCAGGCACAGTTGCTCATGCCTGTAATCCCAGCACTTTGGAAGACTGAGGTGGAAGGATCCCTTAAGTTCAAGAGCAGCCTGAGCAACATAGCAAAATCCCACCTCTACAAAAATACGAAACTGAGCTGGTCACAGTGTTCCACCTACTTGGGAGGCTGAGGTTGGAGGATAGCTTGAACCTGGGAGGTCGAGCCTATAGTGAGTCAAGATCGCGCCTACTACACTCCAGCCTCGGCGACAGAGCGAGACCCTGTCTCACAAAATAATAAAAAATAAAATAAAATGGAAGTAATGTTCTTACTGCAACTTCTTATTACCTTGTCTGTAGCATCTAGAATAATCATGTGCTCTAGCACAGCTGGGTCAGCCCCCTGTGTCAACGTGTCCCTGGGAACATTTCCCCAAATGTGGGGCTCCCAGAGACTGGGGAGGACAGGAGATGTTCTTTGATGGTACAGACAAAGCAAAAGATAACCTAGAATAAGAATGTTACTCGCAGTCAGGCGTGGCGGCTCACGCCTGTAATACCAGCACTTTGGGAGGCTGAGGCAGGAGGATCACCTGAAGTCAGAAGTTCAAGGCCAGCTTGGCCAACATGGCAAAACTCCATCTCTACTAAAAATACAAAAATTCCCCAGGTGTGGTGGCATGTGCCTATAATCCCAGCTACTCGGGAGGCTGAGGCAGGAGAATGGTGTGAACCCGGGAGGCGGAGCTTGCAGTGAGCCAAGATCGCGCCACTTCACTCCAGCCTGGGCAATAGAGCAAGACTTCGTCTCAAAAAAAAAAAAAAAAAGTTACCCCTCTTTTAGTGAATAGCCAGAGAGGAAATCTCAGGTCGGTGCCTCTGTGGCCTTAGAACCTCTCTTAAAACACAGCCTAATCCCACTTGCAGCTAAGAGAGCAGGCCCCAGATTTGCACCTTCAGTGGGCCCATCCGTCTCATTAGAAAACAGCAATACCATTGTGTTTTCATTGTATTTGAGGTTATTTTTATTTATGCCTCTGTTTATGGCAAGCAATGCTGGTTTTCCATTTGAATAGTAATAAGAAGTTTTCCTATTTAAATATACTTAGTTAAATAAAAAAGAGAATCCACTGAAAGAAAAATAGTAAGCAAATAAAATTAGAGTTGGGGGTGGGCACGGTGGCTCATGCCTGTAATCCCAGCACTTTGGGAGGCTGAGCCAGGCAAATCACCTGAGGTCAGGAGTTCAAGACCAGCCTGGCCAACATGGTGAAACCCTGTCTTTACTAAAAACACAAAAATCAGCCCGGCAAGCTGGTGCACACCTGTGGTCCCAGCTACTCGGGAGGCAGAGGTTGCAGTGAGCTGAGATGGTACCACTGCACTCCAGCCCGAGCAACAGAGCAAGACTCCGTCCCCCTCCCCCGCCCAAAAAAAATAATAGAATTGGTACAGATTTAGCAGTTATCAGGGAGTGGCCTGTGGAGATGGGAACTGGGGGATGCTTTGAGGTCTTTTTATTTTGTTTCCTTTCTTTTCTTCTTCTTTTTTTTTTTTTTTTTTTTTTTGCAATTCAGTATCCTCAATGATAGGGGTAGGCTGCTTTGGCATAGTAGATTCAAGACTTGCCTAGAAGGTGGAGGCCGGGGTGGCACCCCTTACTGTTGGATGATCTGTGTGCCACCTCACCTCCTCTCTGTGCCCACCTCAAGCCAGGGAGAGGAGAGAAGGACAACAGTGGATGTCTTCCCATGAAATGTTCTCTCCTGCCTGGCTGGACTGATCTCAGAGGCAGCCCTGCACCGTGTCAACCACAAATAAACAAGCCAATCAAAAGGGAAAGCAGGCATGTCTGGCTTTGGTTAAGTCAGAAAGTGGCAGGAGTTAGTCCAGGGTGCCAGTATGTCCCTGAGCTCTTTGTCTTCAGGCAGTGAGCAGTGGCAGCCCAAAGGCCACTACGGGGACCTTGTCACAATCAATGGATCCAGACAGCCCTCGCTCCACCCTAGCCTCTGAGGATGCCTGTCTGCACCTGGAGCTTCTTTCCTGAAATGGAATTTGCTGAGCGGCAAACTTAAGGTCAGTGGGTTCTATCTGCAATCAGCACCCACATTACTCTTCTATTCCATTTCCCTCCTTTCATTCCCCTCCAGTCTGATCCCAAACTCCCTGTCCAAGCCTCTTGGCCTAGAGATCTGAGCAAGTGACTTGTTTAAACTAAGGCGTGAATGATTACCTATATAAAAATGATGTGCCTAAAGAAAGAAATGTATGTTTAACCCAAAGAAATGAATTGCTGGCCAGGCACAGTGGCTTACGCCTGTAATCCCAACACTTCGGGAGGCCAAGGTGGGCAGATCATTTGATATCAGGAGTTTGAGACCACCCTGGCCAACATGGCAAAAACCCATCTCTACTAAAACACAAAAAGTAGCCAGGCGTGATGGCGTGTGCCTGTAATCCCAGCTACTCAGGAGGCTGAGGCACAAGAATTGCTAGGAGGCAGAGGTTGCAGTGAACTGAGATCACGTCACTGTACTCCAGCCTGGGTGACAGAGAGAGACTCTGTCTCAAAAAAAAAAAAAAAAAGAAAAAGAAAAAAAAGAAAAGAAAGAGAGAAAGAGGAAGAGAGAGAAAAAATAAATGAATTGCTAATTGTAGTGGAATTTTAGGCATGAAGAGAAAGGGGCTAAAACCTCTCAAGTCACTACCACAAAGCAGGATGAAGGTATTGATCGGCAGAGGAAGAGGAGATGGTTTTCCATAAGCACAACTAGTGGTCCACACCATGACCACGGCACCCAGGGAGGAAGACAGCCCCAGCCGAGCAGAAGCACACGCCACAGATATGAGCATGCTGGGTGGGGCGGGATCGTGCTACCTAGTCGGCGGATGGAGCTCCTGGTCTCCTTGGCGAAGCTGGAGTTGGACAAGCTGGTTCTCCGGGAGGTGAGGACAGGGATGCGGGTGACTGGGACACGGTAGCTGGGCACATTAGGGAGATGCTCTACCAGGTTTTGGAACGCAGAGGCAGGGGCCACCTGGCCAGGTAGCTGGTCCTGGACTAGGCGATTCAGCTCCATGTTCTGGCCTGGTGTAGCCATGGTGCTGGGGCCAGAGGGTCTCAGGCAGAGGTGCGACCCTGGGGACTGCAATTAGGAGCACAGAGTTGAGGGAGATGATATGTGGGGGTCCTCCCACCAGCCTAACACGACCAGCCTGGTGCCTACCTGCATTTTCAGCAGTGCTACCCAAAGCCAGAAGCATGACTCTTGTCCCTGGAGTTCAATGTCTAATGTGTCATCAGGTCCTGTGGCTGGCCACCCAAGAGCACCAAGGGACAGCCCAGGAGGCCCCCAACTTCTCATGCCCCCTTCACTTACCAACCACCAGCAGCATTTCCCAAAAATATTAGAATCAAAGAACCCAGAACTCACAGACTCTCAGATTCCTAGACCCAAAGAACCCAGGACTCAAACATTCTTAGCCTGGTAGAATTTTCCAGTCCAAAACAGCCCTGGAGGTCAATTAATTTCACTTCCAACCAGAAGCAGTAACTCTTCCTATGGCCCTGGTTCCCCAGCTGGGCTATGCATTGGAATCACCTGGGAAGGTTTGACGATTTCTGTTACCCAGGCCCATTCCCAGAGATTCTGATTTAATGGCTGGGATGAGGCCTGGCAGCAGGAATTGTTAAATCTCCCCAGGTGATTCCAATGGGCTGTCAGGTTTGAGAACCAGGGCTCAAGGCTATTGCCCCTCAAACACACATGTGCAGACAAATCACCAGATCTTATTCCCACGAGGAGTCTGATTCCGCAGGTCTGGACTGGGACCCAAGTTTCTCATTTCTAACCAGCGCCCGGGTTACACCAAAGCTGCTGGGTCTAGGTCCATACTTTTTTTTTTTTTTTTTTTTTCCTTGAGATGGAGTCTCACTCTGTCACACAGGCTGGAGTGCAGTGGCGCGATCTGGGCTCACTGCAAGCTCCGCCTCTTGGGTTCACGCCATTCTCCTGCCTCAGCCTCCCAAGTAGCTGGCACTACAGGTGCCCACCAGCACGCCCAGCTAATGTTTTCTGTATTTAGCAGAGACGGGGTTTCACCATGTTAGCCAGGATGGTCTCGATCTCCTGACTTCGTGATCCGCTCACCTCGTCCTCCCAAAGTGCTGGGACTACAGGTGTGAGCCACTGCGCCTGGCCAGGCCCATACTTTTGAGTGCAAATGGCTATGCCTCAGCGTTTCTCAGATGTGGGTCCCAGACCACCTGCTTCCAAATCACCTGGGGAAGGGGCAGAACCAGCCCCACCGAACCAAGCCTGCATCTGTTTGCTCCTGGTCTTTTTCATCCATGTGGGGACCCAGCCCTAGGCCTGGACTTAGTAGGAATTCCTATAGATATGTGTTGAAGTTAATAAAGAACCCTTTTCAAAGACCAAGTAGGGAGCAAGCTCAGGACACCCAGGGTTAGGACACATGGGTCCAGTCCCATTTCAACCGCTCGCTGGCTGAGACACATCCTCGTCCCAATATTGACTCCTCCCTCAGTGCCAGCCACAGTTTGGGATGCCTTTGACACATTGTCTCCCCTACTCTGCCCAGCAACCTGTGAGCTAGGTACTATTATTGCCCCATTTTTCTTGATTCGGAAGTCATGGTTCAGAGAGGTCACAGAACTGGCTCTGGGTCACACAGCAAGGAAGAGAGAGAGGAGCCACGAGTGAAATGTAGGTCTGTGCCTTGACCTCTTGGCCAAATCCGCACACACAGAACCTCAGCTTTCTCATCTGTAAAATGGCCTGTCTGCCTCACAGAGCGGCTGAAGACCCACGGCGTGGGGAAGGTGGAGTATAAGGCACGCAATACCCGCCGGCCTGGGGTTGGGGCCCGCCTGTCCCGGCTCCAGGGCCCAGCTGTTGCTGGACTCCTTGGGGCTTTTTCTCCGCCATTGCCTGAGTTCTCAGGATTGAGGGCAGGGTGGTAAATCACAGCAAAATATATGTGCTAGGTACAGCTGGAGATCAGGAAAAGCTTAGAAAGAGACGTGGAGTCCAGGACACTCTGTTAGCAAGTTCTGGTTCCAGTTTTCACTCAGCTATGTGATGTCTGAGCCAAACCCTCACTGGGCAGTAGCCCAAGCGCTGCATCCTCATTGAGCAGAAATGGCAAGAGAGGCTGGCAGGAGGGACTGGCTGGGAGGGGCTGGTTAGGAGGGGCCTGCAGGAGGGGCTGGCGGAGAGAGGTTGGCAGGAAGGAGTTGGCTGGGATCGGGATTTCCCCGGCCCCACTGGGAGTCCTGGGCCTCAGTGCAATTCCTTAGAGCCTTTGAGATATATCAGTAGGCTCTGATAATGTGGCCCCAAGACACCAAGGATGGGATTTTCCTGAAGACAGGGTGGCTGAGGGGGCAATGGGGGCAAGGAGATGGAGGGAGAGGAGGAGGGGTTGCCCCTGGACGGAGGCTGCCTCCAGCCTGAAAGGACCTCAGATATTCTTGTGCAAACCACCACTACCACCACCACACCTACCTCCTGAACTGGCAGCCTTGGCCTCGGCCTCAGGTTCCTCCTTGGTCTCGGCGCGGTCCTGGTGTTCCTTTTCAGCCTCCTCTTCAGCCTCCTCCTTGGCCTCCTCTTCAGCCTCCTTCTCGGCCTCCTCCCCAGCTTCCTCCCACAGCTTCTGCAAAGATAAAGTGGAAACAGGAACTGTAACCATCAGCCCCCAGCCCTAGTCTCAGCAGCTCCTGTTAGATCTGCCTTCAGGAGTCCACACGGGCCCAGTTCTGCTTCTTGCCCTGTCCAGCCAGTCAGGTCCTGCCTGCCCACCTTCTGGGCATCCCAGGAGTAGCCTACAACCTGTAGAGGGCAGTGCACCCAGGACCTACGGGTCCTAACAGCTGGACGTGTCACCTGTGATGAGGGACACTCTCTTGCAGCCTGGCACATGGGGGAACAAAGCATCCACAGCACCACACTTCACAGTGTGTGAGCCCTTTCAGGTCCTCCTACAGGCCCCAGGGAGGTGTCTGTAGCCCCCTTGCACACAGGTGGCCACTGGGACCCAGAGTGTGGAGGCGACTTGCCCCAAGCTAGGCACCCACAGGAGGACTCGAGCCGGGTCCACCCGACTCCCAACCCACGGCCTAGGCCACTATCTGACCCCTGCCAAGAAGGGGTCTCGCAGGACCTGCCACCCTGCCCCTCTGTCCTGTGGGCATCTTACCAGCCAAAACTCCCCCTGCAAGCAAAGTGGACAAGGTCCCCATCCTTCCACCGATGCCAAGCCAGGCCTCAGAGGTGCCGGTGCCCGGTGCTTCTCATACCTGGTCTGAAGCGCTCTGGGGCCGGGTCCTGTCTTCTTCACTCTGGTCCACACCCACCTGAGACACCACACAGCTATCCAGCAGCACCCTGTGACCCGGGGCAGGGTGGGGGTAGGGGGCAGGAGAAAAGAACTGGGTTACGGGTGTTAAAGGTTTCACCAGCCCTGCTGAGGACCACACTCTGTGCCAGGAGTGGAGGTCACAGAGATGCCCAAGAACAGGTCTCACCCTCAGGAGCCTCCAGGGCAGTGTCCTGCTAACAATCTTCCCATCTGAGACGTGCACTCAGCAAGGCACTGTGAAGGACATGCCACAACTCTGCTAGGAAGGAGGGCTTCCTGGAAGAGGTGGCCTGTAAGCTGAGCCTCCAGGATGATGGTTTTACCACAGAGAATGGCGGGGAGGAAGAGGTTGTCCAGGAAACGGGAACAGCATGTGTGAGAAATGCATGGAAGACGGTTGGAGGAGCTGTCATCTGGGGTCTCCCAGTCTCCAGGCAGTCTTGATGATGGGCAGAGCATGACAAAAATGAGGCCCAGAGAGGTGAAGTGACCTGGCGAAGTCACCCAGCAAATTGTCCCAAACCACACAAATCTCAAACCCAGGCCCTGGTTCTTCTCATGCCATGAGATCAGAGCCACTGCAACTGCTGAAGATTTCATGGGTGCCGGGCCCAGGCAGCAGGCACACATAGTGATACGGCCAGCGGGGAGGCTGCAGTGGGCAGGGAGGGCTGTGGCAAATTGGAGAACCCATGTCCATTTGAAGGCAGCAACCCCCACTCCACTGGAAAAGGGGGCCAGGTGGCCAGATCATTCACAAAGCCTGAAATATATGTTTCTAAGGTGAAGTTGTCTGATGTTTAGATGCTGATAATTCAAATTAATATATGTTTATTAATATGCTGTAGCCAAAAGAACCTGTCTCCTGGCTAAATTAGATGTCTGTGTGCAACCTCTGGGTTAAAATGATGACTCAGGACTAGGAGCCAATGTGATTTTTGTAGTTTGGATTAGTTCCTGCTTCCTAACAGCCCCTCCCCACCCCTCAGACTCCTGTCATCCAGGGGCTCACAGAGGATGCTCTGGGGTGTCTGCCACCCAGGAAACCTGAATGCATCATTCTCTACCCAGAGGGTCAAGTCTCAGCCCTCCCGAGCAAGGACGGTGGGGTAGGAAGGTGGGGACGGGATTGTTGCCTAGTCAGTCTGGAGCCAGCTGCTTGGCAGCAGAAATCAGTCGGTAATCACACTGCCACAGCGGCTCCTGGGCTGTGTGCCAGGCACTCTGCATGCAAAGTCTCCCCAGATCCTCCTCCAAATTACCCTGAGAAATCTATAAATGTGGTACACCACAGCAACAAAATCATATGATCATCTCAACAGATGCAGAAAAAGCAATTGACAAAATTCAGCATCGTTCCATGATCAAATCTTTCAACAAATTACGTATAGAAGGAATGGAATGCAATACAACAAAGGCCATGTATGACAGGCCCACAGCTGACATCATACTCAATGGTGAAAAGCTGAAAGCCTTTCCTTTAAGATCAAGAACAAGACAAGCATGCCTACTCTCACCAGTTCTTTCTTTTTCTTTTTCTTTTTTTTGTTTTGTTTTGTTTGTTTGTTTGTTTTTGAGCAGGGTCTTACTCTGTCACTAAGGCTGGAGTGCAGTGGCATGATCATGGCTCACTACAGCCTCAACCTCCCGGGCTCAAACCATCCTCCTGCCTCAGTCTCCTGAGTAGCTGGGACTACAGGCATGCGCCACCACTCCTGGCTATTTTTGGTTTTGTTTTGTTTTGTTTTGGGTTTTTGGTATTTTTAGTAGAGACAGGGTCTTGCTACATTGCCCACGCTGGTCTCAAACTCCTGGCCTCAAGTGATCCTCCCACCTTGGTCTCCCAAAGTGCTGGGATTACAGATGTGACCCACCACACCTGACCCACTCTCACCAGTTCTATTCAATGTAGTATAAGAGGTCCTGGCTAGAGCAACTAGGCAAGAAGAAGAAATTAAAGGCATCCAAATTGGAAGGGAAGAAATTAAATTGTTCCTCTTTGCAGATAACTTGATCTTATATATTAAAAAACCCTAAAGATTCCACCACAAAAACTGTTAGAACTGATAAACCACTTCAGTAAAGTTGCAGGATATAAAATCAACATAGAAAATTCAGTAGCATTTCAATATGCTAACAATGAACTATCTGAAAAAGAAATGAAACAACGCTATTTACAATAGCTATAAAGTAAAATAAAAAGCTTAGGAATAAATTTATTCAAGAAGGTGACAGAACCGTATGCTGAAAACTACAAAACATCGATGAAAGAAACTCAAGAAGATTGCTCAGTGTGGTGGCTCATGCCTGTAATCTCAGCATTTTGGGAGGCTGAGACAGGAGGATTGCTTGAGCTCAGGAGTTTGAGATCAACCTGAACAACAAGGCAAAATCCTATCTCTATAAGATACAAAAACTAGCTGGGTGTGGTGGCATGTGCCTGTGGTCCAAGCTACTTGGAAGGCTGAGGTGGGAGGACTGCTTAAGCCTGGGAGGTAGAGGCTGCAATGAGCTGTGATTATACCACTGTACTCCAGCCTGGGCAACACAGCAAGACCCTGTCTCAAAAAACAAAACAAACAACAACAACAACAAAAAAAAACCCTACCCACATTGATTGAACACCACTTGAATGTAAAATCTGAAACTATAAAACCACTTGAAGAAAATATAGGGGAAAAGCTCTATGACATCAGTCTAAGCAGTGATTTTTAAAAATATGAACCCAAGAGCACAGGCAATGAAAGCAAAAATATACAAAATGGGATTACATCAAACTAAAAAGCTTCTGCACAGCCAAGGAAACCATCAACAGACTGAAGAGACAACCTACAGAATGGGAGAAAATACTTGCACACCATAAGTTGAATAAGAGGTTAATATCCAAAATATATAAGAAACTCAATTGTAAGAAAAAAACTGGTTTAAAAAAATGGGCAGAGAATCTGAATAGACATGTCTCAGTGTCTCAAAAGATGACATACAAATGGCCAACAGGTATATGAAAAGATGCTTAACATCACAAATCATCAGAGAAATGCAAATCAAAACCACAATGAAATATCAACTTCTCACCTGTTAGAATGGCAATTATCAAAAAGACAAGATAGGCCGGGTGCAGTGGCTCACACCTGTAATCCAAGCACTTTGGGAGGCTGAGGCGGGAGGATCATGAGGTCAGGAGTTCGAGACCAGCCTGGGCAACATAGTGAAACCCTGTCTCTACTAAAAATACAAAAATTATGCAGGTGTGGCGGCACACTCCTGTAATCCCAGCTACTTGGGAGGCTGAGGCAGGAGAATCGCTTGAACTCAGGACACAGAGGTTACAGTGAACTGAGATTGCACCATTGCACTCCAGCTGGGGCAACACAGTGAGACTCTGTCCCCCGCCCCCGCCCAAAGACAAGATAACAAGTGTTGGTGAGGATGCAGTGGAAAGGGAACACTTATAGGCTGTTGGTGGGATTGTAAATTAACACAACCATTATGGAAAAGAATACGGAAGTTCCTCAAAAAGTTAAAAATGGAACTAGCATATGATTCAGCTGTTGGGTACAGATCCAAGGGAAATGAAAACAGTATGTTGAAGAGATGTCTGCACTCCTGTCATTGCAGCATTAATTTTTTTTTTTTTTTTTTTTTTTCGAGACAGAGTCTCGCTGTGTCGCCCAGGCTGCAGTGCAATGATGCGATCTCGGCTCACTGCAACCTCAGCCTCCTGGGTTCAAGTGATTCTCCTGCCTCAGCCTCCCTAGTAGCTGGGAGTACAGGCCCACGCTACCACACCCAGCTAATTTTTGTATTTTTAGTAGAGTCAGGGTTTCACCATGTTGGCCAGGCCGGTCTCGAACTCCTGACCTCAAGTGATCCACCTGCTTCGGTCTCCCAAGTGTCTATCAACAGATAAGTGAATCAAGGAAATGTCCTATATATGCACAGAAGAATTCAGCCTTTAAGATGAAGGAAACTTTGTCATTTGTGAACCTTGAGGACATTATGTTAAGTGAAATAAGCTAAACACAGAAAGATACATACCATATGATCTCACTTATATGTGTAGTGTAAAAAGGTTGAACCCACAGAAGGAGAGAATAAAATGGTAGTTACCAGGGGCTGGGGAGGGGCAAGGGTTGGAGAGATGTTGGTTAAAGGGTACAAAGGTTCTGCTAGATAGAAAGCATAAATGTGAGAGATCTATTATACAGCATGTGACTCTAGTTAATAGCAATGTATTGTATTTGTAAAAATTGCTAAGAGTAGATCTAAACTGTTCTCACCACAAAAAATTATGAACATATGAGGAAATGTGCATGTTAATTAGCTCGATTTAGCCATTCCACAATGTATACATATTTCAAAACAACAATTATACACAAAAATACATACAATTTTTGTCAATTGAAAAAATAATTAGGCTGGACACGGTGCTCATGCCTGTAATCCCAGCACTTTGGGAGGCCGAGGCGGGCAGATCACTTGAGGTCAGGAGTTTGAGACCAGCCTGGCCAATATGGCAAAACCCACCTCTACTAAAAATACAAAAATTAGCCAGGCGTGGTGGTGCACGCCTGTAATCCCAGCTACTCGGGAGACTGAGGTAGTAGAATCGTTTGAACCCAGGAGGCAGAGACTGCAGTGAGCCAGGATTGTGCCACTTGACTCCCTGGGCAACAGAGCGAGACTCTGTCTTTAAAAAAAAATAAACCAGAAAAGAAAAAATAATTAACTTTTTAAAAGAGCCTAGGAAAAAAAAAAAAACCCAAATCTCACATAACCCTGACAGATTGGAACTGTTACTGCTCACATGCAAGCTGAGAAAACAGAGGCTCAGAGAGTTTGGATGGCCGATCCACGGTCATACCACCTGTGCAAGGTGGGCCTGGATAAGATACTGCATCCCTGACTCCAAGGCCACGTGCTTAACGCTCTGTTTCACTGCCTGCCTCTGAGTATTTTGGAGACTGTGCCTTCTACACTAAGAAGTCAGCCTTGCACAAATGGGTTAAAGACAGGTCTCTGGCTGCAAGGGGGATGACTGGATGACTTTCCTGAAATAGATACAGGGTCTGTCTCGGCTCTCTGCCTACAGCACAAAGGCTCAGAAAATGAACTGCCCACAGGCCCAGCCAGAGGCTTCCTGGGGTCCTGCTTATTCCAGTATCAGACCAGAAGCCACCGTATGGCCTTGGGCAAGTCACCTCAAAGCCCTTGGGCTGCCTCTGTCTGCTCATCTGTCAAATGGGTAGGATTTGCCTGGCCTGTGCAGCCTGACCTATTTGAGTAAGATCAGAAGGGCCAATGAGAATCTCATAGAAAAGTCATAAAAGGACTGCCAGGTATTGTTCTGGTGATTCTTCTGGATTCGTCATCACTAAACATTAGAAGCAGCTTTCCTTGTAATGCCAAGAATCCCGGCTCTACACTTCAGAGACAGGGCCCTGTCTCTGAACCTCAGTTCTCTCATGTGTGAAATGGGATGAGAGAATAATAGAATCTGCCATTCAGGCTGCCTTAGCCATGAGTGGCATGGAAAAAAATTGTAAGTCAAATGGAAGTCATTATTATTGTTCTTGTCATTATTATTATTCATCCCACAGGAGGCAGCGATCTGCAGGGTTATGAAATCACCCACGTGGACTGAGGAACCTTTTGCACAAACATCCCCAGCAATCAAAACACCTAAACAGCCCAGTCGTGGCGCTGTCAGCATCACCAGGGGCTGTCTAGAAACGATGTACCAAAGCCACATGACCCCTGCTTGACAGGGTGCCCAGTGCCTGCCAAGGTCCCCTCTTGCACAGCCCAGAAGCAGCAAGCCATCAACTTCCAGAAAGTTCCCAAGTCCCAGGGATTTCCAAGCAGAGAAACAGACAGATTGGTTGAGGTGGGCTTCCTGGAGGCCGCCCCCCCCCCAACCCACACTTTCCAAGTTTAAGATCCAGGGAGCAGCAGTGGCAGCCAGCTCTCAAAAGCTTACCCGTCCACTCCTCCTCCCCTGTGCCATCCCGCAGGCCGTGCCCCAATGCTACGGTCCTCACTGTCACCTTCAGCAGACTCTCCACCTGAAATCCTAGCCCCAAAAGCATGAAGGAGGGAAGACTTAGGGAGGGGCAGCCACCTACTTGGGTCTCTCGGTCAGGGCCAGTCAGGATGCCCATGGTGCAGGGGTTCAGCTGAGGGCTGTGACATTCATCCCAAGCCTGGGTGGGTGCATGCAAGTGGGAGCCCAGCTCCCGAGCCAGTGTGGCTCCAGTGGCAGAGGAGCCAGCAATCCTTCCTGCTTCTAATCAGATTGAGGAGATGTGCAGGGAACGGCAGAAGCATCCCCAGGGAGGCCAGGTGGAACCAAAAGGCCGTGGTTGCTAGGGAAAGCTGAGCTGTTGCCTGTAGAGATCGGGTCTCTAGGCAACTGGGTCTCATCTGCCCGTTACCGGGCCCTCATGTCATCAGTAACCTGTGTCTCTGCAAAGCTGGCCAAGAGCATCCGTCCCCAGCCAGTGACAGCCCAGTTTTGCTTGCCCTGGGCCTCACACCCTCTGGCCCTGGCCCTGTGATCACCCACTCTGTCACTCCCTTGCCCCTCCCTGGGCCTGGAGCCCAAAAGTTTCCTGAGTTCAAAACTCTGGGTGAACATTTGTGTGAAGACATGCACGCCTGCAGCATCTGCAGGTGACTCCGATGCATGTGCATGTGTGCAAGACTGTTGCGTGCATGTGTGCAAGTGTGTACATGTGTGCCTGTGTGCACACACATGTATGAACATGTATGAGTGTGCTGCCTGTGCTTGTGCATATATGCAGGATGTGTGTGGGTATAAATGTATGCATGCCTGTACATGTAAGTGTGTGCATAACCCAGCATATATGTCTGTGTCGGTGTGCTGGTGTATACGGGTATAGTGCAGATATGCGTGTGTGTGCCCATGTGTACTGCATTCTGAGAACATATGTATAGTTAGTGCTCGTGTGCACACGCATGTATGTGAGCATAGTTGATCACTGGACTTCAAAGGGTGTCTCAGATCCAGAGCAGTGGCAAATACAGGGGTTTTCCTGCCTGGGTGTTAGGTGTGTACGTTCAGCAAGGGAGCCACTTGTAGCTATGCACTCCACACAGAAGCATAGCTCCATAGAAGGCAGAGGGCAAACAAGCTGCTCTAATGAAACCAGACTGCAGCTAAGTTCTTCACCTTGCTGGGACTGCAGGGTGGCTCAGAAGGCAGAATTAGGACAAGTCAGGAAGGGATAGAAGCCACAGGAAAGCAGGCTTAGTTTTGGTGTAAGAAATAATTTCACAGGTCAGAGGGGAATATGGATGTAATGGACAGCCTTTGAGAGGTTGTGAGTTTCCCGTCACTGGTGGTAAGCAAGTCGAGGCTGTGTGACCTCCTGTCAAGAATGGAAAGAGTCTACGTGAACTGAGTAAGGATGGACTAAAAGCAGATGACACTGAACAGGCCTCCAGCTCTGAAATCCTGTTTAACTATTTCCTGACTAGAACAAAAAGAGGCCATCAGCGGGATGAGAACAACAGTGGCCATCGATGGGGCACTTACTCCAGGCCTGGTCCTACCACTTCCATCATCACCGCTGGCCCTGATGACCCCCTGCAGGAGGCTTGTATTATCCCCCATTTTACAGATGTGGAGACAGAAGCTCTGAGCGGGTGCACCACTGGCCCTGGTCATTTCACTAACAGAAGCAAAGTGGTATTGGTGTTTCGCATGCCAAAGCCTGTGCTCCTAACACTCACGGTGCTATCCTATGTCAGGCTGTGGCCAGACAGACAGGTCAGGGAGAAAGGATGCGGGTCATGAGGTACCTATGGTGGGCAGAGAGACACGGACATAATGCCAGGGGACTGGCGCAAGGACAGAGTAACTTACTATCACCTGGCCCACCATAACAGTCTCCTCACTGTTCTCCCTGCCTCAGTCTTTCTCCAACACAGCTGCCGGATCATGCTACTCTCCTGCTTATGAACCTTCAATGGCTCCCTATTGCCTTTGGGAAAACAAGTTCAAGGCTTTACAACCTGCTTTTGAGGCAGTCCTTCTTTCTTCTTCTTTTTTTTTTAAATAGAGATGGGGTTTTGCTACATTGGCTAGGCTGGTCTTCAACTTATGGGTTCAAGTGATCCACCCACCTCGGCCTCCCAGAGTGCTGGGATTGCAGGCATGAGCCACCATGACTGGCTGACCTTCTTGAAACACTAACTTGGCTTCTAGGCCCCACACTCTTCTTGTCTCTTCCCTGCTCACAGGTGCCTCCTCCTCAGTCCTTTTTGGTTCCCCATCTTCCCAACCTCTGGTCTTGTCCATGAGCCTCTCCTCTATCCACACTTGCTCCCTGGGCATCTCCTTGAACCCCATAGCTTTCAATGCCACTCACATGCCCAGAATCCCAATGTCACATCTCCAGCCCCACCTCTCCCACTCCTAACTCCAGGCACAGGTGTCTAACTGCCTGCTCTTCCCCATGCGTATCCCCCTGTCCAGCCATTCTTCCATAGTGTTTCCTGATCTCCAGTGCTTAACTTTTATTTTAACTGAACTCTTCTGTGTGTTTAGCATTGAAATCTATGGATGTGGGTGGACGATCGACCATTTCTGGGCAGTAGAGTAGAACCCAGGACAGCCCTGGAAGGCATCAAAGGCAACCAAGGCGGGTGGATATGGAGGGGAGGCAGCCTTGGCTTTGTGAATAATGGGAGAACTGGGAGTCCACTGCATATGCCCATGCAGTCAACTAACATTTATTTGGTGCCCACTGTGTACCAGGCACCGTTCTAGGCTCTAGGGACATGGCAATGAAAGCAACAGATAAAAGTCCCAGCCCTCTTGGAGGCTGCATTCTAGTGTATATGTAGAGGGATGTGGAGTGGTAGGTAATATGATTCCCAGGTCATGATGAGCACAGCAGAGGAACCCCAGCTTCTCCCAGCCTCTCTGGTCAAAGCCCAGCCTCACACAGCACAGAACAAGAGAAAGGAGCTCCCATGAGCAGCAAAGAGTGCCCAGACCCCAGGAGCTCAGCCAACCCCAGCCCCAGGACCATCCCCAGCCAGGTGAGCAAACGACTTACTCAGTCACCTCCTCCTCCTCTTCCTCCTCCTCCTCTTCCTCTTCCTCCTCCTCATCTTCTTTCTCCTCTTCAATCCTGGACAGCTCTCTAAGTTGGGGTTAGAGGCAGGAGGTGAGTCCACCTGAAGCTGCCCCACTGAGTCTACCTCTTGCCCCCATTTTCTGTAGGATGTCCCATGACTCCTGAGCCCAGACCTGGACTTTCCAACCAAGGCTCAACCTGGGGAGCCCCACCTGAGCAACTCTGAACTCTCTCTGGCAACAAACCCTCTCCTCTGCATGAGGGGACTGTCCCAGCCACTGTCCTGGTGGTGACCCTAGGTCAGCCTCTGATCCTCTCTGGTCCTCAGTTTCCCCATCTTAGCTATGTAAGTTACGGACTTCAGAACCCAAGACCCCCCGCTGTCACCAAGCATCTCTAGTAGGAACGAAGATTGCAACATCCCTATGGAAAGCGACTTGGCGGTCATGACCACAAATCCACATTCTCACGTCCAATGACCCACAATTCCCCTCTAGAAATCTCCTGCAGATGTATTCACACACGTGCAAAGACATGCATACAAGAGTGCCTGTTGCAGAATTGTTCATTATAACAAAAATTTGGAACCAACCTAAATGTCCATCAATAGTGAATAATAAATTATGGTACAGCCATATGATGGAATACTATGCAGCAGTGAAAAATGAAGATGCTCTCTATATCCTGAATGTGGAAAGACCTCAAGGTATGTCGTTGAATAAATATAGCAAGGTGCAGATAGGTACATGTGCTATGCTACCTTCTGTACAGAAAGAAAAAAGGAGGGAGATGTTAGCTTGCATATGCCCAGACTGTCTGTAGAGTGGCACATAAGAACCTGGTAGCCATTATACCCATGGGAGAAGGATGGCTGTATGAAGGCAGGGGGAAGCAGGTTTGGTTCCTGCTCTGTGCCTTTTTATACCTTTGGGATAAGGTACTGCATGTTTGGTACCTTCTCAAACAATAACTAATCTTTTAGGGTCTTCTCAGACTCCCCACCTCGGCATCTTTTCCACGGCTTTGTTCTCCTCTTCATAAGCTGGAACCACCTCTGTACCCTGCGAGCTGGTACTGACATCCTGGTGGGCATCCTCCCAGTGCGGTTCAACCTCTTCTAGGACGAGTTCAGGCTCCACTTGCCCTCCAGGAAGGATGCTGACTGCAGGGAACACAGGAAGAGCCATTTATGGGATGTGCAGGGGAGTGGGCTTGGGCCTCCGAGTCCCAGGGACCCCGCAGGGAGCCCTGGCTGTGGCCAGCAGTGCCTCAGTGCTTAGTCAGGCAGTGGGGAAATGGCACTTTCCATTTTCAGCGTGACCAGATCGGTGTTCCGGTGATGGGCTGAAGCCTGTGCTCATTCACTCTGTCTCCATCATCTTCCCCCCTTTTCCTCTTGAGACAGAGCTTTGATTATGGTTGAACCTGTTTCTCACTGGGGCCTCCTTCTTAAAGGTTTGTGCAGAGGCAGAAACAATGTTTCCAGTCACAGCATCACAGGGATGCTAAACGGCCCAGGTTCAGGGTCCACCTGGCCGCATCCAGGTGCAGGTAGCCTGGATTGTCCTGAGGGATGCAGAGAGAGCTTCCTGCTCTGTAGATGTCACCCCCTGGTGACAGCAAGCTCATATGCTCAGCATTTGCTTCTGAGAGTCCTTCCCTCCCTCCTGGGTCTAGAGGCTCCACCCTCCAGGGAAACTCCACTTCCTCATGGGGGTGGTCCCGCCTTCAGATGGGAGTCTAATTTTCAACATTTCTTCACCTATCCTGGTCCTTGACAACGAAAACACCCTGGGCCTGTGAGCTTGGCAGATGCTCAAAGGGAGTGCAGAGCAGTCCATCAGGAACCTAAGCCTATCCCCAGGCTGGTGTCAGCGACAAAGGACAACGCCTGGACACCAGGTGTCCCCCAAAAGCTCCAGGGATCTTGGTGGCCCTCAGCCAAACATAAATTAGTAATAGTGACTTTTTTGTGGTTGAGACAGGGTCTTGCTCTGTCGCTCAGGCTAGAGTGCATTGGTGCAATTATGGCTCACTGCAGCCTTGACCTCCTGGGCTTCAGCATTCCTCCCACCTCAGCCTTCTGAGTAACTGGGACTACAGGCATGCACCACCATACCCGGGTAGTAGTAACGATGACTTTAAATGGAAGCTGGCCTCAAGTCTTATCCTGAGACTTTGGCTGTTATTGTTCATAATGTTGCATAACAACAATCATAGTAAGAGCAGCTGCATTTTTGAGCACTTCCTATGTGCCAGGACCTGTGCTGAGTGATTTATGTGGAATAACTCGATTAGTCCTCACATCAACATTTCGAGGTTATAATTAGCATCCCCATTTTATTTTCCCTCTTTTATATTTTTCTCCCCATTTTACAGATGAGCAAACTGAGACAGAGATAAATACCTTATTTTATGGGGTGCTTCCTATTGCCAGGCACGTAGCTCCCCACTTCTAGGTACAGATATCAGCCCTATCTCACAGATGAGGTGCTGCCTGCCCTCTAGGGAAGCCCCAAGCGCATCCCGAACTAGCTGTTTCCAGGTTGCTTCCGGCTCCTCTGGCCCTGCAAACGCCCCTGGGGTTTGGTCAGGGAGGCTCCTCCAAGTGTGACCCTGAGTCCGGTGGTGGGACGCGTTGTCCAGGTCAGTCTATGCTGCTGTCCAGCAATGGTGCAGTGTCTCCACTCTAAGCAGCCCCTTGGGGTGCCAGTTCCTGCCTGGGCGTAGCAGGGGACATGCAGGGAACAGAACATCTCGCCTGACAGCACGTGAGCTTTCACAGCAACCCCAAAGGGCAGGAACGGTACTTTCCCCCTTTTAAAGAGAGCCAGCTCAGATAGGCTGAGTGTCTTGTCCCAGGCCACACAGGAAGGTGGAGGCAGAGCCAGGTGCCCTGACTCCCGTTTTCCCAGTGCACTATCCCAGGTGACAAATGTGTCCCATGAGCGCCTCCTGGCATCAGCGGCCACTCCTTACGGGGCACTGTCCTTAAGAATTGATGACGTCCTTGCTTCCACACTGCCTTTCCTTTCCATTAACCTTTTCTTTTTAGGCCCTATTTAGTGCGTGGGTGTTTCATAAGCATTTCTTTCTTTTTTTTTTTTTTTGAGACAGAGTCTCGCTGTGACACCCAGGCTCGAGAGCAATGGTGCGATCTCGGCTCACTGCAACCTCCGCCTCTTGTTCAAGCGATTCTCATGCCTCAGCCTCCTGAGTAGCTGGGATTACAGGCACGTGCAACCACATCTGGCTAATTTTTGTGTTTTTAGTAGAGACGGGGTTTCACCATATTGGCCAGGCTGGTCTCGAACTCCTGACCTCAGGTGATCCACCCACGTTGACCTCCCAAAGTGCTAGGATTACAGGCATGAGCCACTGTGCCCAGCCTCATTTCCTCCTTTCATCTCTGCAGCAGGCCTGTAAGATGTGTCCTATACTGCTCCCATTTTACAGCTAAAGATTCTGCAGCTCTGAGAGGAGGACAGTGCCCAAGATTACCAACCTGGAAGGGGAGGGATGGGGTATGCTGTTACACAGCCCCCAGGGCAGGCCCCCAGGAGGCCTGGTGCAGGAACCGCTGGCCCACCCCTGAAACTCCGACCGCCCCTCTCTACAGGTGTCTGATTCATAGCTCGCCCAGCTTCTCCGTGGCCCTACCGAGGTGTTCAGGAGCTATGAGTGCTACAGTTCCCATAGAAACTGCCACTCCACCCTGGCATGCCACCTCTTGGTCAGTGGCCTCTCTGCCCTCAGGGCTGTCAAATGAGGTTCTGACCCTGGCCGATGAAAGTCAACAGTCTTGGTCGGACGCAGTGGCTCACGCCTGTAATCCCAGCACTTTGGGAGGCTGAGACAGGCAGATCATGAGGTCGAGAGATCAAGACCATCCTGGCCAACATGGTGAAACCCCTTCTCTACTAAAAATACAAAAATTAGCCGGGCATGGTGGCATGCGCCTGTAGTCCTAGCTACTCGGGAGGCTGAGGCAGGAGCGTTGCTTGAACCCGGGAGGTGGAGGTTGCAGTGAGCCGAGATCACACCACTGCACTCCAGCCTGGTGACAGAGCAAGACTCCATCTCAAAAAAAAAAAAAAAAAAAAGTAAAAAAAGAACGAAAGTCAACAGCTTCATGTGGGAAGGAGCGCCTACTTCCAGGATCAGCAGGCAGGAGCCTGGGCACATGAATTCTAGGCTAAGGCACCCACCTGGACCCCTGGGTCTCTGTCAAAGCCTGAGCCCTAACTCCAAACCTCCACCCTTTCTGGCAGGCCTGGGTCATGATACCCCCTTCCTCTGCCTCTCCACAGCCCCAGGCTCACATCTCCTCCCACCTGGCCCCAAGCACTAATTTCTCAAGTATGGTCCCAGCCTCTCCCCGACATCAGAATCATCTGAGAAAGCAGGTACTTCTCAATAAAGCAGATTCTTCCATAAACATTGCTTGGTCATGAAGGAGAGGAGGAGAGGGAGGGGAGGAGGAGGAGGGAGGGAGGGGAGGGAGGGGAGGGAAAAACAGAACCAGATCCATCCCCAAATGCTCTTGAGTCACAAAATCTGGGAGTAGGGCGTTCTTCATAGTTGGCCGGGGAGGGGAGGGAAAAAACAGAACCAGATTCCAAGCTCCCAGTACTCTTGAGTCACAAAATCTGGGGTAGGACGTTCTTCATAGTTGGCCCCAGGTGCCTTGGAAGGGTCCCTGCTTTGATTGCTTTCCCTGTCTCCAAGGCTTGTTCAGCCTCAGAGTAATCTTTCTGAAGTTACTCCCCTGCTCAATCACCTTCAATGGCTCCCCATTGCCTACAGCCTAGTCTCCTAGAGTCAGGCCCCAGCTTCTCTAGTTTTATCTTCTGCATTAAGGATGCTGGGCTCCACATTAGCTGAAGTCCCACCACTCTCCTGTATACCTCTACTGGGATTGCCCCACCTCATCACCCGTTTGAGACCTCAGGGATCTCGAATCCAAAGGCCTGCCCAGCCAGTGTGATGATGTATACAAATGAAGGGGCAGGTGCCAACTGCCTTCAGGTGCCAGCAGCTGCCCAGACTGTCCTCACAAGCACCGTGTGGGCCCATTACAGCCAGGTCTACCCAGTTTTCTAGAGAAGCCGGATTTTTTCATGTAAAGCTACCTGATTTTTAAATGTTGGCAATCAATTCTAATTTTTAAAATCACTCCATGGCCCAAACAAAGACATGTGTGGGCCAGCTGGGAGCCAGGACCCCTGGCTCAGGACCCCTGGCTAATTCCTCCCCTCCTGCAACTTAATACCCCAAGCCCAGGGCTATTCAGTCCACCCACTTTTAAAATCTAAACCCTTCTTTTAGCTTTATCCTAAGCAATAATATCATGCAGTCACAGGTTTGATGTGCTCATTTACGCTCTTTTAATGTTAATGAAAACGTTTGTTGCTGCTCACTGGCGTCCCCAAGCCTTGGAAGGAGAGAGTGTGGCCAGGCCTAGGGAGAACCTCTTCTGGGAAAAACTGTATCTTGTCGAGGTGCTGACGGTGCCAGGTACCACACTGGGGGCTGTGCACGCGTCCTCTCAAAGAGATGCTCAATACTGAGTCCTCCATCCATGGGGCTTTCTAATTTATTAATTAAAAAAAGGTTTTTTAGAGACAGGGTCTCAGTGTGTTGCCTACAGTGGTCTCGAACTTCCGGGCTCAAGCAATCCTCCTGCCTCAGCCTCCCAAAGTGCTGGGATTACAGGCGTGAGCCACCACGCCCGGCTATGGGGCTTTTCCACAGCCCTCTGGGGGTAAGTCCTGCTGTCTAGCCTAAATCTTGCAGGCTGCGCATGGCTGGCCTTCCCCTTGTTCTGGTCTGGGAGGCTCTGGGGCTGGTGCAGGTGACGCTGGCTCCCTTTGTCCTGCCTGGGAGTATGTGGACAGGGAGGGGTTCGCTGTTCAAATAGGGTGGGGTGTCAGTGGCCACCTCCCCCCGGAAGGTCTTCTCTTCAGGGCATCCTTCTTTCCTTCCATCCGTGTGTCCATCTGAGCTCTCCCAGATTCCCTTCTCCCTTATTTCAGAGACCTCCAGCTCCCATCACCCCTGAAACAAAGGAGAAGACAGGGTGGGTGGCTGGGTGGACAGGCGGAAGGAATGAGTGAGTGAGTGAGTGGATGAGTGAATGAATGGGGAGGGTAGGGGACACATAACCCCCAGCCCCTGAGAGTCTCCCCATGACATGGGACGTGAGTGGAATAGTGTCTCCCAAAAAGATAATTCCGAGTCCTAACCCCATTACCTGTGAATGTGACCTTATTTGGAATAGCTTCTTTGCAGGTGTGATTAAGTTAAGGATCTCAGAGTGAGATCATCCCGGATTTAGGGTGGGCCCTAAATCCAACGACTGATGTCCTTTTAAAAGAACGGAGAGGGAGGCTTGACACACACAGACACAGAGGTAAAGGCTGTGTAGAGACGGAGGCGGGGACTGGAGGACAGCCAGAAGCCAAGGCTCGCCAAGGACCACGAGTGGCCAGCAGGAGCAAGGAGAGCGGGACGGGCATGTCTCGCTCAGAGCCCCAGGAGGAGCGGACCCTGCCAAAGCCTTGACCCTGGACTTCTGACTGCTGAACGGTGGGAGAATCAGTGTCTGTTGTTCTAAGCCACCCAGTGTGTGCACATCTGTTATGGCAGCCCTAGAAAAGAAAACCAAGCCAGCTCCCCGCCCTGTGCCCATGAGCCTGCCCACATGGCTACCCAGCGTCCACCCATAACCCACATGCTCCAGACATTGCAGGGAGGCCCTGGCTACAGCTGGCGGAGAATCCCACCTCCTCCAGAGGGGAAGAGAAGAGGGTTCTGGTGCTCCATCCCCAGATGCAGACCCTCTGGAGGCTCTCTGCCCCCAAGGAAATGGTTTTAGTTCCTTTAAGAGGAGGCTGCCAGGCCAGATGGACTCGATTTGCTCTATGACCTTGGGCAGGTGCTTGTGGTTCTCTGAGCTCTGCCCCCTGCCTGCCCCAACAGCCATAAGGGTCTCTGCTCTGTTGCCCCAGGTTGGCCACGAGCTTTCATGAGAGACTTCGTATGCCCTGCTTTGAGACAGGCCAGCTCTCCTCATGTCATCGCCATGATTACCATCAACCCTAACGCCCCCCATGCCTGTCCATCAGACCTGAGCTCCACAATGCACTGGCCAGTGTGTGCTCCAGGCCACCGCGGCCACCCCCAGCTTCAGGGCACTCATGGAGACCACCATTGGCCTCGTGGGGCTGGGGCTGGACACAGCCTTGCAGACACAGGGCAGAGCTCAGAGCCCTGGGACACTCTGAGGCCTGTGGTTGGAGGGCTTGTGTCCAGGATGGAACAGGGGACGCCACACCCACAGCCCCTGAGCTCTGCTCACAACTAGAACCCATCACAGGCCTGGCACATAGTAGGCTATTCTTAACTATGTACTGAATGAATGAATGGATGGATGGATGAATGAATGCCTGTTCACCGCATGCCTCTCTGGAGGCCATGAAGTGAAGAAAGAACAGATCCTGCCTCCAGCCCCTTCCTGGTCTCAGTCCTCTGTCCCCGATTCCTGGCTCGGGACTGGTCTCAGTCCTCTGTCCCTGATTCCTGGCTCAGGGCTGGGATAAAGGACATCACATGCCTCCCCAACCCAGCTGCAGGTGACAGGGACCCCTCCAGCTCAAGGGAGCTGGAGGCTATGGGGCCTGATTCCTCCAGTGAGACCCTACCCCTCTCCATTCAGCTTGGCCAAACCCATTTTCCCAGCTGCCAGGGGATGGGAGCTCTCTGGGCATTACCAGCAGGAAGGAGAGCTCATCTGACTTAGCCCTGGGACTGTTTGCTCCGGAGAGAAGCTGGACACCAGGCTCCTGGGGCCTCCAGCCACCATCTGGCTCTGGGCCAGGCTCTGGCTACCTGGCCAGGCTGAACAGAGGTAGGGCCTGCAGAGCACAGAGCTCTCTCAGCTCCAGCTCAGGAGACCCTAACTGCCCCCCGTGTGAGTCCAGGTCTGGCCAGGGACAGCCCCCTCGCCCAGATACAGTCAGACCCAAGGACACCAAGCAACCCTTCCTAATATGCACATGGGGACCCAGTAATGTGTCACTTACTGGTCTGCACATCACATATCCCAGGGGAGTCAGGCTCCTGCATGGAGAGAGAAAAAAGGGAAAATCCTGCCATGGCCTCTTCACCAGCCTCCCCATTTCAGCCACCCCTTCAAGGTGACCTTGACCCACCTCTCCAGGCCTTAGTTGTCCCATGGGATGGAGAAGAGAGTCCCGCTGTGCCCAGGACCAATGAAGGATTTGAGGTGGGGGGAGGGGGCTTTGGGAGCTCGAGCCTTGGCTCAAATGAAGCAAGGTGGGGGTGACCCCAGACAGCCACAGCAGCGGCACCTGCTCAGAAGAGCCAGGCTGAGCCCTTCAGTAACACAAAGACCCAGGACCTGGCCAGGCCTTCCTGTCTCTGGGGCCTAGACAGCTTTGTTTACAGAACTCTTTACCTCCATTCTCACAGCGCTGGGTATGAAAATGCAGGTAAAGAGTTCTGTAAACAACTGACCATTGGTCAGCTGGGACAACTGAGGTTCTGAGAGGGGCAGAGCCGAGACCACACAGCCAGGAGAGAGATTAGGCTTCCCACTTCCCAGTTCCAGGTGCTTCTATAAAGACGTTCAATTGCACCCAAGAAAAAAGGGCCAGGTTCCTGGTTCATGAGGAAGGAGAGGAACGGGTGACAGGGTGCATGAGTGCTCTCCCTGGCCACTCATGTTGGAGCCCTAGGCTATCAGGAATGCACATAGGGCCTGCCGGCTCCTGTGAGCCTTACTTCTTCCCAGAATCTGGGCATCTCTGGATCTTTGCAAATGCTTGGAGGCCACCTCCACTGGGAAGCCTTCCTTGATGCTCCCAGGAGGCCCCATTTCTGTGCCCCATGTCCTCTCTGCTCCCCCATGGAAGGACCTCCCCCACTGACTGTGAACTCCTGGCAGGAGGGGCTGGGCCACCACGTCTCAGCCCTGTGGCCACTGTGCCTCAGAGTGGGTGAAATGAACGTGGGCCATGCAGACAGGAAGGCTGGGGGAGCTGGGCTTCTACCACAGGGTCCCTTCTTCCTGCTGTGCCTTCACACCCCAGGGACACAGGCCAACCATCCTGCTCCTTACCTGAGTTCCCAAGACTCCTCCCACCAAGGCCCCCACTTCATGTGCCCGGCACTGACCTGTTCCCCTATCTTCCCATGTAGCACTGGCTGCGGCAAAGCCATCTCCAGCCTGTGCAGGACCCACGCCACCAGCCTGCAGGTGGAAGAGAGTGTGCTGTGTCCAGGTGGGAAGGGTCGTGGGGAAACTGAGGCCAAAGTCAACTCATTCACAAGGCAGAAAACAAGCCTGCCAAAAGGCAGAGCCTGCCAGGAGCCAGAGCCCAGGTTTCCAGCCTGAAAACCATTTCCGCCCCCCGTACCCTCCCTAAGTGAGCTTCCGGCTACTGTTCATGCCCCAGCAGGTAGCTCAGGCTCCCCCAACCCTCCCACCCATCCCCGGAAGGGAGTGCATTTTGGGCATCTCACACATGGAAAGTGGCAACACCTGTCCTGATTTTCTTCCCTCCTTGCTTCCTTCCCTTCTCTTTTTCTTCCTTCTTTCTTTCTTGACTTGGTGGCCCAGGCTGATGTGATCATAGCTCACTCCCGTCTCAGCCTCCTGAGCAGCTGGGACTACAGGCACATGCCATCATGCCCGGCTGTTTTTTTTTTTTTTTTTAAATTTTTTGTAGAGATGGAGTCTTGCTATGTTGCCCAGGCTGGTCTCAAACTCCTGCTCCCACAGCTTCCCAAAGTAGTTGGATTACAGGCATGAGCCACTGCACCCAGCCTGTATCCCATTTTAAATACATGTATCCTCTGGCCCAGGAACTCCATTTCCACTGATTTATCCTCCAGATTTACTTGTGCGTGAACCCAGTGATGCATGCACAGGCTATTGATTGTGGCAAAAGAGTGAAAACAAATGTAAATGTCCACTGAGTGGTTAATAAAAACTGGTGCATCCATTTAATGCAGCTGTCAAAGAAGGAATGCAGTAAGACCTGTGTGGATAAAACCGCCTCTAAGACACATTTTTCAAGTTAAGAAAAAAAAAAAAAGAAGCAAGCCAGACGGGGTGGCTCATGCCTGTAATCTCAGCACTTTGGGAGGCTGAGATGGTCAGACTGCTTGAGGTCAGGAGTTCTAGACCAGCCTGGCCAACACAGTGAAACCCCCATCTCTACTAAAAGTACAAAAGTTAGCCAGGCATGGTGGCCTGCACCTGTAATCCCAGCTACTCAGGAGGCTGAGGCAGGAGAATCGCTTGAACCTGGGAGGCAGAAGGTGCAGTGAGCTGAGATTGTGCCACTGCCTTCCAGCCTGGGAGACAGAGCAAGACTCTGTCTCAAAAAAAAAAAGTAAAGTGCAGAAGAGTATGTATAGTTTGCTCCTGTCAGGTGTGTGTTGAAGAAAAAAAAAAACAAACGTACCCAAAGCTTGAAAGCTTGGACATGCATAGAAATGTGGGAAAGGGCACGAAGCTGATGTGGCTGCCTTGGGAAGGGGTCTGCACACATCCAGTAGAATTTTCTTCCAGGTTTCCTGGAGGTTAGGTGTTGGGCAGGGACAAGGTACTCATCCTGCTCCCTGGTGGGAGGCGCTGCATTGAGGGTGGCTCACCTGGCAGTGTCCCTGGGTGGTGGCAGGGAGGAGGCCTGGGCCTGGGAGCTAGGCTGGGGCTCTGGAGCTGGCACTTCCTTGGGTTCCTCCTTGGGCTGCAGGGGGATGGGCGTGGGCAGGGGGGCGCTCTCCTGGGCCTGCAGTTTGGGCCCTGTTTCCTGGGGGCGTCCTGGAGGCACTAAGCAGTGGGGAAAGCAGGAGCTAGAGACGCTGTCCCTTGAGGGCTTCCTCCAACCCCTCAAGGGCACAGGGGCCAGATTCAAGGCACTAACAGGACTGAATGGGGAGCCCTTTGGGACCACTTCACCCATTCCTGTCCTCAAACAGACCAGACAGACAAGGGAACTGAGGCCCAGGGAGGGGAAGGGACTTATCCAAGACCCACAAGTCTCTTCCAGGACTCTGGCTTCCCAGTCTGGACTGGGGAGGGGATTCTGGTGTCCCCCACAACAGTCTGCTCCTGGCAAGCCCTGAACCCCATCCTAGTCTGGGTGGGGGCTAAGGGCCTCCGGGGGATTCTCCAGGGCCCAGTTGACCCCTGAGCCCAGCCCGTGACCATCCCAGGCAGCCCCCTCCCGAGCTCCCCTCCCTGTACCTGGGTCCGAGGCAGCACCTGTAGCAACTACAGGCTCATCTCTCCAGACCTGGGTGACAAACAGGGCACAAGGTCATGGGCCATAGCAAGCTCTGTGCACTTCCCCAACCCCCACTACCAGCTGTGCACTGGCCCAAGGCTGGTGAGTGGGGGGCCTGGGGGGTCTCTCCTTCTGAATCCCCGCCACCTCTCACAGTCACTCCTCCCCATCAAGGACTCTCCAAGGGGGGCATCGTCCTCTCCTGAGTTCCAGGGGGGTGGGGACAGCCTGCTGGAGGAGGCAGGCCCTCCTGGGGCCCCAGAAACCCCCCCATATACTCAACTCCCTGCCCCTCCCTTCGTTGGCTTACCTCGGAGGATCTGGGGGGCTGAGGAAGCACTCTCTCCAGATTCTGCTCCAGCCACAGGAGCAGCCGTGACCCGGGCCTGCGGAGGGGCCAGTGGTCAGCAAAGCGCCCTGAGGGAACGGGTCAGTGCACTACCTAACAGCCCACCGCGGGGCCTGGCCCCGACCAGCCCTCCCGTGCCCTCCACCGCTGCTCTGCGTAGTGGGGGCCTTGTCCTGGAAACTCTCAAAGGGCCCCAAGGCGGTGGGGAAATCCTGTCAGACTCCAATTCTGAGCCAGGGCTGGACCAGGCTCTGGAACCACAGCGGTGGCCTCCTGGAGCATCAGGGGAGAGGCAAGAGCCGCTTGAGGACCTGAGTGCAGCCCTGGGGCCTCCCTGTGCTGAAACAGACAGGGCTGGCTGGCTGCACAGGAGTGTGACCTGTGCCATCACACAAGGCCTTAGACTTAGAAGGACCTGGTTTTGGTTTCATACTCTGCTGTCACAGTCTGAAAACATTTTTAAAAAATTTTAAGGGGCCTGCATTTGCATTTGCCTGGGGCCCCGCAAATTAATTATGTGGCTGGTCCTAAGGTCAAGGGTTGGATCCCAAATCCATCTGGCCCCTGGGAAGCCCCACTCTCTTCAGAGAAGCACCATGTTCCCAGGACAACCGGTTCCCCCAGGTATGGCCCAAAAGAAGGCTGGTGAGTCCTCTAGGTGCCCTCATCCTAAATTGCTTTCGTGGTCTCAGGAATCAGCAGCATGCGTCTCAGAAGGAAGTAGAGGACCAAAAGACACAGACAGCAAGCTGCAGCAAGGAATGAATGAATGAATGAAGTGTGTGATTATATATATGTGTGTTCATTCATGCATGCATTTGTCCCATGTGTGCTGAGTCCTCACTCTGGCAGGTGCTGTGCTGGGCACCAAGGGTTTAGTAGTGACCAGGACAAAAGCCCCTGCCCTCAAGGAGCCAGCAGTCTAATGAATGAATGAGTGAAGGAATGAATGAATGGGGTGAATGGAGATGAATGCATGTCTCTGGATTTCCAGCAGAAATTACAAACTGGAAGCTTCAAGCTTACTTTGGAAGTCTACAGTGTCCTGAAAACTTCTTGATTAAAATTTGAGGGTTTTACATAAAAAGCTAGATTTCTAGCTTCTCTTGAAAACCTGTCACACAGGGCCTAAACGCTTGCAAGGAAGAGGCAGTTGAAACTGAGCAGGGCCCCTTCTCAGAGCTCCCTGGCTCCCCTCTTTGCCAGAGTCCCCCCACCAGCCTGCCACCCTTACTGATGGGGCAGCCACCCCTCCCTGAGTCAGCTCTGAGAGGTCGGACACTGAGGCCAGCCTGGGCACCCTGATGTCCCCCACAGTGAGCCAAGCCCTGCTTCCAGGCTCCACACGGAGCCTACTTACATGAAGCCCACCTGTGAGGAGTTCATCCCTGCCCCCCCCCCCGTTCTCAGAGGGTGGCCCCACCCAGGGACCTCTCAGTCATCCCTGGGTGCACCCAGGGACCTTCTGCCACAAACTATGAGCAGCACACGGTCCACTGTCCCCATTCTATGGCTGGAAACAGGCAAGAGGAGACGGGAGGCACGTCCAAGGTCATACCCTGAGGTGGTAACAGACCCTGCTCCTGAACCCAAGGCCCTGTTCCTCCTACCACATACATACAGATGACAGTGACACTCAGGGATAGGGACTCACCTCATGTATTGGGCCTTGAGGGCCTCATTGGGTTCATCTGTGCACCCTGCAGGGTCAGAAAATACAGAAAGGCAGTCAGCAGCAGACCTGCCCCAGCCCCCTGGGCAGCCTGGAGTGGGCATGGAGAGCCCAACTCAATCCCACGTTCGAACTCAGGGTCGATCAGATGAGAAGACCTGGCCTGGGCAGAGGCTCCCAAGGGGCAGGGCCCGTCCCAGCAACCCCTCAGCCCCTCAGCCCCACCGCTGAAAAGCCATCCTGCCCCTTGGTCTTACCTGTGTCCGCAGTGCTGCCGTGCCCCAGGATCTGCCAGGGACAGACAGTAGACATGGGCAGGGAGCCCAAGGGTAGCCTCCCCACAGCCCCTCTCCGACCCAGCCCCTTCAGCCTCCAGCCCCAGCAGTACCTGAGCCGGGTCCTCCGTGACGCTATGGACAGGCTGTGGGATCACCTTCTCCACGCCCTTCATGAGCCAGGTCAGCACCCTGCGGCTGGGACTGCGATGGACAGAGACACCAGCCTGCTGTCAACTTCCCCTAGTTCAATGAGGCCCTCGAGGCCCAAGACACTAGGTGAGTCCCCGTCCCTGAGTGTCACTGTCATCTGTATGTGTGTGGTGTGGTTATTGGAAAGTACCTACATGTACCACTGGCCCAAGGCAAGTCCGGTGTCCGAAAGAAATTGGCTTGAATCCTAAACCACTGTCTCCCAACTGGGAGACTTCAGACCCATCTCCTCCCCAAGAAACTCCATGTGCTTCTCTGGAAAATGGGGGATGCTGCTGCTTCATGAGGCCAGGCAGACCGGGTGCCATTCGGAGTCCACCCCCATGGATGCTTAGGACAGAGCAGCTGACTTTCCTCTCCGCCTGCCTCCCACTGTCCTGCTCTGAGCACACATCATGCTCCCGAAGGGCCAAGGTTTGCTGCCGGTGTAATGCTGTGGCAGAGGCTGAGCAGCCTAAATGTGAAGGTCACAGCCTCCCTGCCTGAGGCCAGCCTAGCCCCAGCCATGCTCAGGCCCCAAGCACTATGGTCTGAAATGTCTGAACCAACTGGGAGATTCCATGCAAAAGCCTGGATTTCTGGCTTCTCTGAGAAAAGCAGAAGTTCTGACCCCATTGGGCCTGCATCTCACCTGAGCACTGAGAAACGTCCGGCCCCCTGTACAGGGGCGCTCACTATGCAGCTCTGACCCACTGTTTCTTTTGGTCACATTGCCCTGCCCTCAAGGAGCCAGCAGTCTAATGAATGAATGAGTGAAGGAATGAACGAATGGGGTGAATGGAGATGAATGCATGACTCTGGATTTCCAGCAGAAATTACAAACTGGGAGCTTCAGGCTTACTTTGGGAGAGCCCACCCTCCACCTGAAGCTCACTTCAGCCAATTCCCAGGATGTCCCAGGGCCTTCCCCAGAATGACAGCAGAGCTGAGGGCAGTACTCATCCAACCCCCATCCCTAGGGCTCCCTAGCTGGGAGGGAAGTCGGGGGCAGGTTGGCCCTGAAGAGAGGGGAGGGTGGTAAAGTACCTGTTCATTTCAGAACTCTCAGCGCCCTGGGCCTGGAGGGATATGGCGGAAGTAAGGGCAGCCTCCTTGGTCTCTGGAAAAGAATCTCTCATCCTTCAGATCTAGGGCCTCAGAGAGGCCCATTTCTACCCTGCTTGGGGAGATCACGTCAGGGAAGAGCCCCCAAGGGGTCAGAGAGAACCCCCAAGGGGTCAGAAAGCCAGGCTCCAGCTCAGCTCAACTGAAGTCTCCAGGAGCCCACCTTTAGCCTCTCTGAGCCTCAGTTTCCTTATCTGCGAAATGGGTCTGCCAACCTCGTGGGCTCTGCGAGGCTCCAAGGGGAGAATGCCGGCCTCCCTGCCCTGCCAGCCTGGGCTTCCGCACTCTCACTCACCCTGAGGACTTGGGTCTGCCACAGCCACTTCCTCTTCCTTGAGTGACTCTTCGGGGGGCTAGAGGGTTCGAACACGACCAGGTAAGCCCTAGGTGAGACCAGCCTGGTTTGGACAGGGGCAGCCCCTGATTGTCCCTCAAGGGATCCCTGCCCCACAAAAGATCCGAACAGCTCTTTCCTCAGCATCATCTCTGTAAATCCTGGTGGCCTTACCTTCCATCTGGGATACTCCCTCCTAGCCCCAGGGATCCCTCATCTGGGGCTGGGGGCCCTCATAGCCCCCAAGGTCCAAGGTGGCCTCCCAGCCTCCCAGGCCTAAAATATCCCCAGAAGGCTGCCCCACTTCAGTGGCCTGAGAGGGGAGAGGACCATTTAGAGATAGTTATGAAGTCTTGAGGCAGACTGAGGGGAAGAGGGAGTTGGGAGGAGCCCACGCCTCTCATCCCCCACCAGGGCGCTCCCTCTCCTTCTGGCCCAAACTTTCCATTCCCCCCTAGTAGCCAGGTGGAGTTTGGCCTCTGCTATCTGCCTTTCACCTGCCTCTGTAGCCACACCTCCTGCTATGACATGCACATATGTGTATGTACAAACAAACATACATGCACACACATACACAGACACACAAATGTGTGCATACTCTCATTCACATACATACGTGAACAGACATACAATATGAGCGTATGTACACATACATATGCATACATACAGTGACACACATATACCAACATGCATATATACACACATGTGCAGACACAAAAATAAGTGCATGTGCACACATGTACAGGCAAAAACATATGTACATATACATGTGTATGTACATATGTATACATGCCCCAACACACATATATGTGCATACAGTCATATGCAAACGTGCATATACATACATGCATGGATACAGATACACACATGCGTATGCCTGCCAGTGTAGAGACACACAACATGCACATATGCATAGGTACATTGCATATGATTACAAGTGCAGAAATATGTGTATACACACATATGGTCAGTCATACACGTGCATATTTGCAAATACACACAAGCATGTGCATATGGATATGCACATACACACAGATTTCTGCATCTAAACATACATGAACATCCATGCACAGACACAAAATGTGTATATATACACATGTGGAGACAGGCAAATATGTGTATATACACATACACACGACACAGTCACAGACACGCAAACATGCATACACATAGAAATACATGAGTACACTCACATACTCAGAAATATGTAGACACATACACATACACACTAGCATGTCACACAAGCACATGGAACCACAGACATACTAATACATGTGCACATAAACATATGTGCAAACACATACACATGCATTCATGTACATATATGTTCACATACATTGTCATGCACACCCAATTTGCAAATACATATGTGCAGACACAGACATACCAAGAGCACACTACACATATATGACATGCACATGTATATACATGCAACATATACACATGCATACACACACGCTATACCTGTTTCCTAAACACACCCTGCCCTTCTCTAGTAACAGCCTTTCCTCTGCCAGGAATGCCCAGCATCTCCATCTCCCTGGGTTAAAATTCTGCTCCATCCTCTGCGTCTAAAAAGCTCCCCCCCATCAGCCGCCAATCTCCAAAGTGAAGATGACTCTCCCTCTTCGGAGCTCCCACAGTTTGGTCTGACACACTTATCAGGCTCCCCAAGAAGGGGAGAGCTGAGGCCAATGTTGGGGCTCACCACGTTCCCTCCTCCCCACCTGTGTCTCTTGGCAGAATAAACTGGCTGGGCTCTTGTCTGCTGACCCCCCGGGGCAATGCCTATTCATCTTTATGCTTTCAGCACTGACCACAGGGCCTGGCATCAATTAGAAGCTCAATCAAATCTGTCGAATTGAGCTGCTGAATTAGTTATCATCCACCTCCTGAATGGATGGGTTGCAGAGGAAAAGTTCTGGAGAAATACTCCACAGTGTGGCCCATGGATCCATGCCAGTCTGCAAACTGTCAATGGTCCATGATGATTAAGCAGTTTGCCCCAGAATGTTTATCAATGCACTGCTTCCTTCATTGAGAAAGTCTTGGTACAAAATAAATAGCAACTAAACTAATCAGTGTACTTAGCTACAGAGTAGATTTACATTCTGGTACAAACTGCTTAATCATTATGGACTAGTAATAAACAGTTCATAGACTGGCTCCTATGAGTAACTCTGTTCTGAACTCTAGAGGTTAGCAAAATACGGCCTGTGGGCCAAATCTAGGCTATTGCTTGTTTTTATAAATAAAATTGTATTGGAACCCGGCTATGCTCATTCATTCATGCACTACCTATAACTGTTTTCACACTGTGATAGCAGAATTGAGTAATTAACAGAGATAGCATCACCCACAAAGCCTAAAATATTTACTATCTAGCCTTTTACAGAAAATGTTAGCCTTGGGCCAGCCCTATCCACTGTCTGAACCTGAGTTTTCTCATTTGAACAAGTGTGGGACCCTGTGACCCCCACTTTTCCTTCTGATGCTAACCTTTTCTGCTGTAGAAGGTCCCTGGAGAGCAGGTGGCCCGAACTGGGAAGACCCTGAGCAGCGAGGCCGGCCTGCCCCTCCTCCCCCTCCACCTCTCACCATGGACTCGGACTCTGTCTCAGCCTCCTCGGGGTTTGGCTCTGGTTCCACCTCCGCCTCCAGCTCTGGCTCTGGTTCCACTTTCTCTTCCTCCTGCATCTTGGTCTTCCGAGGGGTTCCTGGGGGCTGAGGCAGCACCCTCTGGACCCAGCCCAACATCCTGACACCTGTAGGAGACAGTGTCCTTAGCCCTCCCTGGAGCACTCACAGTTGCTCCCACCACTTATGGACCACTCTTGTGAGTTATACATTTCCTTTTCCTTCATCAACTTTAAAAATATTTCGACTGTGTGCGGTGGCTCACACCTGTAATCCCAGCAATGTGGGAGGCTGAGGTGGACCGATTGCTTGAACCCAGGAGTTTGAGATCAGCCTGGGCAAGATAGCGAGACCCTCATCTCTACAAAATATTTTTTAAATTAGCCAGGTGTAGTGGCTCACTCCTGTAGTCCCAGCTACTCAGGAGGCTGAGGTGGGAGGATCATTTGAGCCTAGGAGGTCGAGGCAGCAGTGAGTCATAATGCACCACTGTACTCCAGCCTGCACAACAGAGTGAGACCCTGTCTCAAAAAATATATAACATATATATACACACATATATATTTGATATACATACACACATATATATTACCTATACACACAGATATATGTGTGCATATATATTTCTGCAATTTTATCTCTAGGTATTTACCTTATAGAATTACTCAAGGCCATAAATATATGTGTACAAAGAAGCTGGTTGCAACGGTGTTATAGCAAAAATGAAAAACATCCAAATATTCATCAAAAGGAGACTGGTTATTGGAAAGTACTTACATGTACCTAAATGTTCATCTGTAAGAGAGGCATGTATTAAATAAGTTACACTATATCCGATAATGGACTATTACAGGGGCATTAAAAAGAAAGAAGCAGTCTAACCGAGCTAGCAAGAAGATGTGCCTGCTCTGAAGTCAAGTCATGAGCAGATCACTTAATGTCTCTGTGCCTCAGTTTGCTTATCGGTAAAATAGGGATATTAATAGTACCTACCTCATGGGTTAATTGCGAGGATAAAATGAATTGATAAGTGTAACATACTTAGGCCAAGCGCAGTGGCTCACGCCTATAATCCCAGCACTTTGGGAGGCCGAGGTGGGTGGATCACTTGTGGCCAGGAGTTCCAGACCAGCTTAGCCATCATGGGGAAGCCCCATGTCTACTAAAAACACAAAAATTAGTTGGGCATGGTAGAGGGCACCTGTAATCCCAGCTACTCAGTAGGCGGAGGCACAAGAATCGCTTGAACCCAGGAGGTGGAGGTTGCAGTGAGCCAAGATCATGCCACTGCACTCCAGCCCGGGTGACAGAGTGAGATCCTGTCTCAATAATAATAATAATAATAATAATAATAATAAGTGGAACATAGTCAGAACAGTGATTGGCACATGCCAAGGGCTTGATAAATGTTAGCTATGACTATTACATGGTATCAAATGAAAACATTAATTGTGTAATATGCATGTACTGCATAGTCTCATTATAAGTAAAAATATTCATTATGAGTAATACATGAGTGGAAAATCTGTTTTAAGATAAAATTAACCTATGTTCATCATTTTTTAAATTTTTAAGATAAAATGGGCTGGGTGCAGTGGCTCATGCCTGTGATCCCAGCACTTTGGCAGGCCAAGATGGGAGGATCACTTGAGCTCAGGAGTTCAAGACCGCCATGGGCAACATAGCAAGACCCTATCTCTATTTAAAAAAAAAAAAAAAAAATCCTCCTGTGGTGGTGTGTACCTGTAGTCCCAGCTACTCAGGAGGCTGAGGCAGGGGGTCGAGGCTTCAGTGACCATGCCACTGCACTTCTGCCTGGGTAACAAAGCAAGATCCTGTCTCAAAAAAAAAAAAGAAAAGAAAAATGGGCCTGGCATGGTGACTCACTCCTATAATCCCAGAACTGTGGGAGGCCAAGGCAGGCAGATCACCTGAGGTCAGGAGTTTGAGACCAGCCTAGTCAATATGGTGAAACCCAATCTCCACTAAAAATACAAAAATTAGCTGGGTACAGTGGTGCGTGCCTGTAATCCCAGCTACTCCGGAGGCTAAGGCAGGAGAATTGCTTGAACCCGGGAGGTAGAGGTTGCAGTGAGCGGAGATTGCGCCACTGCACTCCAGCCTGGGTGACAGAGTGAGACTCCTCCAAAAAAAGAAAAAGGTTGGGCGTGGTGTCACACACCTGTAATCCCAGCACTTTAGGAGACTGAGGCAGGCAGATGGCTTGAGCTCAGGAGTTCAAGACCAGCCTGGGCAACATGATGAAACCCTGTCTCTACCAAAAATACAAAAAGTTAGCCCAGCATAGTGGCACACGCCTGTAGTACCAGTTACTCAGGAGGCTGAGGCACGAGAATCACTGGAGCCCAAAAGGTGGAGGTTGCAGTCAGCCGAGATCTCGCCATTGCACTCCAGCCTGGCTGACAGAGTGAGACCCTGTCTCAAAAATAAAATAAAATGCTTATAGTGCTATATTTTAAAAAAAGAAAGAAAAAGATAAAATGCCAGGTAAGCTTTTTTCATGGTTTACTGTGTTATTTCAGTCCTACCTTATACAGGTTGTTTCTGGTTGATTTCTCTTTGGGGAATGGGGAGCCCCAGCTCTTATGACTGAACCCCTGCAGGATGGCCTGGCCAGTGGGCAGTGTGCAGGTCAGTGTGTGCTAACTCCCAGGCCTAGACGTGCTCTTGTCCCACATGAGTGTGCCCCACCCCTCTCCCAGCCATGGGCAACCCAGGCTTTGGCAGAGTGTCTGTATGCCCCTTTCTGCCAGGGACCCTGGCCCCAGTTAAAGAGGGCAGCCCAGGCCCAGGATCCTTACCCCCAAGCCCGGCTCCCAAGAGCCTGCGGCTATGCTGCCTGCCCTCTACTTACAGCCCTGACCTCTGTTCCCGCTCTGGCATCAACAGCTCAGCCTCTCCTATGACAGGCCGTGGTGGGAACAGAGCTCTAAGTGTCAGATCCCTGGCTCAGCCTCCCAAAAAGTGAACTTGGGGCAGACATGACCCCTCTGGTCTTCCATTTCCCTGAAGGCGGGGGCGCAGACACAATGTTTTCCCAAGTCTGGACTGCCAGAGCTCACATGTTGGGGTGGCAGATTTCACTGACCCCAGCCAGCCACAGGCAGCCCCGAGAGCCAGGGCTGAGCTAAGTGCATTCTACTCACGATCATACTCATCCTCGCTCTCACCACCACGCCCCGCCCCGCCCCTGCGCTCAGTAAAATAAGAATTTTCATTATGCAGCACAGAAAGGTCAACAGAATCGCCTGAAGCAGCACAGCCAGCAGTGGCCAAGCTGAGTTTACACTCAGGTCTGCCCGATTCCAGCTGCCCCACATCTATTCCCAGGTGGTCTGGCATTCGCCAAGTGTTGGCCTCTTCTGCGGGCCAGGCCTGTAGACCCTTCCCAGCAGGCAGCAATTCTGGCTTGCATTTCTAAACCTTCTGGAAATGACTAAGGAAGCCCTACTGATCCCCCATTTTTCTTTTTCCTCCTAAATGAGAATTTTTGCAGGTCCCTCCCATCTTTCCCCCGTGTCCCTGCTGACCGCACTTTGATGAGGGAGGCTCAGGTGGGAAGGGGGCTCACGCGTGGCAGCTCAGGGAGCTATGGTGTTGCACCACCAGTATTTCCAGAATCTTCTGGAGAGCTGGTGAAAATACAGATTCCTAGGTCCCCCAAGCCCTCCTGGGGGACCTAGGAATTTGCATTGTACAAGCTGTCCTGAAAATTCTGCTGCACGCTGAAGTCTGAGCTCCACCAGAGAGAGGGAAGCCTCAGGTTTCCCACCATGCCAGTTTGGTCTTGCCTAAATGCCTTTCTAGAGGGAGAACATGGGGATCCCCCGGGGGTCCCACCAAGCCTCCACCTCATCCTGAGTTACCTGCTCAGATGCCAACCGCCAGCCAGGAATTGCCTTCTCGCTGCCACTAGTAGCTGGCCCCTCAGACACAAGGAAGATTAATTGGCAGTAGCTGGGCCGTGTGCAAAGGATTAGCAGGCGCTGAATGGGGGCAGGGGAGAAAAGAGGCTGTTGACGCCCAGGAAACCAGCAGCACCCCCCAACTCCCAGGGTCCAGCAAGGATGTGGGCCCCAGGGAAGGGCCCCTGCATGGCCCAGGTTTGGAGCACCATGGGTTGCCAGGGAACTGGCCCAGGTTACCAGGGGCCTGGCTTCCCACACACCTTGGCCAAGACACGGAGTGGCTGATGGGAGAATAACAGCTTGGAGTTCCCAGGTGATGCCTGGAGACTCTTCAAGGTGGCAGGGGCTTGTCAGCTCCCACTCAGCCGTGGCAAGAAGCATATCCCAACTCTCCAGTCCCCAGGCCAGGACACAGGCAGATTCTTTCTGGCTCCGCTGCCTTGGGCTCTGCCAGAAAGGCTGTGTCCCAGGGCTAGGCCTTGAGGATGAATCCAAGGCCTGGCAGATGACTGAGGCATCCGACCTGCACTGTGAACTGAGGCTGGACACTGGAAGGGATACAGAGACCTAGGAGGAGAGGGTACAAGGGGACAGGGCCCAAGCAAGAGGGGCTCAGTGTGGTGGCCCTGAGGGATATTTGGCAAAGGGGCAGGACTTGACTTAATTATCTGAACCATTTCTAGAGTTCCTCCTTTGCTTTCTTTTTTTTTTTTAAGCCACGGTCTCTCTCTGTCACTCAGGCTAAGTGCAGTGGTGGGATCATGGCTCATTGCAGTCTCAACCTCTCAGGCTTAAGTGATCCTCCCACCTCAGCCTCCTGAGTAGCAGACTACTCATGTGTGCTGCCATGCCAGGCTAATTTTTATTTTTTTTTTTTAGAGACAAGGGTCTCGCTATGTTGCCCAGGCTGGTCTCAAACTCCTGAATGCAAGCAATCCTCCTGCCTCAGCCTCTCATAGTATTGGGATTACAGATGGGAGCCACTGCACCTGGCCTAGAGCTCTTCCTTTGTGCCTGTCAGTGTGTCAGCCTTGGCACACTGAGCAAGACAGACATAAGCTCTGTCCTCATGGAGCTTACATTCCAATGGAGGAGATTACTGACAAATAAAGAATATTGCAAATTATGCTAAGTGCCATAAAAGAAACAGGGCAGAAGCATGTGTTGTGGAGGGCAGTGGGGGTAGGTAGGCAGGCCCCTATGATGAGGTAGATGTATATTTGAGCTGAGACATGAAAAGCAAGAAAGACTCAACTGTGAAAAGAGCTGGATGAACGGTGCTCCAGACCAGGGACAGTGCAATGAGAAAGGTTCTGAGGCTGGAATGAGCCTTGAGGAGCAGAATGGAGCCCCGGGAGCCTGGAGCTTAGTGGGTGCAGGGGAGAGTGGTGGGAGATGAGGTTGACAGGGGGCAGGGGCAGATGTTATGAGGCCTGTAGGTCACAAGAACAAGTGTAGTTTTAGATGATGGTTTTGAACAGGGGCTGGGCATGATCTGTATGGCTCCGTGTAGCAGACAAGCGTGGAAACAGGAAACTGGTCAGGAGGCTGCAGAGGGACAAGCCGATTGGCGACTGGATGAACCCTGACTTCCCCTCCAGTGCTGGGCTTCAAGACCTCTGATAATGCAACCTCCACCAGGCAAGTGATGCAGAAGAAAGTTCTTTCTGCCAGCAAGGCCAGACCCCAGTGGTAAAGCTCAAGGTACTCCCTGACCCTTCCCTACAAATATGCCAGGCTGCAGGGGTCAGAGCTCCTTCCCAGGGAACAGCAGCAAGCCCTTCTGCTCTGCCTGGGCCTGCGAGTAGCACAGGTGACATTCGCCCTTGCCTGCAGCCTGACGGGAGGGATGATGGGGCTTCAACTATGCTGGTGGGAGTACAGATAGGAGAAGAGAAAGGGGAGGAAAAAGGGGGGCATTGAGGGGCTCACCCTGGGCAACTGGGTGGCTGGTTTAGTGGGTGAACCAGTAAACCACCCCAGGCTGGTTTACACATGTACTGAAAAGAAGCAGCCTGGGGCTGGAAGTTTGGAGGAAGAATTTTGGGGGGGAAAATAATGAGCACTACTTTGTTAAGATGTCTGAGAGAGGCTGGGTGCAGTGACTCATGCCTATAATCCTAGTACTTTGGGAGGCCAAGGCAGGTGGATCACCTGAGGTCAGGAGTTCGAGATCAGACTGGCCAACATGGCAAAACTCTGTCTCTACTAAAAATACAAAAATTAGTCAGGCATGGTGGCAGGTGCCTATAATCCCAGCTACTCTGGAGGCTGTGGCAGGAGAATTGCCTGAACCCGGTGGGTGGAGGTTGCAGTGAGTCAAGATCACACCACTGTATTCCAGCCTAAGAAAAAAGAAAAAAAAAGTCTGAGAGACATCCAGGTTGAAATGTGACTGTGCGTGTGTGTGTGTGTGCGCGTGCGCGCGCGCATGTGTGTGTGTGACTTAGGGAGAGGTCTACTGGAGATAGAAATTTTGGAGGCCTCAGCCTGCAGATGATGCTTAAAGCCACAGGACTGACTGATATCACCTAGGAAACCCAAGGAAACAAAGGGGACCAGAGGTGGCACCTGGAACACTTGGGCTCACTCAGAGGATGCAAAAAGAGCAGGAGCTGGTAAAGGAGCCTTAAGGAGCTGCCAGGGATGGGGATGGAGAAGCAGAAGCATGGGGTGAGGTGAAAGCCAAGAGCAGTGGCTGTGTTGGGGTGAGGGAGTTATCTGAGGGGCCACTGTCTGAGCTGAGACTTGAAATGCGTCTCTGGGATTGGGCAACTTAGCAGCAGTTGGAGAACCTGCAGAGTGGGAAGGAGGGAAAGTTAGATGGGCCTGAGTGAAGAGTAATGGGATCTAGGGTGGGGAAAATGAGCAAAACACAGCCACACAGAGTGGCTAAAGTTTGGATGAATCTCATGTGCATATATGTGGAGGGAAAGAAGCCAGATTCAAAAGAAGACCCCGGTGATCCATGCATACAAAGTTTCCAAAAGGCAAAATTAGCCTGTCCTGTCTATGGCTACAAACATAAGTACATTTGCAGCGTCTAATTTTCTATAAAGCCTAGAGTTGTTAAATAAAGTTTTCTACAGCTGCCCATAAATAAAAGTACTACAAGGAGGGAGAGTGGTTCCCTCTTGCCGGGTTGGGGATTGTGATTGGGAAGGCATATGTGGAAGCTTCTAGGGACTGGCAGGGCCAATGTCTTGCTTTCTTTTACTAAATTGGCTGGAATCTATTTTTCAAAACAACCTTATGGGAATATATATGCCATAAAATTCACCCATGTTAAGTATACAATTCAATGACTTTTATATTACTTAATATTTATTTATTTATTTATTTATTTATTTAAGACAGGGTCTCACTCTATCACCCAGGCTGGAGTGCAGTGGAGTGATCATAGCTCACCACAGCTTCAACCTTCTTAGCTGAAGTGATTCTCCTACCTCAGCCTCCCAAGTAGCTGTGACCACAGGCACACGCCACCAGGCCCAGCTAATTTTTGTACTTTTGTAGAGACAGGGTTTCACCATGTTTCCCAGACTAGTCTCGAACTCCCGGGCTCAAGCAATCCACCCACTTGGGCTTCCCAGAGGGCTGGAATTACAGGCGTGAGCCACCACCCCCGCCTAACTCAATGATTTTTAACAAATTGACTGAACTGTGCAACTCTCACCACATCTGGTTTTAGAACATTCCCATTGCCCCAGTAAGACCCCTCATGCCAGATGGTAACCACTCTTCATTCGTACACCTTAGTCCCAGGCAACCACACATCTGCTTTCTGTGTCTATAGATTTGTCTTTCCTGGACATTTTATATAAATGGGTCATACAATATGTGGGTTTTCACATCTGACTTCTTTGATGTAGCATAAAGTTTTTGAGGTTCATCCACCTCGTAGCATGTATCAGAACTTCATTTCTTTTCATTGCTCAAGAGTATTTCATGGTATGGAAGCACCACAGTTTATCCACTCATCAGTGGACACAGGTTGTTTCCACTTTTTGGCTATACATCATGTTGCTATGAACATTTGTGTGCAAGTCTCTGTGGAGATATATACCTTTTTTTTTTTTTTTTGAGACAGAGTCTCTTGTTGCCCAGACTGGAGTGCAAGTTCTGCCTCCCGGGTTCACGTCATTCTCCTGCCTCAGCCTCCTGAGTAGCTGGGATTACAGGGGATGCCACCACGCTCGACTAATTTTTGTATTTTTAGTAGAGGCAGGGTTTCACCATGTTGTCCAGGCTGGTCTCAAACTCCCAACCTCAAGTGATCTTCCTGCCTCAGCCTCCCAAAGTTCTGGGATTGCAGGTGTGAGCCACCGTGCCTTACAATATACTTTCATTTCTCTTAGGAAGCCTTCTGGGGTAGAATCTTCCAGATGACCCAATCATATGGTACATTTGTTTCACTTTTCAAGAAACTGCTAAACTGTTTTAAAAGTAGTACTCCATGTCTTGCCCAGGGTGGGTAGTAGTTATACGGGGTCTCATTTTGTAAATTATTAGTTACATTAGATATGTATGCACTTTCTGTATTTCTTCTATTTGATAACTTTAAAAGAGTCAAGAAATAAATTGGGGGTGGGGTGGTGAGTGGAGTCAACTCTGGGAAGGATTTCTGTAAGGGGTAGCAGTTAGGGATGCTGTTCTGGGGGCTGTATGGAGCACTGGAGGAGGAGCAACTGGGGAAATAAATCCTACAGGAATTTCACCAGAGGGGCTCCAAGACCCATCAGGCTCAGCCCCTGGGCAGGTATATGCAAAGCACATGCCAATATATGCAAATAAGTTAGGCTTTCCTGGAGTTTCCTCACGTTGGGGGTTTGTCTCTAATGGTTGTGACCAGGATGGTGGGCAGGTCCCAGGGCTTTGGGGTGCTAGGCTTGGGCACTCACAGACTGGCTTTCCTGGGAGTGGGGAGCCTGCAGTCCTGCAGGGGCTGAGGGTGGAGTATCATCTGCTAATCTCCAGCCTGCTGAGGCCACCACTCTCCCTGATCCCCTCACGCTTACCCTGGATACTGGCCACAGCTAATCTCCACTCCTGGAGACTCAGGGGCTGGCAGACAGTGTACTGCCCTCTTCCCTGAGGGTTGCAGGGAGGGGAAATCCCTCTCAGCATCCAGATCCTCCTAATGGCAGGTCCTGGAGTCCTTGCCTAACACAGAGGAGAGCCTTGAGGCCCAGAGAGAGGCAGTAATTAGCCCAGGATTACACAGCCTGCAGTGGGCTGAGTAGCCATTTCTGGCCTCCCTTGGCCTGACTACCTCCAGGGAACCACAGCTCCCCATCTGACATTTCCCAAGATACCTGGCCTGTGCTGAGGTCTGGGAGACCACAGCCTTCAGGAAGGCTGGAAGGAAGTGGCCAGAGCACAGGAATTCTGGCACAAGCTCTTCTTAGAGCCTGTAGTTGCCAGGGTTGCTAAGGAGTGGGTGCCTCAGAATCAGGCTGCAATGGGCATTGTCTGTGCATAATGTTCCGTTATTCTGCTGCTGTCCATAATGAGGGACTCATCCACCTCACTTCCTCTTCTGCCCATTGAGCAGTTGAAGAGCTGAAAGTCCTTATAAGCCTGTGCACCTGGGCCTGGGTCCTACAGATAAGGTAGCTGCTATTGGTGAGTCAGAAGCAGGGAGCCCCTTCCTCAGTTCCCCATCTCCGTGATCCCCCTCCCTGTTCCTCCCCAGGCAGTCACATCCCCTAAGGCAGCTTCCCCATGCCTTGTCACCATGTCCCCTCCCTGCTCCTCCATGATCTAAGGTCCTCTCTCCTCCTGCCACCCTAGCTCCCACCTCCACCTCTCACCTCTAAATCAGGGTCAGGAAGAAAGCAAGCTGCCTCAACAAATTCTCACTAAAGTGTAAATGACTGAAAGGCCCCTGGGACTATCTGCTTTTTAAAGGGAGGCACTGGGTATTCAGTAATGCTTTTCTAGTTCAAATATATCATGTTGCTCCCATTCCTGAAAATATTTCTGAGTCAATCTGTAGAATTTTGGGTAAATACCTTAGCTAAAGCTAACCATCCACCCAGAGGCATACAGCAAACTGAGCTACATTCTGAACCCACTTGCTGCTGCACTTTCCTGCTCATTATTTAAGAGTAGACTCACCGGGCACAGTGGCTCACACCTGTAATCCCAGGACTTTGAGAGGCTGAGGCAGGTGGATCACTTGAGGTCAGGAGTTCGAGACCATCCTGGCCAACACGGTGAAACCCTGTCTCTACTAAAAATACAAAAACTAGCTGGATGTGGTGGTGGATGCCTGTAATCCCAGTTCCTCAGGAGGCTGAGTCAGGAGAATCACTTGAACCTGGGAGACAGAGGTTGCAGTGACCCAAGATGGTGCCACTGCACTTCAGTCTGAGCAAGAGAGTGAGGCTCTGTCTAAAAAAAAAAAAAAAAAAAAAAATACTAATAGACTCAAATATCACCTCTTTTAGATCATTCCTTGAATGTCCCAACCCCAGCCTCCCCAGAAATACACACTTTGTACTGACCTCCCTTACAGCCATGGCACAATGTGTGTGTGTGTGTGTGCGCGTGTGTGTGTGTGTGTGTGTTGAGAGGGGAGTGGGAGGGTTGTCTCTGTTGTCTTCTGTTATCTGAATGTTCCTGCCACCTCATGCTGAGCTCCGGAAAAATGGCCTGGCACACAGTAGGTGCTAAATAAATGTTTGCCAAGTAGACATCGGCACTGGCCAAGATTGTTTTCACGCAGAGAAGGGTGTCTGGCTGGCATGAGCCCAGGGTGAGCCCCTTAGAACCCTCTGCCCCCCAGCTATGGCCCGCATCATCGACCTGGTGCCCTGGGACGATGGCTCCACACATGTGTATGCCTCCCCGGCCATCCTGCTTCCTGTGGAGCGGCGGCGCAACCAGCTGGCGGGCGTGAAGCAGCAGCTCTACCACCCAGCCCTGCCCACCCTGCGCCACATGGACAGGGACACCGTCAAGGCCTGCCTTCCTGATGAGCACTGCCAGTCCACCACGTACTACCACAAAGGTCAGGCCACCAGTGCAGGATCCCCTTTGGGGAAGGGGCAGGTGGTTTCAAGAAAGAGGGTGACAGATGCAAGGATGAAAGAGGCCAGTCCCAGCTCTGCTGTTCCCTGCCCAGGACACTTCGACCAGGTCTGAGCCTCTGTTTACTGCTCAGTACAATGAGGATAATGACAAGGCCTGCCTTGAAGGGTTGTTGTGGGGTTAGGAGATAAGGTGCAAAAAGCACTTAGAGGCTGGGAGCAGTGGCTCACACCTACAATCCCAGCACTTTGGGAGGCCAAGGCAGGCAGATGACCTGAGGTCAGGAGTTCGAGACCAGCCTGGCCAACATGGTGAAACCCCGTCTCTACTAAAAATACAAAATTAACCAGGCGTGGTGGCAGGCGCCTGTAATCCCAGCTACTCAGGAGGCTGAGGCATGAGAATCGCTTAAACCTGGGAGGTGGAGGTTGCAGTGAGCTGAGATCATGCCACTGCACTCCAACCTGGGTGACAAGAGTGAGTCTCCATCTCGAAAAAATAAGCACTTAGAGTAGTGCCTGACACATAATCTGTGCTCAAAAAGTGTTGCTGATGCCATTGTTGTTATTGTTGTTTTGTTTTGTTTTGTTTTTTGAAGGCAGTGTCTTACTCTGTTGCCCAGGCTGGAGTCAGTGGCATGATCACAGCTCAATGCACCCTCGACCTCCCAGGCTCAAGTGATCCTCCCATCTCAGCCTCCTGAGTAGCTGGGACCACAGACACATGCCACCATGCCCAGCTAATTTTAAAAAATTATTTGTAGAGACAGGGTCTCCCTATGTCGCCTAGCCTGGTCTCAACTCCTGGGCTCAAACGATGCTCCTGCCTCGGCCTCCCAAAGTGCTGAGATTACATGCGTGAGCCACTGTGCCTAGCCTGTTGTAATGAATGGAGAGAGAACTGGGCGGAGGTTGGCAGGTGCAGTGGTAGGAGTCATAACAGTATAACAGTAACAACTTCTGCCCAAGCATCTCTGTATGTGGGAAAGAAAGAGAAAGACCCCTCCTCACAGCCCCCATGCAGGAGAGGAGAACATGTGGGCCTTCAGGGCAAAAGAGCCCCACAGGCCTAGTGAATAACCCTGCATGGAGTGGGGAGCTTGCATGTGGAGGGATTTAGAAGGTATTTAGCAGATAAAGTCAACAAGAGTAGGTGCAGGCAGGGCGGGGTAGGAGGCGGAACAGGGGGAGTGCAGGCCCATACCTAGGCTCCAGCTTGGGTGACAGGTGGGCTGAGGGTGTCAGAGACCACACGGAGATCGCCAGAGTTGCCACACGGGTCCTGATGGGAAACACAAATGAGGGAAGTGGGTGGGGAGGCCGTGGGGGAAGAAAATTCCACAGGGAAATGGGACACCCACACCTGCCCTGTTTAAACAGTAGCCATGGGGCTCCCTGCAGACTGTGCTATGTTGGAGGGGCCAGCCAGGTTACCAGTTCTTCCAATTTCCTGCTCTGAGAGAAGCCACGAATCTAGATTTTTAAAAGAAAGCTCTGATATAGATATGTATTTTGTTGTAAGCATATGCTTTAAATAAAAGTAATAGTCACAACTTCAAAACTCAAAATGCTGTAACAATATGCACAGCAACAAGTTTCACTCCCATCACCCCCCATACAGGTAACCCCCCACATTCTTAGTTTCTGATGTCTCTCCCTGGTTTACTAATGGGAATATAAACACATGTTATTTTGCTCCCCAATTTTTTATTACTGTTAACTGAACAATCAGAAATTTATAAATTTAGGCAGGCACAGTGGCTCACGCCTGTAATCCCAGCACTTTGGGAGGCCGAGCCAGGCAGATCACTTGAGGTCAGGAGTTCAAGACCAGCCTGGCCAACATGGTGAAACCCCCGGCTTTACTAAAAATACAAAAATTAGCCTGGCAGTGTGGCAGGTGCCTATAATCCCAGCTACTCAGGAGGTTGAGGCAGGAGAATCGCTTGAACCCGGAAGGCAGAGGTTGCAATGAGCCGATGGAGCCACTGCACTCCAGCCTGGATGACAGAGCGAGACTCCATCTTCAAAAAATAAAATAAATGTTTAAGTTTAGAAAAGGAGACTTTATTTCTTATAAGGGGTTATAGCTGCAAGGTGGCCATCCCACAGGCTGGAAATTGTGCCTCCAGCTGAAGCCCAAAGATGGGCATGTCAAAGGAGGAGGGGTTGGGTACGAGCTTTATGTTCAAAGGGTTGGCTAAATATACATATTCAACAGGTTACAGGAGGAGCTATAAATATTCATGAAGATAGTACTGACATGGGCATAATGAACAAACTTGCATGTAATATACAACCCATGTTGGCTTTGAGGTGGAGACTTAACCTTTAAATGTATTACAATTAGGCCCTATATGACAAAAGATCTTTTCAGGACGCAAAGCTCAGCAAGTGAGCAGCCTCTGTCCACGGTTGGTGGTCTTCTCATCTGGAGAAAGTTACTGAAATCAGCCTCATATGCACTCACAGGCATAGCTGTGGCTGGTGGATCAGGGGGTCAGCATCTGTGAGCTGTATGAGTTGTAATTGTTTTAATATTGCTTATCTCAAAGCCAGTGCTAGAGAAAAAGAAAAACCTCGTGGCAATTAAAACATAGCTTATTTATTTTTTATTTTGTTTTTTAGACAGAGTTTCTCTCCGTCACCCAGGCTAGAGTACAATGTCACAAACATGGCCCATTATAGCCTCGACCTCCCAGGTTCAGGTGATCCTCCCACTTCAGCCTCCTGAGTAACTGGGACTACAGGCACACACCATCATGCCAGGCTATTTTTGTTGTTGTTGTTGTTTGTTTGTTTGTTTTGTGTGGAGACAGGGTTACACTATGTTGCCAGGGCTGGTCTCCAACTTCTGCGCTCAAGTGATCCTCCAGCTTCAGCCTCCTAAAGTGTTGGAATTACAGGCATGAGCTATCACAACCAGCCTGTAGTTTATGCTTTAAGTGTAGGGGTGTGTGACTTAACCCTTGCCTTGCATGGCCTTAGGTCCTGTTAATAATCTGGTATCTTGGCCGGGCACGGAGACTCATGCCTGTAATTCCAGCACTTTGGGAGGCTGAGGCAAGTGGATTACCTAAGGTCAGGAGTTCAAGGCCAGCCTGACCAATATGGTAAAACTCTGTTTCTACTAAAAATACAAAAACTAGCCAGGTGCGGTGGTGTGCGCTTGTAATCCCAGCTACTTGGGAGACTGAGGCAGGAGAATTGCTTGAACCCAGGAGGTGGAGGTTGCAGTGAGCCGAGATCACACCACTGCACTCCAGCCTGGGCAACAGAGTGACACTCCGTCTCAATAATATTAATAATAATAATAATAATAATAATAATTTGGCATCTTGTTGCCACAAACAGTCTGTTCTCTCAGTCTTGTAATCTCTCTTTTGAGACGGAGTCTCGCTCTGTCGCCCAGGCTGGAGTGCAGTGGCATGATCTCGGCTCACTGCAACTTCTGCCTCCCGGGTTCAAGTGATTCTCCTGCCTCAGCCTCCTGAGTAGCTATATGGGACTACAGGCGTGTGCCACCATGCCCAGCTGATTTTTGTATTTTTAGTAGACATGGGGTTTCACCCTGTTGGCCAGGCTGGTCTCAAAATCCTGACCTCAAGTGACTGGCCTCCAAAACCACTGGGATTACAGGCGTAGCCACCGCACCTGGCCTTGTGATTGCTAGTTTAACATTAATGTTCGTCATTTATTGACGAGCCACAAAAAGGCAGGGGTAGGATGAAGCATGTCTGACCTCCTGTCCCATTATGGCTGGGAACTCAGTTTTTAAGGTTTTGGGGGGTCCCCTTAGCCAAGAGGGGGTTCCACTCAGTCAATACATTGGGGAGACCTCAGGATTTTATTCTTAGTTTACATTATAAACATTTTCAAATGGAGAAAAGTTGCAAGAATATTACTATGAGTACCCACCACCTTCCGCCTGCTTCAGTTGATTTTTTGCCATATTTTTGCTTCTCTCGCCCTCTCTCTTACATTCTTGGACACCCTTTAGCAAGCAGCTCCCAATGACAAAAACATCCTTCTGCATGACACGATACCATTATCACACCTAGGAAACTTAACAATACTTCTACAACATCTAATATCCAGACCATATTAAAATCTCCCCAACTGACCCCAAAGATGTCTTTTATGGCTTTAAAATGATTTTTTGGAACAAGAATTCAATCTAAGATTATGTATTTCAGTTACTTGTTATGTCTTTCATCTTAGTCTAAAACAGTCCACCCGGTTTCCATTGCCCACCATCATACTGACTTTTTAAAGAGTCTCCAAGTTGTGTTGCAGACAGTCCCATATGGTGAATTTGAGCCACTGTTTCCTTATGGTGTTTCTCACCTTGTTAATCTATTTTCTGTAAACCAGCAGCTAGGTGTAGAGACCTGAATCACCAGGTTAAACACTGCTGGCCGGAATCTTTCATAGGCAACAGATGCTATGTTTGCCATAATGCTGCAGCAGGAGGCACAGAATTTCATTATCACATTATTTGTGATGCTAAGCTTGATGATTTGGTTGAGGTGATGACCTGAATATATATTCTCTGTTTCCAAGAGTCTATGTTTAGTCTACTGTTTTAAAGCAAACAGTAGGCTGGGCGCGGTGGCTCACGCTTGTGATCCCAGCACTTCGCGAGGCTGAGGTGGACAGATCACAGGTCAGGAATTGGAGACCAGCCCGGCCAACATGGTGAAACCCCGTCTCTACTAAAAATACAAAAATTAGCCAGGCATGGTGGCACGCACCTGTAATCCCAGCTACTCGGGAGGCTGAGGCATGAGAATCGCTTGAACCTGGGAGGCAGAGGTTGCAGTGAGCCGAGACTGTACCATTCCACTCCAGCCTGGGCAACAGAGCGAGACTCCGTCTCAAAAAAAAAATTTTTTTTAAGCAAATGGCAGCATATTGTATATACCCTTCTGCACCTTGGAGTCCTTGTATAGAGAAATTCTTCAACTTGTTCATTTATTTATTAAAGACAAGGTCTCACTATGCCACCCAGGCTGGAGTGCAGTGGAGTGCAGCCCTTAAACTCCTGGGCCCAAGCAATCCTCCTGCCTCAGCTTCCCGAGTAGCTGAGACTACAGGCTTGAGCCACCATACCTGGCATTTTTTGTGTGTCTTGATTTCTAGGCACTCTTTCAATATTAAGGAATATTAATATTAATATCTGTAAAATAAGTGGAAATATTTTTTCAATTTGTTTTTTGACATTTGTTTTTGCCATGTAGAAGTTTATTTTTATGTATTTAAATTATCAATCTTTTCTTTAATGCTTCTGGATTTTTAATTAAAATTATTAAGGCCTTTCCATCCCAAGGTTATAAAAGAATTTGCCCATGTTCATTTTTTACATTGGAATCTTCGGAGTTTTATTCTGTGGCAAGGGGTGAGATGTGATTACTATTTTATCTTAGATTTTTTTAAGTTGTCAAATTAAAAAAAAAAACGTAAGAGAGTCTTGCTCTGTTGCCCATACTGGAGAGCAGTGGCCAATCTCAGCTCACTGCAACCTCCACCTCCTGGATTCCAGTGATCCTCCTGCCTTAACCTCCCTAGTAGCTGGGACTACAGTCATGTGCCACCACGCTCAACTAATTTTTTGTATTTTTGGTAGAGATAGGGTTTCACCTTGTTACCCAGGCTGGTCTCGAACTCCTGAGCTCAAGTGATCCACCTGCATCAGCCTCCCAAAGTGCTGGGATTACAAGTGTGAGCTACCGTGCCCAGCCTTTTTTCTTTTTTTGAGACAGGATCTTGCTCTGTCACCCAGGTGGAAGTGCAGTGGCATGATCACTGAAGCCTCGACCTCCTGGACTCAAGTGATCCTCCTGCCTCAGCCTCCCGAGTACCCGGGATTACAGGCACTCCACACCACGCCCGGCTAATTTTTGTATTTTCAGTGGAGATGGGGTTTCACCATGTTAGCCAGTCTGGTCTGGAACTCCTGACCTCAAGTGATTCACCCACCTCGGCCTCCCAAAGTGCTGGGATTACAGGTGTGGGCCATCGTGCCTGGCCTCAAAAAAATTTTAAAGTACAGTGTGGGCCAAAGTTCTTCTATGACCTCTGACCACTGGTGAAGGAGACACCTCTTCTCCCTTTCTCTTGTTTCAACAGATGAGTTTGACAACGCCCATTTTACACTCCTTGGGGTCCCCAACAAACCCCTGCAGTGTTTGGTGAGTGTCCTTTGCCCTGCCCTTGGGTAGCTAAGGGGCACCAGCCCCAAGCACCTCTGGTCCTGGGATCTACTCCCCGAGGACCTCCTCAGGTGCCTGCTTGGGACTCTCCACATCACCGCATCCGGGTTCCCGACTTCGGGCGCAACCTCGGTCCAATGCACCGGGCCAGTTGTCAGCTGAGGCCTTTGGGATGGACTGGGATGGCTTCCCTAGGCTCCTGCGGCTACTGCTGCGCGGGCCTGACCCCCGTGGCCCTGTCAGGACATCACCGCGACAGGCCAGAAGCTCCGCAACAGGTACCACGAGGGAAAGCTGGCGCCCATCGCGCCGGGCATCAACCGAGTGGACTGGCCCTGCTTCACGCGCGCCATCGAGGACTGGTCCCACTTCGTGTCCTCGGCCGGGGAGTTCAAGCTGCCTTGCCTGAGCAAGCGAGGTCAGTCTACGTACGGGCCGCTAAAGGAACTGCAAGGCAGGTGGGCCGCGGGGCTGGAGCAGGGAGCGTGGACTGCGCACAGGAACGTAGGCGGTGGGCCAGGCAGAGACAGGGCGGGGCCGCTGGGGTGCAGTGGTGGCACTTGCGGTGGGTGGGGCCGAGACGTGCGCGCGGATCTGGAAGCAGGACTGCCCATGAGGAGGGGGCGGAGCCAGGCAGAGCCGTCGGGGTGGGGGCTTTGCCCTGCTGGGCAGCGGAGGCGGGACCTGTTTTCTGAACATGTGTGGATGGGGCGGGATTGTGGGCGGGGCTTAGGTAAGGAGGCGGGGCTTGTCCTGGGGAGCGGATGAGCGCTCGAGGGGGACTCTCTGTTCGCAGTGGAGGGTCTCAGCAGCTACGCGGTGAGGTACTTGAAGCCGGACGTGACCCAGAGCTGGCGGGTAGGGAGCGCTGCGCGCAGACCCGTCCCTGGGTGGGGAGAGGGGGGTCCTGGTGGGGAGCGGCTTAAGCCGGTCGTTGAGGCGGGGAGGAGACCCAGAGCAGGACCTCCCAGTCTCCAGGGCCACGGTCTCTAGCAGGAAGCCCTGTGTGGGGCGTGGGCAGGGCATCCGTGCTCCTCCGACTCACCGCGCCCCTATCCCTGCTGCCCGCCTCAGTACTGCCTCAACCAGAACCCCAGCCTGGACCGCTACGGACAGAAGCCCCTGCCTTTCGACTCCCTGTAAGTGACGCCACGCGCCCCGGGACCCCATATCCGGAGGAGGGAGGATGAGGTCTGGGCCGCTTTCCTAGCGCACACGCAATGACCCTTGAAAATGTGAGAACTGGGAGAAATTGGCTCCAATACACCAGAAACAAATTACAATTTCAAATGAATACACGTGTAATTCCTACTAAACGGAGCACCTTGCCCTCCCTGACAACTCCACCCTTGCGGAGTGGAGGCGTTTGCATTGGGTGTAGGCGCCCTGGAACCCTTCAGGAGGGATGGCGGGGAGAGGGGGTGGCTCCCGAGGTCTAGCGAGGCGCCCAGAGAGGGTCGCCCCTTCCCATCTCGGGTTCACCCGCTCCGTTCTTTCCCAGGAACACTTTCCGAAGCTTCGGCTCCAGCTACAGGTAGGGGAACGGTCCTGTCCCGCCCCACAGCCAACCACGTTCCCATCCGACTGCTGGGGACAGCCTCGGGGCTCCCCGACTCTGAGACCCCCCTGCCCCGGCGAGGCCTGGCGAGGAGGAGGTGCCCTCCTGGGAGGGCGCAAGCTGCTTCGCTCTGGAGAGATCGCCCCTGGCAAATGTGCAGCCCACTGGGGTGGGGATAGACGCGGGGGGGGGGGGGTCCATATCCCACCAGGTTTGACTGGAGGAGGCCAAAAGGATGGGGCGGGGGTGTTACCTGGAAGGAGAGAAAACAGACAAATAAACACGAGGGAGAGCCAAGAATCTGCCTTTTTGGGTGCGGAGAGGCCCTAAGGGAGGGGGCTAAGTGGTGTCCCCGGCAGGGTCGTCGCACAAGTAAAGGCTTGGAGATAAGAACAAGAACGGAGGCTGCAAGATATTCAGACATTTTCGTAACTGAGCCATCTCTCACCTTCCTCGCCCCACTTTGTACACTCCAGCAAGACTAGACTCCCCCGAAACGCAGCAGGACAAGCACTCTTCACACCTTTGCCTGTGCTGTTTTAGCGCCCAGATGGTCCTTCCTCCTCTGCCTGAAAAACTTCGTGCCTTTCTTTCCCCGCGCCCCCCCCCCCCTCCCCCCCCCCCCCCAATCTAGCTCTGTCGCCCAGGCTGGAGTGCAATGGCGCCATCTCAGCTCACTGCAACCTCTGCCTCCCCAGTTCAAGCAATTCTTCTGACTCAGCTTTCTGAGTAGCTGGGATTATAGGCTAGGGCCACGAAGCCCGGCTAATTTTTGTATTTTTAGTAAAGATGAGGTTTCACCATATTGGTCAGGCTGATCTGGTGATCCACCTGCCTTGGCCTCCCAAAGTGCTGGGATTACAGGTGTGAGCCACTGCACGCGGCCTCTTTCATGCTCTTTAAAGCCCAGCCCAGATGTGCCATCCTCCTTGAAGTTTTCCCCCACCCTCTGCCTCTCCCCACCGGCTCACACTCTGTCCCATTGGTCACTACCTCCGTGTCCATATCTTATAGCACCCAGACTATTGCACTGTCATTATTGACAGAAACTAGCCTTCCCCTCTCCCACACAGGGGAACGTTTCTGGGTTTTGCTACCATATGATGCCTAACAGAGTAGGTTCACTAAATGATGGAAAAATGGGTGAAGCTGTTCATAGTTAGGAATCAATGGTAGAGAAGGATGAGGCAAAGTCAAAGGAAGGAGGTTAGCTTGAAAGCTAAGGAGGACAACTGAAAATACAGAAAACAGGGAGCCACTGAAGGCTCCTGAGCCACATAGAGGCTGGCTAGAAGCTGTGTTTTCAGAGCCTAGAGGGGGAAAGCCTGATTTTTCCCCTAGGACACCCTGGAAACCCCCACCTCACCCCTACTTCTCTCCACAGTCGTGTCAACTATCTGACCCCCTGGCATTAATCTCTGGAAAGGAGGCTGACTCCCAGGCTGCCAGACGGTGCCACCTCAGGTCCCCTGGCCAGACCGAGGACTTATGGTGGCACCAGCCATCTCCCCAGGAGTTCAGCCTAACTAGAAATAAACCTAATACTTCCTTAGAGAGACATGCAATTGTCTGTGTGTGTGTGTGTGTGTGTGTGTGTGTGTGTGTGTCTTGCAGAGGCTGGGAGAGGTTCAGGACCACAGGATGACAGTATCTTACCCTTGCCTGTCCCCAGCCAACTCCTGAAGAACTGGTGGGGGGTTAGAGAAAAATGTTTGGTGACCTGGTTAGAGAGTCAGGGTGTAAGCCAGAATTAAGGTCCAAGAGCAAGAGATGTGTTCCTGCTCCTTGCCGGCAGCCCCACACCCAAACCCCCTCCATTTCAGATCCTGAATTTAAGCCCTAAAGAGAAAGGGAGGAGGTTAGAAAGCTATTTTTAGGTGCCTTTTTGAAGCTCTTGCCATACCGGTGTGCTCTGGGGGGTTTCCCTGTGCCCAGGGTCGCCCTGAAGGTGTGGGAGCAGGCTGGGGCAAGGGGAGCTGGCCAGGCCTATGGTCTTGATTCTTGTGATGCAACAGAATGTGGAGTCTAAACTTGCCTGAGATGCATGAAGCCACTCAGAGAAGAAAGTTCCCCGCTCTCCAAAGCACCACCAATAAACATGTCATCTAAGCAAAAAGTCATCTGCTCTATCCATGAGGCTTCAGAAATAGCCCTTGTCTACCCACCAACCATCCATTCCAAGCTGCTCCTGTGAAAAGAAGGCATGATGTCCCAGGGACAGTGTGGGGACTCCTGGCCCAGGTCTGGAATAACGCTATCCAGGGGGCTAAGACAGAGCATCTCCAGCAATGGTAAGGGGGTGTATTAGTCTGTTTTCATGCAGCTGATAAAGACACACCCAAGACTGGGAAGAGAAAGAGGTTTAATGGACTCACAGTTCCACATGGCTGGGGAGGCCTCATAATTGTGGTGGAAGGCGAAAGGCACTTCTTACATGGTGGCAGCAAGAGAGAATGAGTGCCAGGCGAAATGGTTTCCCTTATAAAACCATCAGATCTCATGAGACTAATTCACTACCACAAGAACAGTATGGGGGAAATCACCCCCATGATTCAATTATCTCCCACCAGCCCCTCCAACAACATGAAGGAATCACGAGAGCTACAATTCAAGATGAGATTTGGGTGGGGACACAGCCAAACCATATCAGGGGGTTAGGGCTGCCAGCATCTGTGCTTAGCTCCAGGACCTTCCAGGTACCCTACCCCCACCCCACCTGTGGGCAGCTGACAAGCATAGACCCAGATCAGGATCAATAGCTACCAAGCTAACAATCTACCTGTATAGTACTTCTGGTCCTGAAACCTGGGGCTTCAGGGACCCACAGACCTCCTGAAATCATGTACAGAATCATGTGTCCACCTTGGGACTGCACTTGGGAAACCACTGGCAGAGCCACCTGGAGTGTCAGAGTCACGTTCTGTGCCTCTGTCCCCTCCAAATGACAACTCAGAGAAGAGCTGGACTTGCCCAGGGCTCACAGCAGGGATGCTAGAGTTCTGGCCTGGGAGAGGTGGGCCAGCCAGAGAACCCCAGCAGACATGCTGAAGCCTGCCAGATGGAATCAAGTGACTGCGGTGTTTTTCCTGGCCCTGCTTCCTTGTATGACTGGACAAGTCCCTGCCAGCATACAGCCCAGCAAACACTAAAGAGCTTTGCCTGGGCCAGGCCCTTTGCTGGTGCTGGGAGGACACAGACAAGATGCTCTCCCTGCCCTCCCTGCCTTTGAAGTGCTTCCAGCCCAGCAGGCCCAGCCAACGAGAACCTGAAAGTAGAGGTGATCACATGAGTACACACCTAGACCATGTTCTCCCAGCCAAAATCCCATGAATGGCAACCCACACCAGCAATTTAATTAAAGCTTCTTGCCCACTGATTGTACATTTAATCCTGATTTCAATAATATAAATATATTATAAAATATATAAATATAAATACATGTATATATGTAATTAATATATATTTATATAAAATATAAATATTAAAAAGTATGCCTAAGAATAAAGGAAATGCAGAGTAGATAAGCATAAATGAGTCTGCTTTTATGTGTAATTTCTATTTTTAAATGGAAGGCAATGCATTAACCATCTTGCAGACCCCATGAGATGGGTAATTTTAGACCCATTTTACAGATGATGAAATGAACTTCGGAAGGTTAAGTGGCTGGCCCAAGATCTGGTGATTGACAGAGCTAAGAATTGAAGTTGGCCTGCCTGAGCCCCCCACCCCCATCCCCCGCCTGTGGCCACCAGGTTCTACTGCCTGCCTGCTACAGGACAGATCCAAACCAAGAATGGGGAAGAAACCAAAGGGGGCTTCCTGGGGGTGAGGGCATCTGACTAGGGCTCAGAAGGAGGCTAAGATGTCCCATCAGAAAGCTGTCTTGGGGCCAGGCAGGGTGGCTCACACCTGTAATCCCAGCACTTTGAGAGGCCAAGGCAGGCGGACCACCTGAGGCCAGGAGTTCAAGGCCAGCCCGGCCAACATGGCAAACCCCATCTCTACTAAAAATACAAAAATTAGCTGGATGTGGTGTGCATATCTGTAATCCCAGCTACTCTAGAGGCTGAAGCAGGAGAATCACTTGAACCCAGGAGGCAGAGGTTGCAGAGAGCCAAGATCGGGCCACTGCACTCCAGCCTGGGAACAGAGCAAGACTCCATCTAAAAACAAACAAACAAACAAAAACGAGAAAGCTCTCTTGGAGTTGCTGGCAGTGGCAGAATCTGCAGGTTGAGAATCCCACCCGGAGGCCAAAGGCCAGAGGCTGAGAGAGGGAGAGCAGCCCAGCCCAGCCCAGCTGAGGCCACTGTGGCCCAGCATGCTGACACCCCCTCTCAGTCCCAGGGACTCTTTGCTCATCAAAGAGTGTCAGAGCCACATTCTGTGCCACCCAGGGTCCCCTCCAAATGACAACTCAGAGAAGAGCTGGACTTGCCCAGGGCTCACAGCAGGGATGCTAGAGTCCTAGACCACATCGGAAATCTTCCCAGCAGCCATGGCCTTGGGGACAGTCCAGCCTCCATGGCCTGACCCCAATGCACTACTGTGGCCCTTTATCCCAGCATGAACTCCCCTACAGCCTCCTTGCAGTTCCAGAGGCTCTGGGCTTCTGTCTGCCTCCAACCTTTGTTCAAAGCCTTCCTTTCACCAGAAATGCTTTTCCCCCACCTCTTCCTACCCAAATCCCACCCTCCATTCCAGGCAGGCTACTCTCAAGTCCTCCCATCTCCCCCCAGCTCTTCTCTCAAATCACAAAAACAGGGACCATAGCTGTCCTCGGGGCTAATTCACACCCTCTGGCCCACCCTGGGCTCATTCACTGGCTCCTTTTATTCTAACTGGACCTGGGGCTCAGGAATGGGGCCTGCGGTCTTTTCCAGAACCAACACACCAATCAGGACTAAATTAACTACTACAGAGTTATAGCGGTGTCGAGTACAAAATCACCTGAAAAATGATGTCCTAACCCAGGGCCTGGGGCTGGCAATGGGGAGGTTCAGGGATAGGGTGAGGGTCCAAGCTGCAGGCAGGGGTGAGGCAGGGGTCAGGGAGAACTTGTGAACATCATATTTTGTACTAGATATCAGCGGTTTTGACATTTTTTTACTGTACCTTTTGATATGCAAAAACCTCAAAACCGTCTCACCTGAAGTTTGTGCCTTGTGCCCTGTAGCACCTGCTCAGTGCCTGGCAAACAGTAGGTGCTCAGTAATGCTTGTGGATGAACAAAGGCAGGAAGGCAGACCCAGGGTGGGGACAGAGAGATACACAATAAAGAAGGAGCCATCCCCTTGACTCCATTTCATAGCCCTGAGGAAGACTGTGTATTCTGGCTGGAATCTCTGTAGATGAGAAAATCAACAGTGGCCAAGGCTTTTCTAGGAAGCACCACCTTCAAGAAACCAAGAAGCCACCTGCATGAGGATCAGATGTGGAGCTCATGGGAGAGCCTGGCCCTCCTTAGGCTGGGGGGCCTAGGGCCTTTGTGGCACTACTTCTGTACTACTTCTGTACATCTGGGAAGTACACTACTTCTGTACATCTGGGAAGCCTCTAGCTGGGGGCTCAGGGCCAGGTATCTTCTGTACTACTTCTGTGCCACATCTGGGAAGGCAACACTACTTGCACACTCCTACTTCTGTACATCTGGGAAGTACACTACTTCTGTACATCTGGGAAGATGGAGCGCAGTGGCTTTGATTGTTCAAGGAGTTGAGAGAGGGCCAGAGGGGTTGGTCACGCCATCTGCCTGCTGCTGAAGAGCTTTTCTACTGCCCTGGCCAGCCCTAGACTGGTCCTGGCTATTGTTCCCGGCTTTCTGGCCAGCAAAGAGTGAGCAGGAGCTCTACATGGCTCAGATCCCACTGCCTCTCCTTCACCTGTGTGCAGGTACCAGGCTCACCTGGCCAGCTCCCACACTTCCAGGCCACTTTCATCACTGCGTGGCTGTGAACAACCCCTGGACTTCCTAAGCATCTGCCCTGCCACCTTATAAGTATGGAATGAGGCTCAGACCTGCTGGCGGATGGGAAAAGGCTTCTGTACAGTGTATGGCAAGGCCGATGGGAGGGCTCTCAGATGGGAGGGCTGGGCTGGCTTGCTCTTGCCTCTGACCTCCCAGCGCTAGTCCTTCTGCGTGGATACTACATGCCAAACATGTCACACAAATCATTCCACTGTGCCCTTACCCTAAACCTCAGAAGACAGCATTATTGACTCCATTTCACAGATGAGGACATTGAGGCTCAGAGAGCTTCAACAGCCGCCCAAAGCCCTGGAACCAATGAGTGGTGAAGCGGGACTCTAGCCAGGGCTGCTGTGGTGCTCTGAACCAGGACACCACACTCAGTCTACTATGGTTCATGAGTACAGGTTCCACCCCCAGAAAGCGGCATCCTCTCCCCCGTCCCCTGCAGGGCTAAGCATGGAGCAGAGCCAGCGCATGGTGGGAGTTTGGAAAAGCTGTCAGGATGATGGGCTTCCTAAGAATATCCCCTTTGGTGGCCCAGCCTGCCCTGGCACCAACTTCTAGGACCCAGGAGAATGGCCCCCTCCCCTTCCCACTCCTGGTGTCTCTCAGTAGCCAGGGGGAATGACTAACTCCCAAAGAGGAGGCTGTGTCAGTCTCTCCCTCCTCCTTCCTGCTTCCTCCCAGCCCTGGCCATCATCCAGATGTCACCCTCATCCTAAAACACCACACTTCCCATCCTCCCAGTGGTTGGGCCAAAAGGAATGATTAGCCAGAGACTAAAGATACAGCACTAGTTTATATTCCTAGTCACAACATCTGAAGCTCCCCTTTAAGATGTTATGCTTGGCCGGGTACAGTGGCCTGTAATCCCAGCACTTTGGGAGGCTGAGGCGGGTGGATCATTTGAGGTCAGGAGTTCAAGACCAGCCTGGCCAACATGGTGAAAACCTGTCTCTACTAAAAATACAAAAATTAGCCAGGCGTGGTGGCATGTGCCTGTAGTTCCAGCTATTCCGGAGGCTGAGGCAGGAGAATCACTTGACCCTGGGAGGCGGAGGTTGAAGTGAGCTGAGATTGCGCCACTGCAATCCGACCTGGGTGACAGAGGGAGACTCGGTCTAAAAAAAAAAAAAAAAAAAATGCTGTGCTGTAAGAGGAGACACTCATCAGGTTTGGGAAACAGGAAATTGGCTGTCCTGTAGGTCAGCATTCCTGGGCCTATTGGTGGGAGAACTACCTGTATGGCCAGGTGCAGTGAGCAACTGCTTAAGCCGGTTTGTGCTGTTTCTGCCACTTACAACCAAGAGAGGCTAGTCGGAGATACCAGAGGGGAACAGGCTGGAGGCCAGGAGGGGCAGGGAAGGGAAAATGGGCCATGGGTTGATC